TCAGTCATCTAGTCAAGAAGAAAGCGAAGAAATTGTTTCGAGTGAAATGATTCGTAAGCGAGTAAACGAGGAGGCCATGACAAGATTGCTCGAGCGCGTTGTTGCTATCACGGTCGAAGTGCAAGAAAATATACGAAACATGTTTTTGCCTACCCCTCAGCGTGCTCATTATATCTTTACGCTCAATGATCTTTGTATTTTATTCAGGTATGCATTTGCATCATTCATTTATTCTTTTTAATTCTAAATAATCAAAGCTTCTAATCTTTTATTCAGTACTACTTTTTTGTTGTCTTTTTCACTTATCTTCCAGAATTCAGGTTTCTTTCTGTGTTTCTTACTGAAAAATTCATATAGAATCAAACAAATTGACTAAAGCTATTTACTCAATGTAAGGTTTACTTTAGGCCAGATTTATGTAATCAAGAAAGTGCGATGTTGAACCTATTGTAAAAGCTTATGATGCCGCAACCTTCTTTTGGAGTTTGAGATATCTTCCTGTTATATATTGTCTTTTTTGAAAAAGAATTTTGTGTTTCCTACTTCTTGTTTTGCAGAAATAAAAGCTAGGACAAAAGCATGTAGTTTGTAATTGACTAGTTTTTGTCCTTATTTTCTGTTACTTCATCTTTCCAAGAAACCTTTGCCTGGTGTTAAACTCTTCTTGTTCACAAGAAGATCTGATCACTTCCTGGAAACATGAATGTGAGAATGTGTATGGAACTGTTCTGATGGACGCCGTTGATAAAGGTCGATGGATGCAAGCATTTCACACAGCTGCGAAAAAGCGTTTTGATAAATCACAGGTAAAACATCTAGTTTTCTAAAGAACTGGTTACAAATCTTGCCATTTTCATGCCACTCAGTTACTTAAGATTTTTCCAACGTGGTATAATTGAATTGTTTGTAGGCCCGTACTATCTCTAGGTTGTCTGTTTACAAGTAGCTGATATTTGCCTTTTTAATGATACATGTATGCTCTTACAGCTTGAGTTTATGATGAAGCCTTCATGCCTCATTTCTAACCTCATTGATGTTGATGATGGAATAAAGAAGGGCTCCAAATCAAGCAAAAATTCAGTGGATGCAGAAGAACAGATTAACGCTTACAAAGCAAGCAGTGATCTTTCAAAGGTACGTGATGTTATCAAGCTCGATTATTTTTTTCATAAAAATGTTGAGGATCACACGGCAGTATTTAAATACTGATGTCTCTCGATATTCCTGCTTCCGGCTCCTTTTTTCTTTTGCTGTATGCATTTTAATTCTTTATACATGTCTGAAAACGTGAAATAGATTTTCTATATAAGGCCACCGTATTCACCCCTATTCTGGCTTTCTGTGATACCTTTTCTGCAGAGAAATATTTCTGTCTAAGCCTTCAATATTGGAAAATAATCCGTCAGCTTATGCTTGAAACTCTCGTTTTTAGCTGCTGATGCATAAGGACGGGACAGTCTAATGTAAAATATGTTATTTGTTGTTTTTCAGGCAAAAGCAATTCTAGAACACAACATTCATGAATATAACAAAGACAATCCAAAAGTGAAAATCTATCTATATGAGGTATGTTTTTTAAAGTCATTAGCTACGTGTTATCAGCTTAGCAGTTGAAGGAGTTTTCATCCAGATGAAGTTTTTATTCCACTTGCTGAAGCATTATTAGTCGTAGAAAATGGTAGCATGTTGCACTTTTACAGTTTTCCTTGCACATAGGAAAGCAATGTCAGACAGAAGCAAATAAGATATTGGACCGATATATAGAAAAAGTAAGGGCAAGCAAGGGCCAAGGTTGCCTAAATTGTCTTTAGGATTGTTCGAGCTGGCTGTAAGCATGTTAACCTTAGTCTTAAGCAGTGAGTTTTTGGAAAGCCGATAGAATGCAATTTTGATAATAGGGGGTCTTGTTTGTTCACATTATTTTCCTTGCCTGTTTGTTAAACTCTTTTCCTTTCTGGTCTCGCTCAATCCATTAAGAAGTGAATGCATGCTTTAGCTATAAATTCATACGAGTGTTGTTGTATCTGGCAAATATTCATGTTTTTCAGGAGACGATCAGGACAATCTGTCGTTTAATCCGCATTCTGCAGTCGCCACACGAATGTGGTCACGCGATGGTCCTTGCAAATGGCTTTCCTGGCCTCCCACTACCTCTTGTGAAAATCTCAGCCTACATTTGTGGATTCACTGTCTTCCAAATACATCCGTCAAGCTTGGTCTTAGGAGACAAGTATACAATTGAGCACTTTAAACTTGATATAGTCAACGCTTACACAACTGCTGGATTAAAGGTAAAACATTTTTGTCTAGATTTCAAAAGCATATTGAGCAACATGCAGCTACTCATTCATTTCTTTGGAATTCAAAAAATTGTTTTATTTTCTTTTTCAAAGCTAGGGAACTAAGACAACTCCCTCCTCAGGGTTTCAATGTTGAAATTATAATGCCTTTGCATACCAACATCCTGGTCATAACGAATGGTGTACGGAGTCTCAAGGAAATCCGGACTACGACTTATGTTTTCCAGTAAAGTCCAAGAGTCACGATATCAAGCTTGGAATTATTTGGGCTCTTTCTTTATACATTGAAAGCGAAATAAATCATTGAAGCACTCCTATATTTACGTGTTGTTTCACTGTTTATCATCATGAAGTTATAAATGCCCTCATTGGTAATTATCAGATGGCTCGATTACCTAATGAAGTGATTTACGATGGATAATAAAGTCAAAATTGTTTCCTCATTCTACTTATGATCTCCTCGTTTTCTTGTAGGGTGAAAAGTTGCTTTTTGTACTAAATGAAATGGAGTTATTTGATGAAGACTTTCTCGTCTATGTGACGGAGTTTCTAGTGTCTAATTCCATTTCTCATCTCTTCAACGATGAGGAACAAACCTCGATAACGAATGCAATTAGGACCGAGGTCACGCAAGCTGGGTTAAATTATACCAAGGAAACAGCATGGAACTTCTTTTTAAAGTAAGGCAGCTAACGAAGTTTACTTTCATTCTTGTTCAGTGTTTTCATTAAATTAGATGGAAATCATACAAGAGTTATTAACATTATCAATTGTGGACCATTTAGAAGCCAATTAGGAGTCAAAAACAAGAAATACACATTTATTGTCGGATTCTATGGTTAATTTTTTTGTAAGAAATGATCAAATGCAGTAACTTTATTGAAGAGAACTTAAAAATCTTTTGCCGACAGGTTTGCTATGCGCTCCATTTTGATTGATCGGTGTTATGCCTTTGCGTTCACTTTCAGAAGAATTTTTAGAATTTGGAAGGATAAAATGAAATTTTTAGTATTATACAATTAAGCAAGGATTTACTTACTTTCAGGGCTGTACGAGAAAACCTCCGTTTTGTTTTTATTGTATCATCAATGGAAGAGAAATTTCAGAACAGATGTCGCCAGTTTCCAAGCATGATAAATGCAATGCAAATGCTGTCTCTGCCTTTTTGGACCAAAGAAGAACTAGTTGGAATTGCAAGCTACCATCTCAAAGGTACCCTTATTTGATTGGATGTTCGTGTACAGTTGTCTCGATGAATTTATTTGTCTGCCGTTCCAAAACAGTTCGCAATGATTGTCTTGTGTCAGACACATATCTACAGAGCTAATCAGGTTGAAAGGAACTGTAGGCAAATATATTGGACTATTGGTTCAAGCTAAATAAAATAAGCGATGAAGACGTTAAATCATGGTTCAAGAATCCATTTTTGGTATAATATCTAAAGAAATATTGACATATTAAGATCTTATTGGGCTTACCAACTAAGTCTTGCGTAGTTCATTAGTGTTTATGCTATGCACTATTTCTATTAGGCATATCTCCTTTTTACAGAAACGACAATTTTTGATGAAACAGAGAAGGAGAATATCGCTTATCTGCTTGCGTCCATGCACCTTGCTGTCGCTGAATCAGATGGGTCAGAAAGAATCAATGGCAAATTCAAGCACGTCACAAACACCACCTTTGAAAGATTTGTCGAACAGTGAGTTAATGAGGATTTCTCCTTTACTCATCACTAATATTCAAATTATTATTCATATTTTTTCATCTGCTGTTGAAATCCCGTGATGATTAATTAATTTGGCTGTAATTAATCCTAATCTGTTGCAAAAACTTTTAGAACTTTTGTAAGAAAGGAAAAAATTCCATCTTGTACGTTCATGTTGCAAAATCTAACCTATATATTTGCCTAGATGTAGTTTCTTTGACATTAAACCTTTAGGTAAGTTTTTGTATCCTAATCATGTATTTTGAAGCCAACTTGAATCGGTTTCAAATATAATAATAGCAATCATTCGGTGGTAGATTCTAATGAAGCTATTGACTGTTACATCTTGTTTACTAAAGCTAGCAGTAACATTGATAACCCTTAATATGTTTTGCTTAGCCTCATACAGCTCAGTTATTTTCATCAAGCAGTCTTTTTTGATTGTTTTTTAACATTGAAATTAATCAGACATTAGATTACTTTCATATCTAGTCAGTTGAAACCCAAATAGGAGCGAATCCAAACTTTAAATTTCTTACATATTTGCATCTGATTGCTAACTCGTGATCTTGTAGCTTCGTGGATATGGCCTTCAAACGCCACTCTGAGATTGAGAAAGAATTTGATTTGATGACGAAAACACTTGAAGCGATTGACAGAGGAACGGAGCTAGCCAATCAGCTGAAGAGTCAGCTTGATCATGAGAATATGGTTTTTGATCAGAAAAAACAGGTAGGCAATATTGTCAATGAAGAAAACAGCGTAAACAACTCATTTGACTGTGTTTTTCCCCACATTTGCTGACAAACAATTTATGCACCAAGCTACATTCTTTTTCATTTTTCTAATAGAATTTTTTTTCATGTTAAAATATGCTTTGAAGTTATACGGATTTAATGAGCACTGTTTGTAAATCAATCGGTAGTTGTTAAATTCATTATTAGCCTTGCATTATTAATTGTATAAAGCTCATATGACTTTCGTACATTAATTTCAATTTGTTATTTTTAGGGTAATTTCACGCTGCTTAGCCAGATTGGTCAAGTATGTCACCATATGGTTCTTTCACTTATGTAAATAATATCCTTGGACCGTGTATAATGGTATTTTTATTCATTTCGAAGTGCCTATATATTAAAGGGACTAAATTTATGCCTATATATTTATTACCTAAAATATACAATTTAGAGAATTTTTGTATTGTGAAATTAATGTTGGCACAGACTTTTCATGTTTTTGTAGCAAATGGTTTATCTTACCCGTTACTAACTTAGTTGATCTTATCTTTAGTTTCGTTTGTCATTACATCAAATGCTTTTTTATAGGACAAAGCCATAACAGAGGAACAAGTAAGATTGGTGAAGAAACAACAATGGAAGATTGAACAGTTGGAGCGTGTACGTATTATCTACATCTCCAGTGAATTGCACAGAACTAATCTTAATGTCCTGCTACTTATTCCATTCATAAAAAGAAATGAGAATAAATTTGGTTTGTTCTGTCTTTGCTAGTAGACAGGGAAATAATTGTGACAAACTAAGCAAGTGCCTAATACAAAAAAGGTAGACTTCTCGATTATTATTAAATTACTGTCGTAGTATTTTGTCTTAATTGTAAACCAGCCAAGTAACAAATTTGTCTTGACTTTGAAGTCACAAGTTTGCCAGGAAGTTTATTACCAAGTATAATTTTTCAAATGCTCCTTTTTAGTATCAATAATTGATTTTTTCTTGCTACAATCTTATGCTATCAGATTTTCCTGCAAGCAATTTATATATGAGCATTTGAAACGGGTCAAGAGTCCGTATTTCCTCTGCCGAGGTAGTACTGATGTTAATAGCCACGTAAATACCAGAATATCATTCAACTCTTTACCTAAAACCCAGCCATGGGGTAGGTTTTCTATCAGTGTATTAGTCTTTTTGACGGGCGTGTTACTCATAGAGAAAGTACTTTCGCTGTCCCACTACCCTACCACATCTTTAACAAATCACTCTCATTGAATTTCATTCCGGCCACTTTTATTTATAAGCATAAAATGATCACAATAATTGGTTTTTCCTGAAATCTCAAAATAATTCTCTTCATTAGCTTCTTCCTCGTTACCAAGACGCACACGAAAGAGCCGTATTCAAGGCTGCTGCAATGGTTAAGGAAACGAAGCAAATTCTTCTCGAATTGGACCAACAAGGATTGTCAGATCTGCGATCGATGCAGAAACCAGACAGTGACATAGAAGATATTCTCGCCGCAATAATCATCATTGGTACTAAATTTGTTTCAAGTTAACTTTTTTTGTTATTTAGCTTTAAAGGTAAACTATATACATGCTTCAAAAGTAACAACTGTTGAACTAAGTAACAATATGATTATCTTTGAATTTGCCCTGAAGTTTTCAGTCGCTGAATTCCATCCAATAATGAATTGCTTTTATGCAATCTATTACAAAAAGTGTGCCAAGGCACCTTTTACCTGCAAGAGATTCCCATTCGTGTTTATTGATTCTGATTTTTGAATTTCAGTTAAATCACCAACGTCAGACTTAACATGGAACAAAGGAGCGAAACGAATCATGGCAAACCTTGAAAGGTAACCACTTACTTCACGTCGTCGGTCTGTAGTTGCGTCACAATGGGCCTTGTCACTGCAATGTTTACTTGGAAACAAAACGCGTAATAGACCAAGCCTCATTTGTAAATCATTCCTCAATATCCTTGTGTTTTTCTGATAGAAAACTAACGGTTTTAAAACATTATTGCAGTTTCTTTGTTAGGTATTCTTGATTCTGGTAACATGTACTTGACGAATGCTCTTTTGTCAATCGAAGGTTTAGAGAAGAACTGACAGCGTTTGACGAGACGGAGTTGACCGAAGACACATTGCAAGTGGTCGAGCCATATATCAAAAGATCTCATTTTGCACCTGGGTATATGGAAAAGAAGACCTCGAATCAAGCGTTAGAGTCTCTAGTCGCTTGGGTCTGTGGAGTTGTGAAGTAAGCACGCGATATTTTTACTCTTTGGGTAATGAGGACCTGGGTACCAGCTTTCATGCTTTACAGCTTTTTAAAATTGCTAAAGATGCAAAGATCAGGCTAGATAAATGTTTTGCTTGTCAGCAAAGAAACATTGCCATCCAGCTCAGTATTATTTTGTTGCATGCGATTTTATTCGAATAGAGTGTGAAGTTGTTCAATCACTACTTACTTTATATCTAATATTTGTAATTTCAGTATGAATCTTTGTTCGTTACTTTTACAATTCGAATACCGTAAATCCTCGAATTGGCTCTCCCCCTTGAGAAAGCCCCCCCCCCTCGAATACGCTCCCACCCTAGAACTACAAATTATCAAAAAGCGCCCCTCGAATAAGCCCCCACTGCTACCGTAAATTCTCGAATCGGACCCCTCAATTTGATGATTTTGCCATCTGAGGTTGCCTATGGCGTTTTATTGAATTATCACAACAAATGCATACTTTTGGTAGTAGTTCATTAAATGCACATAAAGAAATTCCTACTAAAATAAGCGAGGTCTTCTTAATGTCTACAATAATTCTATAAGCCCCCCTCTCGTATAAGACCCCCTCGAATAAGCCCCCATCCAAGAATATAAAAAATAAATAAGCCCCCAGGGGGCTAATTCGAGGATTTGCGGTATAACCAAAATGCTCCTCCAATTTAACATAAAAATATACTAGGATAACATCATTAGAGGTAAAGACATTATATTTGAACGGGTGAAGGGGACACCCAGTCGTACAACGGCTTTTGATTGAAGCTATGAAATGTACTGAAGATTGTTGTAACCTGTAACCCAGACTTTTTATAATGCAAGGTATCATCGTATGATGTTGTCACGAGTGAAGCCATTGCACAAAATGGTTCAGCAAACAACGACCTCACTAGACGAGGCAGTGGAAAAACTGGATGGGATGCAGAGCAAGTTGGGTAACCTCAACAATCGCATGGTTTCATTGTCTGGGAAATTTGAAGATGCCTCTGTGGATAAAAGCAGGCAGGGGTTGTTGACGGACAATCAGCAGCATCAGCTTTCAAGGGCAGCGTATTTCGAAAAGGTGCTCATGAAAATTCTATATTTGCATCTGCCAAAAATCAACGACATGCAAATTATATTGCCAAAAATGTCATTTATTGCCAGAAATCACTTTTGATAAGTGGAAGCAAGACTTGCAGATCTTGAATATGTTGTACTACTAAGCAGTTATTTTGGTATTTCTCTAATTATACATTTTTTCTTTTAAATTGATTGCCTGAGGTACACGCCTTCTTGAAACTTCACAATAACAATTTATGTTCCGTAGTAAACTCTTTCTAAATTGCTTTGCCGATTCTTCAGCTGCATATAAAAAGGTCTTCCATATGAATTTTCCATTTATTATTTTGCATTTTGTTTATGGCAGCTGCTGTTTGCTGGAAGGCAGCAATGGACAAGAGTTCTTGAGTCTATAGCGCACAGAAGGCAATCGATGGTTGGTAACGTCGCGATTTCGGTTGGATTTGCAACTTACCTTGGCTTTTATGACCACGAGTTCAGGAAAACAATGACTGAACTGAAATGGCCTGCCTGCCTCAAAGAGCGGGGAATTGTAATAGATATAAAGATTGCAGATAATTTGACGGTTGATATAACATTAAGCATGGCGTCAATGGATACCAAAGCTTTCGTAAAGAACCTTGAGGAGGGAGCTGGCTCAAACGAGGCCGTTGCCGAAAATGTGGCCGCGGCAGACAACATGCAGGATGGAGAAAGTATGGATGTGAAAGAGCCTGCTGCTGAGGAGAAGCAATCAGAAATGCCGGGGGTGGAACAAGATAACAAAGTTGCAGACGACGTTGCATCTCTTAAAAGTTCAGAATCAGAGAGAAAGAAACAACTGAAGGAAGTAGAAAGCATGTTGTCAACAGGGGGAAACTCCTTGTATATGTATGACCAATTCCTCCTAGCAGTTCTCAAATTGCTCACTGGTGACACGTTAGAGAGAATGTGGATTTCTAAAGGGCTGAATTACAGACAACTGGAAGACGCTTCGATTCTCTTTGCGTCTGTACAAACGCCTGTTCTACTAATGGATCCATACAACCTGGCGATGGGCCTATTTTCAATTATTGATACCAATGTTGTCACTCTCGACTTTATGCAAAGGTAATTTTAACAGTAGAAGATAAACGAGCTAGGTGTCTTTTTATGCTGATTTATCATATTATTAATTCAAAGCACATTATCGTTAAGGACGTTGACTTAAACAACTGCATAAGAAAAATTTAGTATCTGCATTCAGCTTTGAAATAAGCGTCTCTTTGATTAAACCAACGCCCCCTTGAGCAAAGCTCCTTTTATGCATTTCTTCAATTAATGGTCTATCTCCCTAAGCAATGCTTTTTTACATTAATGAAGGGTGTATCTTACTGTTTATCTTTAGGGCTGATGTTGTTTTGGATGCAATTGAGAGAGCAGTGACTTCTGGAGACACGTTATTGGTGTACAATGTCAGTGGCCATATTGACTCGTTCTTCTTTCCCATCATTGACCATATCAACACCAAATGCCGTCAGCATTTACTTGATGGTAAGCTTCTTCTACTGAACTTGCTTAGCATCCATTTTATGCACAAATGTCTATGAGATAAAAAAGCATATTTTCATGTCAAAAGTGGAGAAGGGTAGAACTGTGAGAAGAACTAGGTTGTTTGTGCTCCAATGAGAGCAGGAGCAAGTGAGATCTTTTTGTTGCTTGCCTTAGCACTGGGATTGCATTGTAGGCTACCACGCTGTAGCGGAGGCTATCGAGAGGTGAATATAGTGAAAAATGCTTTTAAAACTTTACCGAGTAGCTAACAGTGGTAAATTTTTGTTTCTTTCTCAAGCAAGGCTGAGCTCAGTAAAAACCCAGTTATTAGGTCTTGGTTAACGGGAGGACAAAACATAAAGATAATCTGATTGTGTAGACTTCGTGAAAAGAATAGAAAAAGTTATTTTCTAGGGGACATGTTCGCTTCCAACCTGCTTATTTGCTCTTTTTTATCGATTTGACCTCGAGAAAACAGAAGGAGAGAGAATTGATTGGGTTCCTAGATCCTTGTCAAAACAGACAAGTGTCTCTTTTTTCAAGACAAGGCACTCTTACACACTTACAAGTATAGCATCTTTGAATAGGCCAAAGGTGATGATTAAACGCACTTTGGCATCTCCTCATGAGCAAAAGTAGAATACATATTTTTCTTTTTTCCTTCTTTAGAGCCAAGTGTCATCAAGATGAATGGACGACGCCTGATGATCCACCCATCCTTCCAATTAATAATCGCCCACAATTCCCCCTTTCCAAACATCCCTGACCAGCTTGCCTCTACAATGACTGTTATTGATCTTCGCCCGCACACCAATGGTATCTTGCGATACTTCTTATTGCAAGGCATTCAGAGACTGAAGCCAGAAATACACAACGCCGACAACAAAGTTTACTATGAGCTCTTCCAATGCTACGACACCCTTGAGAAGCTTGACAGCACGTCCATGGCTCTGATACGAGGCAAAGAGGGCTCCGGTATGTGGGAAGAGACAGAGACAATAACAAGCTTGGTGAAGAAAAGGGCAAAGGTGTGTTAATGGTAGCAGAGCATGGCGCTAATTTTGTTCTAGCGCTTCATCTGCATTATTGAAGTTTGTAAAAACCATTGTATTATTTTTTACTATTTTTCTTCTTTAGCAGTTTCTTGTTAGAAATATGTCGTTAATGTAAATTTGTTTATCTGATTGTGTAGTTTGTTAAATGCCAGCCAAATTGGCTCAGACTAGATAATTTAGTTATTTTGAAAACTGAATGAAACATTTTACACATTAATCCATTTTCCTCTTACGTAGATGGCATCAAGGTTTTCACAGGTCATTCTAGCCCTGCAGCGTCTGCAAAGCCATAGAGTGAAATTCATGCCACTTGCCCAGTGTGTTCTCTCTGCTTTTAACGTCCTGCTTTCATTGAGCGCCCTCAGGGATGAATACCAGTTCCCTTTTGATTTCTTGGTCTCAGTCTTTGATTCGGCTACGGAGAGGGATGCTGCGGAGGTTGATACAAGAATGGTTTACTTGGCGGAAAACGAAAGAAGCAACGCAACGAGGTTCAGGTCAAGGCGAGACAAGGAAGAAAAGAGCCTGAAAAGCACCGCAGAATTGCTGGGCGTTAATCTTGATAGGATCCAGACTGCTTTGAAACAAGAGGGAAAAGGGTTTGCCCACTTAAAAGGTAACTGTGTGACGCTAAATACAATTTACGAACAGTATTTCACTTTGCTTAAGGAGAACATTTAGCTACATAATGTCAGTTTGAGATATGAATTTCATTTTCACCTTGAACAAGGACCACCTGAAAAGTCCCTTTTTGTACTCACAGTCCTAAAATGAAGGGATGGGCAATGACAAGTTGTCTCTATAGAAATGGCATTTAGTTTAGTCGTGTTAATATTTACTCGGTTACTTTTTTCATACTTCTAGATAAGAATTTAACAGTGTGACGACGATTTTGAACTGATCTGTGAATTCTTTATTTTCTTCACAACAGGCACCAAAAGCTCGCACCAGTCTGCCAGCAGCTTTGATATTGATGGAAGCATTGATTTACCGGAAGAGATGGATATAAATGTCCCGGATGTCGTCGAAGGCATTGATGAAGAAATTCGCGAGACTTGCCGCAAGTTTTTCAAAAACTTCTACAAGCGTGTTTCGAAGTGAGCACATTTTCTATCTTTTTTACAAAATATTTTCTAATAATTAAATAAAGTCAATTGCTTAATCCTCAAATTTTTACCCAAACATTGTTAATAGATATAGAATTTCCACAGTATTTTAAGATTCTTTTTTCTGTCCACCTTTCTCAATCAAGATACTCAAGCTTTTCATTTTGTCACTTTAAGTAATAACTTGTTTCTGTAATTTCACCATTCTCTTTAAAACATTCTGTAGATTCCTGGTTTTTGTCTCACTTGGTGGAAATTATGCAAAAATCTAAGGCAAAAATGCAAGGAATCCGTGATTTGTAGACTGTCTGGAATGGACATTGCCGTTTCTTGTGTTCCTCGTGAACTGTAATTCATCTTTTAACTTCTACAGGACATTGACTTCAGATCATCTAGAATTGTTCACGTTGCTTTGTTGGATTCGAATGGAATCAGTGCAGCTTTCGCCTCCTGACCTAAACACAGTCAAATTACTTTTGCAAAAAGGTTTGTGTCTCTTATTCAAATTGAAAAGAAGACACAAGATTCTTAATCTTAAGATGTTTGCTGCGAAATTTTTGATAGTCAATTTCAACTCTAAACAAAACACTTTTCTAATAGATCTCCATTAATTGTGTTGCATTTCCAACGCAGTTAAATTTTTTTGTCACTTGCCCAAGCTTGATGGAATGCTCTGGATTTTTTTCTGACTGAAAACCTTCTTCAGCTAATATATAGCCATACTTTAATGCAATCGACTGAAGGTATCTTTTTCCCAGATGAATTCAAAATGGATGCATCAGCGATGCCAGATAAACCAAAATGGCTGCCAACTGACCAATGGAAACTATTGATTGCAATTTCATACAGTGAGCCGTTGCTTGAAGGTATCATCAAATCATTCGGGAGGTCTCCTGATGCCTGGTTGAAATGGTATTCATCTAGAGTTCCGGAGGACGAAGACATGCCGGAAGAAACACCAGCTCCTGAACCTGGGAACGCGGAAGAAGATGACGCAGCGTTGGCCAGTGAAAATGCAGATGTAAACAATACATTTGAATCAAATAGCAAATTCACAAAGTTACTTCTCATAAGATGCTTGCGTCCTGACCGTTTTCAGTCAGCGATGACCAAGCTCTGTTACTCCGATCTCACTGATATTCAAGAAAAGCCAACTTTCCTTTTTGATGACTTGTTCCCAGTGGCAAGTAAGGCAATGCCAGTGCTGATTCTAATGCCTTCAAGCAAAGGATGCAACGAAAGAAATATTGGCGATAAGGCTTCATGTCCAGAAACTGTGTTCAGTGCTTTGGCAGCAAAGGCAGAGGTACTGAAATCTCATGTTCCTTCGATATACTTTTTTTCGATAAGGGTTGTGCAAGATTTTAATTGACAGTACATTAGTAGTATCACAACTCAGTTTTGGATATTGGAAGAAGGTTCGAGTACACTGTTCATCGTCCTTTATTTTTGACATTTTTGGAAACGTTTCTGCACGGGAATTGCTTCTCAATGCACTGAAATTCAAATGCTGGGAATCTATATCTCATCGCGATATTTTTTCATACGAGTTTTATAGTGGTTATATTTCATCATTTTGTAAGTGCGACCGAAAAATAAATCATTTTTCAGTAAGAAGATCTGTAAGCCGTGATATCGAAAGCAAGGCGAACAGCTTTCGTAACACGACTCGCACCAAGAGTAAAATATCTCTATTATATGATGTCATTTCTTTCATAACCGTAGGAGAACAGCACCAGACTGATGCGCGTATCGCTGTCTGATGCAAACGAGAGGCATGTTGAATTTAGGCTCAATAACGCGATGTCAGCAGACGACTGGATATTAGTGGAAAACTTGCATCTGGGGAACGAAACATGGCTCCATCATTTAACGAGAAGACTTCTACGGCTTCACGAACAATCAGGTGTGTTATTAATCATAGTAAAAACAATGGCAGAAATAACAATGACATTAGTAAAGGAAATTTTCATGCTGAAATCAAACTCCAACTATTGTTACAAATATCTCTACTAGCAACTTGCACCTTGGGTTTACAAAAGAAGCTTTTAAAAATAAACTTACAAGATAACATAGAAAGCAGAAACTACAATTATGAAAGAAAACTAAAGTCGATTTTGTCAATGGCCTATTGTTTGGTCCCTAAAAGTTATTTTGTTTATCCTTTTCCAATTTTGTGTTTAAATGCTCTTCCTCCGTTAACAAAACATTTTTTGTCCCCAGATGAAGACAAGAAGTGGAAGATATTCATGACGTCAGAACCATCTAGCCAATTGCCTGTACAGCTTCTTTATATTAGCGAGAAGATCTCCTTCGACGCTTTGCTTTCAATGACCAAATCAAGTGAAGACCAGAGCTCTCTGCTATTAACAAACATAAAAAACTCTTTTGCGGTAAGTTACGTTTATCTTATTCAAATCACGCCGTGCTTGCTGGGCTTTGGTTTTCATTTACAATAAAAAATACAATGCTTTTGTTGATGCACTATTTTGTGAAAAATTCTGCACGGATGTCCACATATTGTAATTTTCAGCCTTTATTTTCAATATTTAATTTTCTAAGTATTTTTGGTTTGCTGATCTTCTTTTGCCCTCTATAGTACGTTGATGGAGCCGTCTGGGTAGAATCACGTGACAAGTCGTTAAGTCATCGCAATCTCCTATATTCGCTGTGCATTGCGCATGGTTTGATAACAGCCAGAGAAGTTTATTCACCACGAACCGTCAGCATTAAACCAAGGGTGATGGCAAGAGACTTAGTGGTTGCTGTCCAATTTGTTACCGTGTATTTCGAAAGCAAACAAGAACATGTAAATTTGTCATTGCAAGAAGTTTGCCAACTTATATGCGAGGTTTGGAACATCTAATTTTTGTGACTTAATCTTTAAGAATTAAAGAATTGTATAACCTAAAAGCTATTTTATTCCACGTGGACCAAAAGAGCAAGTGGGTAAGAGGGGCAAGCAAAGGTATCATTTTCAGAATTTACTAAAAACTAAACAAAAATCGCCTTTTTTTTATTTTTTTAGCATGTTTCAACCCCCAAAACTTTCTAGCCCTTTCAATCCATGATATGCTTCGCGATCCTCATTTTTCATCCGGTAAGAACATAATGCAAAAAGCATTTGTAGACCTGTACGTAAAAAAAGGGTTGAGTTTTACAAATTTTTAGTCCTGGCTTGCCTAGGAGAAAATTTGCTAAGAAATGTATTCAACTGGTTTTATGCAAGGCATATTGCCATAACAACCTTCCATTAATAAAGTGATAAGGAGCAAATTTATGAATCAAAACTTCAAGGTGAATGATATTTTCTTATCTATTTCATTAGGACGTGTATTGTAGCAAAGCTGTTGCAGAGACGGATAGATATTATTACCAGGCTATATTCAATAACATTGCAACTGGTCTTTCCTCCAATCTTGGATCTTCAATTCAGTTTGGTGAATGGTCCGTCCCCGTCCCCCCGGTAAATGTTGATCCCGTAGATTATTGCCAGTGGTGCATAGAAAAACTCAAGGTTGAAGAGGATTGCACTCTCAAAGGATTGCAGTTACACAAAACCGTTGGGAGACAAATGGAAAAACAAAGGTATAGCCCTTGATCTGATTAAACGTATTTTAATAGAAAATAAAACTGGATAATCCCATACGGTAGATTTTCAGGAAACTTTGCTGCGAAATTTTTCTTAAATTTTACGTATTCACACAATGGAACGATTGAACTATTTAATTAAGAAGAAGTTATCTGCTTCAATACTTTGACGTGTGTTCTTGATCTCTAGATCCGATGACTTTTCTGCTGATCTTAAGATGCTGTGCGATGAATCGTTACAAGAGCCATTTTCAAAAATGCCATGTCTCCACAATGCTGCCAAGGCTGTTCATTTGCGCCATGCCATAGATCTTTGCAAAGAGAAACTTCCTTGTCTTTTGAAAATTGATGACTACTTTGGAAGAACTTTCAGTCAAATTAGATCGAACCCTGAGCTGAGGTCGTTGACTCCCTTTTCAGAAAAAAGCTTGCGGATTTCTCAGAACCAAGAACTTCCGCCCACTATTGGTTATTGTCTGCTCAAGGTAGGTCTAGATGTTCTTATTTAATAGTGTGCATGTGATTTCATACCTTCGGTCTCGCCAGATATTAAGGCCTGCTGGTGTTCCAACACAGTGGCGGAATTCGAGCATTTTACTTCGGTCTTATATTTAAGCGGTCCTTCCCCAATGAAAATCTTTAGGCCCCCAAACATTTTATTATTTTCTAAAGAATAAATTCTCCTGTTTACTGCCTTTGCGATCGATTGATAAATCTCCGGTCATTTCCATCCAGGAATGCGAATGGTTGAACAATCTTCTATACAGTATTTCGTCGACGTTACAAGATCTTGATCAGCGTCTCATTAGTGGCATCCATGCTGTGCATTTAGGCCAGGCGTCCATTGTCGATTCTCTTTGCGCTGGAAGAGTACCGCGTGAATGGTACAGCTTTTTTCCAGGAACTTCATTGCAGACCTTGGATGGTTGGCTACGCTGTGAGTCCTGCTTTTGTTTAAGTAGCTCTTCTAACTTTTTTGTAATAATCCGCAAAATTAATTTTGTAGAATTGCATCATTCAATTGGAAACTAAGTTGCAATCCGTGATTGCTCGTTTTTCTTACATCTCGTACCCAGGAACCGCAAATGCGTGAGATGAGGGGGCTTGGCCCTCTCCCAATAATTTCATCATAGAGCGCGTGTTTGCCGCACTTCTGCCCCCCCCCCCTTTCTTTTATGTACGCTCGTTCGCCTATCCCAGGATGTCTAATAGTTTTTCACTATCTTTCACCAAAAGCCCATTCTATCTTGGGTTGAAATATGGACTTACTAAGCTTACAGAGGCGTCCAACCTAATTTACCTGAAAACCCCTCTAATTAAGTACACTTAAAAAATAATCCATAGGTTTACTGCTGTTTGATTCCACTTTATATAAGGCGATTAACTGGAAGAAACCCACTGATAACCTAGAAATCTTTTCAAGGTTTTAGAATTCATTGATGACGCTAGAATAGGACAAATCTTCTTCTCACATTGTCTAGTTCGTGTTTGAATTTCTCCGAAATAATCTAAAGGGAGTTTTGTTCCAAGGTTTTTAAATCTGATCGGATAGAGTTGATAAGATCTTAAGGTTAAAATTGTTTTGGGTTTAAAGGAAAAGGTTATCGTTGTTAGTATGTTAGTATATTTCTCTATCAAGTTATCAAAACTCGTTGTAATTGCTGCTAATTTTGCAAGTATTTTTATCTGACCATAAGTGAATTCTTTGCCTAAAGTCATCTTGCCGTTATTGATTTAGGTATCCAAAAGGTGCACTCACAGCTTAATGCCTGGCTAAAGTCAGGTATCGTCCCAAAACCATCTGCTGAGCCAACAATCGGCCATGGGACTCTGGATGTTGTCGATTTGAGTCTTCTTCGCAATCCTGAAGGCCTAATAACAGCGATGAGATATTCTAAATCCATGTCAGATGGAGTCAGTATTGATGAGGTATGAAATGTTGTTGTTTGTATCTTCCCAAAACAACAGCTCGCCATCATCAACTAACCATCCCTACCCTTAAAAAATGATCATTTTTATAATAATGATAAGTATCATTTAAAGTCATTGTCATAACCACTTTTTTATAGCTAGCTACCAGGATAATCTAACGTCAAGCTCAAGCAAATAGAGTTTTTATCATTAAATGGTATTTCTATGCATAAATAAAGGAAAAAGACTACTCTTGTGAGAAGTGATTGTTACGTAGTTTCAAGCACTTGATACGTAGTCTAAAAACATTTCCAAAACGTTTTCAGACAATTTTGCTTGATATTTGTTTTATTAGGATTCTTTTGACAGGGTCTACGTTGATTTTAACATAATCAAATATACATTTACGAGGCTCTGAACAAAACGATGATTGAAGTTAACTATACAAAATAAGGTCAAAATATGCTCTTTATTGTGTTATTACAACACCACAAATAACGATAATATAGTTAGCAAATAAATTGAGTAACAGAATGAAAATAAAATAGTTTGGTTGATGAAAACTAATCAAAAATAATTTTAACAATCAAACTATTCTATTTTCGTTTTGGTACTCAATTTATTTGCTAACTACGTTATTGTTTTTTCGGATGAAGTACCACACGCAACGTACATATTTAATTGGATTTTATTACAACACCCTTGAAATTCTCAACTGCTTGAAATTGCAATTGTTACAATTAATTCAATCAGCTAACAGATATTCTCTCATTTCACAGGTTTTCAGAAAGAAAAAAAAACCTTTGCAGCCCTGCTAATTGCTTCTTTTGGTTATTTTGTGAAATAAACAAACCAATAAATCAGTATCTTAACGAAACTCCTTTCAGGCAATTACATAGATGTAATAATACCAGTTGTATCTCAATCTTTCGTGTAGATTTTGAATCCCGCATGATATGTTGAATTCCATTCCTGTAGATGAGTCTCTAATTTTTCTATAGCATCACAACTCAACAAGTGTTAATTCTATTAGATTATATCTTGTTTACCCTACACAAACAGCTCACTTACATTATAAGACCGACCTTCATACATGGCAACTCATTGTAATGATATTTTCGTTCTCTCTCTAACAGATCACCCTAACATGTTATTTTTCGAATATCGTAAACAAACGCCCCGCATTACCAGATAGTATCAAAGCAATGGATGGCATTTTCCTGACAAATTTGTTTCTTGACGGTGCATCATGGGATATTGAAAACAGCTACCTAGCCGAGCAACGGTAAGTCCTTGCAGGTTGTAGAGTTTGCATGTAGCAGTAGAAGCACCAAGGAGACTAGAGGCAGCAATAAATTACGTTGGGTCTTATACATAATTCATCGTTCTTTTCAAGTGCTAATCGCTCTATGCCTTTTTATGCTGTGTTAATTAGTGTTAAGCATAAACGTGTGTTGCATTTTTTTCTATTCTAGAAAAATTATCGAAAAAATGCCCTATGTCTTTGTTACACCACAGAAGAAGGGAAACGTTGACAATTCTCCTTGTTTTCAATGTCCAGTTTTCCTAAATAGAGTAAGTATACTTCGTGGTTTTGTTTTCTTGAGATGATAATGCAGTAAACAAGATGATGATAGAAAATTTTTGAAATTATAATTGAGTTGTTTTTACAAGTATTTTGCTCATGGATGAACGGTTGTGGTTTGTTGAAACGATAATCATGTTTAGAAATTCAATGAGTCATTCCTTTTCTTGATTAGAATTTTCAGATTTATCAAAATATGAAGATTATTCTGGAATCAATTTATAGAACCATCGATAAATCATGTTTTTCAGTGTCGACAGAAGCTGCTGTTTGAGTTATCTCTGCCAATCAAAGATCAGAATCAAAACGAGAAGTGCACATTTAATGGCACTTGTATGATGCTCGATCCTTCACCTGAAATTGTGTAAATTATCTGAAATTTCTAGGCTAGTGTTGTAACAACTGTACATAGCTGTTAAAGTTTTTTGCTTGTTATAACACTGTAAATATATTCTTTCACTTCCCTTTTTAAGCAAAGGGATTTGTTGTTTAGAAGTTCGAGGGATGTTAGTACTTAGCGATATGCCCTTTACCTAAACTCCACAAGGTAACGAGAAGACAAGTTCATTGATTATCATCTTTGACTCAATGATAAAATGATTGCTTTGTCTACCAAGATGTTGATAAAGACGCTGATAGACGCTGTAGAAGTCTTTTCGATGTTTTCAAAATCGCCTTTTTAGACATTGACTCAAAACTTCAGACATTTTTATTTTTAGACAAACTCCAAAAAGTACGACGGTTTTGTCAACAAATTTGCTTTGAAAATTATATTTCTGATGAATAACTCTTTGAGTATCTTGTACTCTAAATACAGGTTATCTGTCACTTATTTTCAAACAGAACTTTGCTGTAAATATTTTGAAATATTAAAGATGTCTATTTCTACCTATTACGAAATTTTTGCACTTACGTTGCAATATTGAGTTGTCAAATATTTTGCGGCCTCTCATTAACGATTGCTTATTGACAGTTTATGTAAGCAAGTTTTTATACAAATGTCCATCTTATCCACTTTTATCAAAAGATCTATTTCCGTTTATGTCTTCCGTTTTGTTTTCCGAAAGAATTTTTGTCTTCTTTGCCAATTTTTCACTCAAAAGCAATTCATATTATGTTTCGGATTTGATATAAAGCATTTCTTTTATTTGATCGAAATTGAGATTTTTTTCTTCTTTAAAAAGAACGCCGAATTGCTGACATAAAAAGCTGCTCATTATATCCTTGCGTGTTGATACCATACTTTGCTTCTGAGCAAAACAGTTTTCTGATAGCTAGAGGTAGAGTACCCTGGGATGGGGTGTTTGGTACATGCCAACAGATATGGTAACAACCACCTGAAAAATGACCGAAGTTAGGCCAATTTGAGGCCAACATAAGTCTGTATGTGTATTTTATTATAATTAGATTTTTTGTTCGAGACTCGTTATGCATATGTCACTTTCTATTTTCTTTTCTGCTCTGTTTTTGGCACTTGTAATCGATCAATTTCTCTTTTTTCTCATTTTTTCCTCTTTATTTCTGCTTGATCTGTCTTTGATTAAGACTTCTTAGTTGATGGTCATGGAGACACAAAAAAGCGAAACTTCTTTGACGAGTTAGTCATTCGGGAGATTCGCATGCGTAGGGGGGAGATTCGGTGGGGGAGATTCGCATGCGTAGGGGGGAGATTCGGTGGGGGAGATTCGCATGCGTAGGGGGGAGATTCGGTGGGGGAGATTCGCATGCGTAGGGGGGAGATTCGGTGGGGGAGATTCGCATGCGTAGGGGGGAGATTCGGTGGGTTTATTGCATCGCACATGCTCGTAGACATCAAGTTGGGAGGGGGTAGCCTCACTCATCAACAGTCATTCCGTTGTTGTCTTCTCGACGAGTAAGATGAAGAACATCGATTCGGCGGGAGGTCGAAATAAACGGGATATTGAAACATGGAAAGCATTTGCATTTGTGGTCCTGTGCTAAACGCAAAATTAAACTGTTGTCTACAAATATATTGCTTTAATTTTCAATTTCACGGCTTGTTTTTTTGTTTTGGGATGACATGAACTGAAGAGGCGTTTTGAACTCATTTCTGGTTGTCAATAGTTTTCGGTTCAAAAGAAGAGTAACAAACAGAAAATTTAAAACGCGAGCAATCGAAAAAATATACCCATTTATACTTGAATTACTCTGAAATCAGTAAAGCGGAGGAATAGTTCGAGGGAAAATGAATTTTCAAAAGCTACTAGGAAGGAGGACGAGCACTCGGTTATACAGAGTTTGTGTTGACAGGGCCTGAAACTGGACCAGTACACCAGGCATTATACTTTTCCACGCAAAGCAACTTGAAAAAGACCTGCTTCACATCAACGACGCGATTTGAGATAGTTTTGATGGAGTTCTAGCTTATTTGCAAGAAATTATTCTTTACATCTTTAAAAAAGTCTTTTGACCCTGGACCTTGAATTGTTAATTTTTTTGTAATGACTTCCACTTTTTATGTTGAATTTGCTTATATAGTGCCGCCCAGTATAAAAATCACTACATGGTCAATATAGGCCGATTTCCACTTTATTCGCTCTAGTCGCGCGACTGAGCGAATGTACATTGGGGCATGCGCAAATTGAACTTCTACATTTGCTGCGAATGCGCGACCATTCGCTGGGTAAGTCAACGACCCCCGGCCCTCGAGGATGCACATTCCGCTTTCCAGGGTTTATCCTTTGCTCGGGAATTTTGGCCCATTATAAGGGGGGAAAGAAGAAATTTGAAATTAGAAAGAATTTGGAAGGGTTTTCTATGAAATTGAGATAAAATTATTGAAATGCATTTAAAAACAGGAAATTGTAAACAATAAGAGGGTCAAATACACAAGAAAAGCCTTATGCCTTCAAGGTTTATGCAAACTTTGGCCCGTAAATTGATTTGACAAAATCAGACAGGGTTATGTTGTTTTAGTTTAGTTTGTTGGTTTTAATTTTCCCGTTTCAAGCTGTTTTGTACACATCCAACTTAAAATCAAGAATTGAAAAAAAAGAAAATGGATTCTCCTCCGCATAATCAATAACTCTCGTAGAGTTGTTATGACATTACAAAGAGAGAGCTATTTGCAAAACCAGAAAAACTGGCTGTGATTTGGCAACATGAGAACAAGGTCTATCCCCATCAAATCACAGTAATTTTGTCTCTGCCAAAACAGAAGAAATTTGTAGCAAACTTTCAGAACTAAATATCGTTCCAATACCTCGCCCAATTTGTAACATATTGAACTGATTTAGTAGCTATTTTTCGCGGTAATTCCAGGTATATTTTTAGGATATGTTGTCCAATTCAAAAGCACCACAATTTTATTTTTAAGACGTCACATTTAAAAACTCTATTGTCGCTGCCCAGTGCCCATCAATCCTTAATGTTTCGAAAGTTTCAAAAAATTCGAAACTAAACAAGGGAAAAGCTTAGACAAAAGAATACAACTAAGGCAACTCCAAGAACAAAGAGTTGGCTGAAAGCAAATGTGACGGACTGGACGGAGTTCATTAGTTTAAATAAATCAATTGATGGAGGCACTGTTCAAACAACCCATTCTCATTAAAGAAATTTATGTTATGTATATTTGCAAATCTCCTAGAAATATACACAACGTATAAAGTAGATTCCATTTCTGGTCAGCAGCACATGCGCAGTGCTTGTCAACGAAATTTTGCAGTAATGGCGACCGATTATCGTTAAAGCTGCGGGTTGCTTGCCTTAAATTTGGCATTATGTCATCTAATAATAGCACACAAAACAACCAGAAACCACGAAAAAGGAGCCAAAAAACTCAATCCTTCGAAGAATCATTGAAAGATCTCGATAATATTGATCTTCCCGGCTGTTCTAGTCGACAGTCACCATCAGTCGTTGTTGTTGACGTAAGAAGAAACTGTGAAACCGGCCAGTTTCAGAGAAAACAACGCAAAATTTACCCCAGAAAAAAGAAAGAAAAGCCAGCAAAACATAGGGAAGAGGGTGTGTCCTCTCTAATAGGAATATTCACAATTCATTTGCGATAATTTTTTACGCTATGATGATACCAACACTCAAAACCCAACATTTTTGAATTGGTACCCTTGCCTACCAAAATATGTTGCTATGATTGCTGATAATTACAAGGAGCTTTTTCTTTATGATAAGGTCTCAAAACATTTCATTACTTAAAATATCCACAAATATGATGCCTATTTTTTGCCATTTATGCATGTACCAGGATATATCATCTAGAAGATATGTCATCAATTTTTATTTTTCACATTCAAAGATCTTGCAAGTTATGATGGTGACAATGATGATGTGGATAATGAATATGTTTGTGATGAAAGGGAACAAAGTACAAGTGCTCTTAGTGATGAGTGGGGTGAGTTTAAAAGCTATATACAATTGTTATTAAAAATGTTATGTCGCTTTTCATCACAAAAGTAGGCTCACAATAGAACATAGAATGCAAGGTTTTTTATACAATGGTGTCACAAAGTAACAATGTTAACTTGCTAATCCCTGTTTGATTTCTCCAGGGGTGACTCAAGGATGAAAATAAAAATATTGCTTTTATAAAGGGCCTTGTATTATTAACATTGTCAAAATGATGCATATGGATCTCAACAATTGACACATAAACTTGTAAAAAGTCCTTTTCCATAACAAATTTCAATAACTTGAAGCATCTTTTTGACCTTCTGTATCTTGAATTGAGAAAATATTTTTTAACAACATCTGCTCTACATTGAAAAGATATCGTTGTTGGCTTGAGCCCCTTCTTAAGTTTTTCAAACAAATAATCATACTACAGAATACTTGAACATTAACTGTTATGCTATAATTATGTAGAGTTAGAGCCAGAAAATAGAGACGCCCTGCTGCTAAATCTAAGGGATATTGAGTCACAGTTTCCAGCTAGCCACCCTGAAGAGACAGAGTGGACTCAACGGAAACGGGTACTAGAGGAAAATTGGACATCTGCGAGGAATGATTTGTTTGATGCATTTTTATCAACCAAAAGCATCCCAGAAGGTGCCATGTGTTGCACAAAATGCAAAGTGAATGTTGCTGTTTTACGTTGCACGGAATGCAGAAAGATGCTGTGTAGCAGCTGTGATGAAACAGAGCACATCATTTTTCCCTTCCATGATAGGGATACCTGGATCAATGGCTTTTATGAGCCAGTTGGTAATCTTGTGACCATAAATGAGGGTGAAATTGTATTAATTGGTATGTGAGATGTTAGTTTGTCTTTGTGATTAGAAAATTTCAGTTCTCTCTTTGGTTTTGCATTTTTTGAAAGCCAATTATATAATATATGTTTGTGGGCACACATAACCCTACCAATAGCTTGAGTTTAGTGCACATGATTACAAAGGAAGAAAAGAAAAGACAACAGGATTAAAAGGTCCAGACAAAAATGAGGAACAACACTAAATTCCATCCATTTAATATAACTGACAGGTATGGTTTAGAGATTTAGCATTGGAAAGTTAGCAAGCCTGTACAATTGCTCAATAACAAAATCCCTTCATAAAAAACATATTGATGCTTATCACATTAAGCCAGAACTTTCATTTTGATCTGATAACATGGAGCATGATTATGATGCTATGATTATATTGATTACATTAAGAACATGTTTGAAGAAAAAGTTTTTCAATTTTTCAGATAGACCCCTTCCAGTGAGCTACCCATCATTATGCCCTGCCTGCAGTACTTGCAATATAGAGCAAAGGTATACAAAATCCAGGATAACAATAATAACCATGAAAGGTGATTGATTGTCTTTGCTGCTTTTTGTTGAACTGACAGTCTGTTAAAAAGTCCATGCCCTTCTACTACTTGAAATTAACAATTACTTGAATTGTATGTAGGATAGAACTATTTGTGACATTATTTAGAACAATAGGAACAAAATAGGTTTTTCATTTGAGATAAAATATTTTTATAATGTTTTGTGGGCATGAGTCCTTTCCCTTAAAAATAATAGCTATGATCCTGATTTAAATGTAGTTCTTATGTTTTCTACAAAGGAGCAAAACTTTAGGAGGCTCTTTCAGATGTTACTTGAAACTAGTTATTTCTGGATAAAATAGAGTTAATTATTGAGTATTAATTATTCTTTTTCTCCTTCAAGGTCGCTACGAGTTCAATGAAGCCTACTTTTTCTGTACAAATTGCTCATTGATCATATCAGGATGCACTGTACGGTCAATGCTGATTGCTGGCTATTGGCCTGCATCTCCACAGAGGGCAACAACATTTTTCTCCTTAGATTTGTTGAGATTTTGGGATTCTTTGAGCATGAACTCACCTGGGACATCCCTATCATCTTTCGTTAGAAGCCTAGAAAATGTTTCAAAGATGTCTGGGAGAGTCAGTATTGTCCCTTTTCCACTTTTATATAAATTTCTGAAAATTGAATGCACAAATTTTTTGTTTGCAGGCCATATCTTGGAATATATGCAATAGAGATGTGCTTCTTGAAACTTAAGGATTTGATATAATGTTTTTAAGGGTTTTTGTAAATTTTTCAAAGGAATGAGGTAAGCGAAAGAATGAAAATTCAAGGCTGAAAATTTATTGAAATTTTCAAATTTAAAAAAATGAAAAAGGCCATAAATGCGCTTGGCTCTGTTGATTGACAGTCTTTTGGAAGGCAGAATGTTTTAGCCAATTAACCATTTTATCTCAATGATATAGACATGATCATTTAGGAATGTGCATTTTTAAAAAGACTCTTATCCAGATTGCATACATATGCTTCATTATATATGCAACCTAGAGTCAATCAAACCTGAAATTTAGAATGATGATGATGATCTTTTAATGATTTGACGTGCATTTCATTCATCAAAAGATTAGTAATTGATTTAAATTTTTGACATTGCAATGGATTTTATGCCTAAAATCAGAATCAATTTTTTTCAGCAAAGTTCAATAAATTCAACAGCCTTCGGTAATGCATTTAGAGAGTGGAAATTTGTTTCCAGCAACATCAAATTTCAGAATGGAAATGATGATTTTGTGTGCCCAGTTTGTTCTGATGTTTGCCACTCTATACACATTGATGGCCATCGTAAAACATATCGATTTAAGAAAGTGCCACGGTAATTTTGGTAGACACTGCTTTTAGTCACACCAGTTGTTTCTTCATACAAAGTTTTGATTGTAAGCACAGCATGACTCTAAATAGAGTGTAATACTGTTTTATATATCTTGGTCTTAATTTTTGTGACTGTAACCTGTGTGACTTTCAGCAGAGTGGCTAAAAGCAGTGTCACTTTTTTGAACACATTTTTTTACATAAAGGTTTAGAAAAAGGATCAGAAGGGCATAAATGTCATATGTAAACAAGTGATGATGCTGATATATTTGACAGCTGATGTCTCCTCTTTTGGTCACAATTAAGATTCTTTCTCTTTTGAGTTTTCTATTTCTTTATCTTTTTTCCATTAATACCATTCTTGTAGGTGTGAGTTGTAGATTCAATATGGTATGCAAATTGTTGTAATCAAGAACTTGCAAGCCTATAATTTAGCTTACATGCTTTAGTATTTGTTAAAAACAGTTAAGTTCAATTATGTCAAATATGTTTATTCTTTTTAAGCGGAAATTGTGTATCCCTATACGGTGACAAATTCATCGCAAACGATGCGGAGGTACAAGCGCACATGAAGAATTTGTATGACAAAATGGGAAGTCAGGTAAGTACTAAATTTGCATTACATGGATCTAGTCATGAAATAAAGCTATTTTAAAATTTTCATCTATGCAAGTAAGAATATATCGGCTGAATGTTTGTTGTTTTTAGGATTATGAAGACGATAAAATGTGCGGATCTTCGTATTGGCAAGCTGCTCGATCCAAATCAAGCAAAAGCTATTCTACTTTGGACGAAACAGGGCTAGTTGTTGCCGGCTGTCGCCACGTTCTGGCTCTGAAAGGCGTGAACATGTTTGCTGGCGAGCAATATGGTTACGCTCTTTTTTTGCACCAACTCCTTTTCGGTGAAGTACGGATGCGGTTTATATGGCAAGACATAATGTGTAAATACTGGCCATGGCTCGAGAAAGTTGCTTCCAAGTTCCCTGACAAGTCAGCGTTACTTGATACGAATAAAGCACTCTCTGTGATGCATTCGAAAGCACATTCTTTAGAATGTCAGGTAATAGCTTCTAAAAGTATTTAGGTGCAAGAATGCACTTGTGAAGTGGACAAAATATTTCTCAAAAAATTTGGAATTTTGATTGCCCTATGTATTCTGTCATAAAAAGCTTGAAACATTCATGAGCATTTGAATGCTTAAATTGTTTTTTAATCTAATTCTTAGATACTTACCCGAACAATCTATTGCTCATAAACTGCTGGTACAATTCTCGATGATTCCTTTCTCCAGTTGTCTTTAATTTCAGATTTAATTATTGATGGGCAGTTAGAAATCCACAGGATCTTCCATATTTCTTCTGTATTTTTTGTAAATCACGATTTGAAGTTGTTGAGCTAAATGATCCAGATCTTTTCCTTTCTAGTTGGTCTGGGGAGGATTTTACCAAGACGAAGCCGCTTTATCCACTGGAGAAAGCATGGAGCAATTTTTCTCCTACTTTGCGAAATGTGGATTAAGAACAAAGAGCATGAATGCCTCTGGTATTAAAAGCTAAAAGTTTTATAATTACACATTGCCTCCAAAGTTGAACATTTCTTGCTAATGAAAAATTGTTAAGGTAACTGCGAAATTATTGCAATTTTTTTCTATAAGAAATCATTTTTTTCCCAGCACGAGTCGATGCATTGACCGAACATGCTGCGTTTTGGAATATGCGAAAAATAGAGAATTTGGCATCAACCTTAGCCAAGCAATATGTTAAGGTTACAATTTACTCTCCTTTATTTTGATGCTGCTTTACTAATGCTTTCCTTTTGATGTTTGATGTTAAAAAGAATTTTCCTGGGTCTGAAAATCCCTTACTATGCAAAATGGACTATGTTGTAATTTTAAATTTTATTTTCTAAAGGCTAAGGAAAAGATCAATGTTGCCAAACAAGAAAAATCGGAATTACTTAAAACAGCAACGTCTCGTCCTGATGACACTTTAATTAAAACATGGGAAACAGAATTCAGAAGTAAAGCACGAGGTGGGAATGTCTTCTCCTGAATACTTTTTTCATGTTTACTTTGAATGCTGGCATATGTTATGAAGAACCAAGATGAGCCCCTTAGATACAAATACAGTTCAGGATAAAGGTAGTAAGAAACTGAGAGTGAAAGCAATCTAAGTTATGCAACTTTCGATTGAAAGCTAGTAGGGGGATCATTTCTTTCAGCAATATATTATTGTTATTAACTAACTGCGTTAATTTGCTTTTTGAGGTTTATTGTGTTTAGGTCAAACCCATAAGTAAACTGTAGTTAATGCTATAATAAGTTTTGCTCATTGCCAGCTTCCTTTGATCGTCAAAGTTCCAGCACTGTTGTTAACCAGCTTGCCGAATACTTCAAACTGCATCAAGAAGTTTCAACAGCCCCTGTTTTACAAGAATTCGTTGAAAGAAACGATAAAGCCTGTAGTATAATGTCTGGTATGATATAATAAAAATCCATTTATTTAATTTTCGTATAGCAATTTCACAAAAGAGCTGTAATGCTGCTTTGCTACTGTTTAATGTATCCTGAAAAACTATTGCAATGTAATCGCTTAAATGATGTTACTGTTTTTCTATTTTAAGAGGGTGAATCTGACTGTAGGAAAAAGCACAAGTTGATAACCCTTTCTAGATTGAAACACTGGTATCGTATGATTCAAAGTGCTGATTGAAGATTTTTATATTATTTACCCTTTGGTTGTCTATCCAAGTTTAGTTTGTCCTTTTGATCCTATCAGACATTTCCAAGATTATAACTTTCAATACAAGTAGTCAACCGCCTTTTTAAATGTTCTCAATACATGTTATAAATGTTTTCAACACTGAAATATGATCTGTTTCGGCTTACCCCTATGCTATATAACTTTAAGGACAAGAAGAACTCTACACAATTGTTGCTGCAAGACAGGTAGACACCGCGCGACTGGTAAGAAAGATGGAAAATTTAGAAAAAAAGCTTTTGGCAGGAGGGTACGATAAAGAGACAGCTCTACGTGATGGTAAAGGTCACTTAGCCGAAAGAACTTTAGAGTTGCTGCGTACACGTATTGTTCACACGTACCTCAACATACAGCAGCAAAAACACGACATTTCTCGTGTGTCAGGTATGTGATAGACCTTTGAGACTCTTCTGGATTAAATATATGTTTTCTTCAGTTTCCTGTTGGTTTTTTTTTTAACATTACGTGGTCAAAATATTTTTCGATGTTTTGCAGATACTTCGAAAAGGAGAACAAAAATCCGAAAGGCGCTAGGAAAGAATGTCAAGCTATTAGAAAAAACAGTAGAAAAGTATAACGTAGTCGTGAATTTAACTAACGGGCCGAATCCTCTGAAGTTAGATGCAGTTTCTTCTGGAATTTTCGCATGGCAAGAATACAAGGGTATGGCAAGCTGTTTTTAAATGTAGTTTTATACCAACAAATCCAATTTTATTAAATCCATTATTTTTGGCATTTAGCAAGAAATAAATCAGTATTATCATGCATTGTGCATACCAAGACGGGTCAACTTTTTGTCCAGAATATTGTAACATTCACACGACTCGTGCTGGTATTTATAACTCGTTGATTTGGCATATGGACGACTTTTTAGTTCATTTGTTCGATTTTTTCTGTTGTGCTTAATATTTTTGTTCGAGAATTCCAATGAATTCTACCCCCGTGGTGTAATGGTAAACACGCTTGCTCATGAAGCAAGAGATTGGGGTTCGAATCCCCGCGGAGGCATTGAGTTCTCATTCGTTATTTGGTAGTGTGATGTGTTGTTGTTTTATTTAGTTAGCATGATAATCTACATCTTTAACATATTATTCACCGAAATGGTATTCAAACGATAATCTTAAGTAAAAGCATATTGAATATGTTTATTTTTTCTTCTCTTGTTTGGCTTGATATCCCTGTATAACTTGAGCAGGAGACTTTTTGCCAGTACTGTAAACTTCTCTTCTTTTGCAGAACAAAGCAACACTCCTGAATGGCTGCGAAAGCAAATTGTTGATAAAAATGTCTTGCTTAAACGTTGCAAAGAGGAGTTGTTCCTTTTGGTAGAGGAGATGCAAGCCTATTGTACATTCTTCAAGAATAAGATACAATATCTTGAAGAAGAAAGACTTAAATTAGGAAAATGTATTGAAGGTAAGATGTTCTTGCTATTATTTTGAAGAAGGAATTAGCTACAGATCATGATTTGTTTTGGTATTACCCTTTTCTTGTTTTGGTATTTATACGCCTTTTCACTTGTTCAGTTGTTCTTCTGTCTATTGTATTCATCATCCCGCTTTTGTTCTACTGTTTTTTAATCTTTGTTTTACGCTCCAAATGAGAGTTATTCTGAAGAAGCTTATAGTGAAACGTTATCCATGTTGTTTTTTACTATCTATACATAAAACCCATGTTCTAAATTGTTAATTTCAACTGTAGACATTGAAAATGGGGAGACAGAAGTTGCTGCATTGAAAAGACTTCAGTGGAAGGTTGCTGGACAACAAAACAGGGTATCTGCTTATATCTATTCAAAACAATGTTTATTGTATTTATTATGTATTTTAAGCAATTTATGATTTTTGGCAAATCTGTCGCTTTCACCATAAGGAGAGAAAATAAGAACAATTCTCTCTTGCAGGAAGAAATAGACAAACTTTTAGGAGATGGAAGTACAATTTTGAAACTGAAGGGCATCCAGTCTTTGAAGCAGGAGGGCATTTCACTGTGCAAGAAGAGGCTCACAACAGCAGCTGATGTATTCAAAAAAGCTCTTGGCGCAGATTTTGAAATGCATTTTAAGGAAGATGACGTAGAGGAAGGCAGATCGGAGACTGAAGAAGAAGACGATCCGGAGGAAACTCCAGACGATGATTTCCACGAGAATGACTTTGTGATGGATAGTGTTCTAAACAGTTCCTTAGTGTAAAATCAATGTCAGCGATAATAGGAGTGCAGTTGTCTGAGTTACCTTTTAGAATTTGGAATACCATAAAAGCCCTATTAAGCCCCTATCTCAATTAACCCCCTCTCTATTAAGCCCCTTTAAAATAAACCTGTCAAGCAAAAACTTTAAATATGCCCCCTCTCTATTAAGGTTCCCATCTCTTAAAATTTTTTGCTTCAAATTTTAAATATGCCCCCTCTCTACCAAGTCCCCCCTCTCTAAAGCCCCCTCTAAGGCTGGTAAATAAATAAGCCCCCACCTCCTGGAGCTTAATTGAGCTTGTACGGTATATATATTTTCATAACGCTTACATTTCTTTCACATTAGTTTTTTAATAATGTAGTGAGCCCATCTAGGCCATAAAGACTTCTCTCGGCATAGTGATATTGATTCAAATGGTCATTTAAAAGCAGATTTGCGTTCTCTTTTAAAAAAAGCTTTAACTTCTAAGTTTGAAAAAACCATAAACTTTATTCTTTTTTCGAAACAGACTATGAACACCAATATATGTGTTTTCTCTTTTAAAATTTAAACTACAAACTATTTTATAGAGCAGTGATTTTGAAACAATGTAGAATAGCATTTTCATACTTCTCAAATATTATTCAAAACATTTTGTTGTAGTTCCTCGTGTTAAACGTTGGATGATTTTTATTGTTGAAATCGTGAATCATTTCATACATTTGTACCTTTTCTTGCTGACCAAGTTTGTTATACTTTGTTATTAATGTGAATGTTTATGTTTATGCGAATGTACATTTCAGTTTGTGTTTATGGTCTTAAGTTCACAGGAAAACAGCACGAGGATACTCTTGGTGTTGCCTTGAAGTTCCATTACCTCTGTTACTTTAAAACGGTTATTGTTTCCCTCTTCCTTTGATTTAAAGTTTAGATTCGTGTACACCTAGTGGAAAACTTTCCATGTGCTGTTCATAATTAAATCCTTCTTTTTTATTGAAAACAGTGCTATTTTGTTTCAGAATCAAAAAAGAAAACATCGATATATAAAAACCAGCATGAAACATTAAACAAATTGTGCGACAGCTTACTGTCTTAATAGACATGCGTAGTGCGGTATTTTCCCGTACCTTTGGTAGTTAATTCGAAAATACTTTGAAAAGTTAGTGTTTCAAAATCTTTCATTATGCTATCAATAGATTTTCTATACAGCAGTGGTGCTTCTACAAAGAGGAAGAGGACAAAAAGGGTTGACTAGGATATTCTTTGCTCGCCTCCCAATGTTTCAAGTAAGAAAACCAAAAACTAGATTGATTTCAAGTCAAAAACTAGTAGAAGGTCCGTTCTACTAGTTTTTTATTCTAACGTTCGTCTAGCAAGAGCCACCAACGAAGACATCTCCAAAGCATTAAACAACTTACTGAGCCTCTATCCCAAAGAATTTACAGAGGACTTGGAATCAGAGCTACGGGCATTTGCTAACGAGTTTCGCGTGGAAATAAAAGAGAAATGGACAGTTGTAGACTTGGTTGATTTGATGCTCTACATTCCTACATCCTTGGCGTTATCCTTGGCGTTACATCCTTGAATGAAACTGCATTACTCCTACAAAAAGAGAACAACTGTTCAACTGGGCCGGATGCAAATTCATATAAGGGGGCTGCCCATTGTATTGTTCCCATACAATGCACTGTTATAAAGAGAAATATAACACGTTTAGACAATTAGTGGGGGATTCAACCCCCAGCCCCCTAGCCCCCCCAGCCCCCCACCTTCGGATGGCCCTGTAACAATTTAACAAAGGTGCTTGTGGGCTAAACGCTTTGAAAAAGTGGGCGTTGAAATTTTATGCTTGTCAAGAAAATCGTTTACTAGTCTATAAAATCTCCCGACAAAGGGTTAGATGGCAAGTAATTTCTATTTATTTATTTATACTACACAATCGGTGGATTTCACTTTTTTAACCAACAACCCCCAGCTTGTAAAGACTAGGTCTGGCATCGCTATTGATATCAAAAGTTTAATTAAAAGGTTTTTGATTGTGCTGGAACTGAAAATTGAGGCTCCTGCTACTGATTTTAAAGGAGAAGGGAGGTTGCATTGAAAATAAGTTATCTAGAAAAAATAATTTAGTTAGGGACCGCTCATTATTTAGCCAAGGGTTGGTTCCGAAGAGAAATTAATTTGGTAGTGGAGATAACTATTACCCAACTGCGAGAATATGAAAGTTTTTTTACCCAACCCCAACCATTTATACCAAGGGGCAAATCACTCTAAGAAAATCTCGTACACCTTTGTGAAAATCCTATTGTTTTATCTGAAAATCCCTGGAAATCCCTTTGTTTTAGGGAAAATCTTGTACGCTATTTGCAAGAGTGAATCGCCCCTCGAATTATACCACGTATAAAATTTTTTACCCAACTGCAACTTAAGCAATTCGCCCAGAAGATTGCATTCTTTATTCTTGAGAGTAGGCAGAATATTTTTGCATCTTAGGAGTGCTACAACTGTTTAGAGCTCAAGAAGAAAGGCAACTTTATCATGATTTAAATAAAACGTTGGACATAGTGCTTGTGTAGTTTTTAGGAGTATGCTAGTCTCCATGTTTCTACATCTCTACCATATCTATTTCTTCAAATCAATGGCATATCTGCTACATCTGCATCTATTTCCTCTTCATCTTCGTCATGGAAAACCAAATCACTTTCATCGTCATCAAAATCATTGTCAATTTCCTCATCAGCTCCATCAGAAGAGAAGTAAAGATAAGAAAAAGAAGAGAGTCACACTTGTAAGAAGTTTAAGAATGTTATTGGCAGTAGCAATTCTATGGGTGGTCCAAGGGGGTCCAAGGCCCCCTAGAAATTTTCTTCGCTCCTTGTTTTGCCCCCCCCCAGTTTTTTCAAAAGTTTCTATTAAAAGTTCAATGTTTTCTTCCGAAGCTGTTCAATCGTTTTTTCACTTTGTTAGGGTTGCTCTCTTTATTTTCCTCAATGCTATCTTTATTGCATTTATTTAACAAACTAGGGGCCCGATAAGCGTTTTGGTTTGTATCCGAGGTGGAAATTTATGAAATTTTGGCTCCTTTCTAAAAGTTACCAAGAGTTCTGTAGTTACCAAGAAAAACTCACTCTTGACAATCATTTAAATTCTATATTTGCCATATACTATCACGAAGATCCACCTTCTTGAGGTGGGGTGCGCAGGGTCAGCCCAATACCATCCCAGTATACTTTGGCAATCTACTATTGCTTATCGAAATTGTATGACTTAAAATTCTGTGCAACAGAATGGATTGCTTGATCTCATGGAGGTTGGATATAAAACATAACTACTATGGAAAAATTTTATCAATCAACCTCACAAAGCAATTATTTTTTAGAAGTTTAGTTCTTCTGTTGAAAACCATGATCATGATGCATTATTGTTAAACAGATAAAACTCAATGGGGTAACAGAACAAAGTACTTTTAGTCAAATAACAAACGGTCCCGAACCTTTAGGGGCCCCCAGCAACAATTTTTTTTGTTATTTTTCTTGGGGAACATAGCTGCTCCTAATAAAACTATTTGGCATAATGATAACAGCCTTAATAGAGCTGTACCAAGGACATACTTATCTATGGGGAGCTAGGAACCGGTGCCTTGCAGCTAGCTAATTTTGAGCCTCCACGCCACTGCTTTACATTCTATTAGTTCCCAAAGAAATAGCTAGCGTTGGCTCCTATAACTGAAACTTTGGCCCCCGGTTAGCCCCACCAGATTTTTAAGGCTAGAATCGCCACTGGTTATTGGCAGGGAGGAATCTCTCAAGGGATTAAATTGACAAAATTTGCCTCAATTCATACGGCAAGAAAGGAAGCTGTACTGTCGCTGAAAAGCGTTAGAGTAACGAAGATAAAGATAGTTATTTATTCAGTCAGCTATCTATTCAAAATCATCGCAGAAAAGAATAATGAGTGGACAAAATGGTTGGGGTTCCAAGGGGTTGTCAGATTTACTGTGCCCCAAAAATTCTATCATTTTCATCCACTGTTGTTTAATGAAAACTGACGATTTATATAAACGTGGTATGAAATTTAAACTACATGTCTCCATAGATAAATAGTGGTGTAATAAGGCAGAAAGGTCTTTCGATACTGACTTAAAAATCAATCAGAGAATCCTCTGAAATAGCAACAATTATTATACCTTTAAAAATTCTATAGATATTTATCGGCCAAAATAATTTTTATAAGGCAGCAAAACTATGGTTGGATGACATTTGTTGTTGTTAGTTTTAAATCATAATATAGAACTATGGATTGGTGACATTTGATATTTTGATCGAAGAACGATCTAACAACCTTCTAATCTAAAGCTCTAACTGTTGTTTACTTACTTTAGTAGACTGACTTTATAGACTTAAGAAAATCAATAATCATCATTTTGAAATTTATAGCAACATACAATGTTGACAAACGTCTTGGAACACAAGCGTAAGTGCAAATTTGTAAGCGAGTTCATCAATCCCCCTCTCCACCTTCAAACAATGTTGGTTTACTATGGAACGACGCAAATTATCATTCGTTTTTCATGGGGCTTGCAAATGAAACCCCTCTGAATTACAAGCAAAACTCAATTTTTGGCTAGTGAAAGGTATGCAATATAATGAATTTTTAGGCACCCTTCAACCCTCTATATGTGTTAATAGGCATATATCATAACATCAAAATGTGCTTGTGGTTCTTAAAACCACAGTGTTCAACCACAAGTTTGTGCATCAACATACAAATTTCAGAAACATTAGCCTGAAAAAGAAAATACCACTGAAGAACAATCAACTCTCAAAATGCATTTCAGTGATATATATAAAGCATTGACAAATAGTTTAGCAACAATGAATGACAGCCAGACTGTAGGCAAAGCTGAATCTCAAAGCAACAGCAGTTTTTTATTTGCACAATAAAGATGATAAAATAAAAATTGTAAATTGCGAGCAATACTAATTTCCATGACCTTGATAAATTTACTCCTTCTTGTTAACTGTTTTATATTATTACCATCATTTGATTTGTCTACACAGACTGAGGAGACTGTTCTTATTGCCTGAGCAGTAACAAATGGCCAAGAGCCACAAGTTTTTCTTCTTTTAACATTCAAGATGAAACTAACAAGACAATTTTCTGCATCCAGGTTATTTGTTTCATGATCCTTTTATATTTTTCCATTGCCTTTTTCCGGGTTGGTCGTATCTGATCTCCTCTTTAATCTCGAGCGAGAATTCCCTTTTTTTATTTAATATCATTATCCTTATCATAGGCCTTAAAAATGAAGAGGTCCTGCTCCGACTTTTCTTTAAACATGAATTCATTTACTGTGCATTGTCATCCTTTGACAAGTAAACACTGCAATGTTCGGTGTAACCACCAAACATGCAAACAAAAGTGGTCATTTTATCTGATAAACAATTAATGGTTAAACGAAACAAAGAAGCAATATTAACGATAAGTATACTCAAACAAACAGCAACGAAATAATTGTTTGATGAACAGCGTGATGGAAAAAATCCTTTAGTGTAGAAAACATACTCCAAAATATTTCATGGGGCATTCCCGACTGAACAAAACAACGGCAATATACAAAGCAAAAGCTACATAATAAAATATAACTAAATAACAGCATAGCAAATGGGAAGGTATTAAAGTGACAACATGCAAGTCTTGATTACTTCAAAATATAACCGAAAAGAATCGTTCTCTAAAAGCATCAAACAAAGATAAACAAACTGAGAAATTTACGATTCAGTGTTTGCCGTAATCAATTGCACAACATAACTAATTATTTTTGAGTTAGTTATTGTGATTTTTGAAGGATAAATACAATTTTCCTTTCCATATAGCAATTAATCATACCGTTTCCGTTATCATTTTAATTTTCAATAAATTTTCGACCTTCTTCTAGCCCTCGTTAATTTATTACAATGCTGAACTATTGCCTACAGAATAGCACATTATTGCTCAATTCTTTTTAGGTTTTGTCATTATAATATATTTATTTTCTCCAACCTTGATTATTGTCGGGTTTATTGACCGTTGAATAATTGAAGACATATCAGTTGGTTGACTTTGTAATGTTCCAGGCACTGTGTTAATACAGGAAATAGATTGCAGTAAAGTTGATGTACTGAGTTGAGAGAGAGGAACTTGGATGGCAGATGAAGAAACGAGGGAATTTGGAGACGACTTTGATGCCAAAGTAGTGCTGTCATCTGGTATTGAGACAAAGTTAACTGAGGACGTAGGTACAGATAAGCAATTTGACATAGTTGAAGTAGACTGTGGTGTTGATGGTGAAAGAGAGCCTAGAGTTAAGTGCCTAGAAGTGATTGGAGTGAAAGATGTTTTAGTTTCAGCAATAGCAGATGAAGTTGTGAGTTCGTGGAAAGAAGTGGATGAAAGTTCAGCGCTTGATGTAGTGCTAGGAGCTGAGGCAGGTTGAACAGACTGGTCCATAGCAGATAGACTGACTTGTGTTGTTGAAGAGGAACTAGGCTGCAATCGGCTGGATATGACAGATTGCGACGATGAGAGCTGCAATTCTGACAAAGATGACGACGTGGTCAGCACTTTAAAAGAAGATTCTTCAAGAGCAGTCGAACATGCTGGAGCGGAAGATGGTGTTTCTGAGTTATTCACTGCCAACGTGTTATCAGCAGAAGAAAATGTGCTAGTTTCCATGCCATGTCTGGAACTGTTTACTTCCTGTCCCGATTTGCGCTGACCTGAAAACATTCATATCAATGAAGCTGGTATACATAAAGAGCTCTACAAGATTTATTATTATATGATAGAAGATAGATCACAGAGGCAATACCACCTGCTAAGGAAAATAACAAACAATTTAATAAATTTCCTCAATAAGCAGGGCAACAGCTGTAATAAAAGTTAAACAATGAACAACGATTCAAATATACAAACCTCAGAAATCTGCTACTTACGGTTACTTATGAAAAGACGCATGGAATTTAAAACCTTGTCCCGGATAGCTGTTTCGATTTTCACACCGGCACCTCTAGTGGAATACGAATGGGTATATAGCCGCTTTTTCCCACCTTTCGATTCGTTTTCATGAACTAGAAAGACAACGCCAGTCCAACCGGGAACTGTTGATAGCTGATCCAACTAAATGACAAAACCACAAGCAGAACATTGTCTTCATTAATCATATAAGTATATCCCTTAATGAAAATTATTGTTCACCTGTTTGTCATTAAGTGCTCGATGTCATATAGGTAAAGCTGTATACGCCTTTGGTATATAGAACAGGATAGTTTAAAGTTGATACTACTTATACACTCATCTGTACGAAGGGATTATTACATAAGTAATCACAACCTCTATAGTCATGTGCTCCCGTTTCTGATTGCCCTTTTTCGATATACAACTGGGTATATATATTTCCTAGAGAAGTGTTTTCCGTCTATGTTCTGACGTTGTATACTTTGGATTGTCAGACGAAAAGCTTTAGTATACTCAAATGTTTGCTTTTTTCAAAGCCATTTTCAAGTTTTGTACCACCAAAAGATTGTTTTGTACCTAAAAAAGTTTTGTACCTATTTTCTGACGTTTTATACTCTGAAGAGTGACAGACGAAAAGATTTAGTATGTGCTTAAAATTTTTGCTTCTTTCGAAGCCATTTTTACATTCTGTTCCACAAAAAATAGTTTGAAAATATTTCCAGTTAATTTAATAAAAGAAGCTCGGGAGGAACTTTGATAAAATCTAATTTTGCAAGGATTTTGTGAAAACAAACTGGATATAGTTGGATAAATTTAATAAAGCTAGGTTTCTGAGTGCTATTTATCTGCTAAAACAGATAATATATAATGCCAAGTAATTTTGAAAAAACTGTTAACAAAGGAATCGTAGCCTTAGAGGTAAAAATATTTCTTGATGATGAGAAGTAGCTACTAAAATGTTTAAGAGAAATACCAATGAAAATAATAATTGAAATATCAATGAAACAATACAAGGATAGAAAAGTGATTTATCAGCCCACCCGATTAAAAAGCTTCTCCTTTATGTAATTTCCATCAGCAGAGGAATTTGATGCAATTTTTCCCCAGTCTTTTTCTTTTCTCTTTACATCTGATTTACAACCAGGGCACTTTTGAGCACGTATTCCAATGCGGGAATCACAATTAGGGCATTGCCTTTTTCCATCTCTCTACCAAAGAAAATGTAACTATAGTTGATTCTTATTACCAAGGAAGATCCGAATTGTCTCTGAAACCCTGACAAGAATCGAAACAAACAGAATATAAATGAATTGTATCAAAGATTGTTCTTTAACCCTAAGAAAGAATATGTAAATCAATCTTATACAGAATTTAAGTATAAACAAGCTTTTTGAATCTATTCCCAACATTTTAATGATTAAAATATCTTTGCATCTTGGTACAGGCCAATTTAACATACCTTTGCTTTCTTTGATGCAGAATGAGCATCTGAAACAGACATAAGTACAACATTTGAAAGTTCAAAATAGGTTTATGCTTTTTAGAATATCTTTGTATTTGTATAAGAATAAATAACAATGGTATTAAATTAATTATCTATTAATTAGCTATTTTTACCTTAATCCTCAATATAAATAAAATTTTACTTATAACCAGTTGAAAAATACAATCAACAACAAATATTTAATGTGAAAAGCACTTCTGGTCCTTTCCAACACTAAACCTTTGTGGAATGAATGTATTGTCAGGCAACTTAGAGCATAAAAGTCAACTTGGGGAGATTTGTTAAAAAGGGACCAATATTAGCAGATTTCAAAGACATTTAGAGACAGTGGACTACAAAACAAAACCCTGTAGATTGCTCCTTGCATTTGCCTTCAACCCAAAACTTCCACTCCTGGTCATGCCAGTGACAATACGCTTAAAGCTGCATTATCTATAGAAATGAAACTTAGCAATATATATAATTTGGGGGTTAGTTGAAGGGATCAAATTTGTTGGAAAATTTCAGAAATTTTGTCTGCTGGCACTTAATGGCACAAAAACATTATAAAATCTTAAAAGCCAACAGTGCTGTCTGCATTTCTAAAAAATCAAGTCAAAAAACACAAGCAAACACTATACTAGCTTGTAATTCTGTAGATGGGTGCTTCAAGGGTGAAAATCATTGATATTTTGAAAATCGATCCTAAATACCACATGATCTGTCCTAAATACCTCATGATCTGTTAAGATTTAATTTTGTGCATCTTTGTAAATTGTTTTAACTCTGTTTTAACAGATTTAAAGTTGCCCATCAAAGGGCACAAGACAGTGCATCTAAGGCATACGAAACATTGAATGTGCCAAGCTGTATTTTACTAAAAAATAAAAAAATAGTTTTAATTTAGTATCTGGAATAATAGAAAATTTAGTAGTTTTACAATCGCATGCTGGGTAAACACTGTTTCAAGAGAAAAATAGTGCATAAATTAATAAATAAAATCTTGAGATTCTAATGTGAAAAATAACACCATAATTTCAAATGTCTGCTGATTTTATGATTTTCCCCTTCAAATAATTCACCAATCATATTGTTTTCCTAGCTTGGGGTGAGTGAACCCACAGTCTATTGACATCCCATCCTGATGGTAAGGTTATTGACAATGATTATAAGGTAAGGAAATGGACTGATTTGATCTTTTTTTTGTGAGACTTGATTGGGAATTTGCAATTCTTTTAAATTTTCATTTTCTAATTTTCACAAAGAATAACACTCTTCAATAGACCAATTTCTACAAAAACAATACCCTTGGTTAAACCATTGGAAAATTATGCCCTTGGCTAGATTCATTTACAAACCATTTAAGTTAGCAGATATCCCAAAATTGTTTGTTTGAGCTCTGAAATGTCAAAGGTCAAATTGCTTCATTTGCTAGTTTATTATCAACAAAAATGGGTTGTCGGGATGAAATTCCTACTTTCAAAGACTGTTTCCTTGACCAATAAATATTGTCAAATATGTTACCCATGGCTGGCTAGACCTTGGCTTGACCGAAATTGCAAAACAGTAAACACTTACCTAGACTAAAAGTCATAAAAAGTATTCCCTTGCTCAAGGGGCGCACCTTCCTAGGTGCCTTAACAATGGAAGGTCCCCCATGGGTAAAGTACCCTTCAGTCATTGCACGTTTATTTTAGGAATCTGTGACAGAAACAATTAACTAAAACAGGTGAAATGCAACTAGAACAAACAGTTTGTTTGGACCAGTGGTATAGTAGTGCTATCAACATAACAAGTGGGGCTCTTGCACATAATGTTGCTAAAACAATAGCAAAAGTAGAAATCGGTTATATTTTGGCACAATTAACTTTTAGAATGTTCTACTCACCTTTGGCACTTTCACTAAACAGGAAAATATGAATTGTAAGGTCAGGTGTCACCCAAAAAGGTCGAATTTGAAAATATACCTAGCTATCAGTTTTAGAAATCGCGTCGAAATTTGAAAATTGCTTCAGAAATTAAAGCAAAGCTAGGAATAAAGAAAGAAAGCTTTTCTGCACTTTACCTTGGTCCACTAATCTTTCTTCCATCGCGGTCAGTTATGTGGCAAATGGCCAAAAAGTGGTAACAATATTTTGGAACGAAACGATTAGAGCGAGAATATTCCCAACACGATCGTGCCACACTTACTGCACCTTCACAGTTGACCAGATCTAATGTAATGCTGCGTAGCAAGTATTTTTCTTTTATGTGTTATGCATATTTTGAAAACATTTGCATATATATGTTATGTATAAACCTGAAATGAGGACTAGTTGGTTCAAACTGGTCGGAAGTTCTTTGCCTCCATTCCATTCAGGATAGTATCTGTGACAATGAGGTGAACTGTGGTCACCTGATTCCATTGTTTGCTTCATGGCTGATATAACAACATTCGCGTTCATCGCTTCCAGCGTGCTCAGCGAAAGAGAATCACTCTAGTGCCGTGTGCAAAAGCAAGAAAAATCCCCGGCAGATTTCTTCGGTCATTATTCGAGAACAATTTCGTGCACCTGTAAGTATTTTGTACTTTTTATTTCAGGTTTCGAAAGATAGAACGGCTTGTTTGCTAGGCCGAAATTTAAAAGCGAATTAACCTAAGCCTATGCTGTGCTGTGTTGAATCAAAATGGTTGAATCAGAATTCGTAAAACAACTCTCTCACACAGCTTCTGACTGTAGGGAAAAGGGAAGTGTGTCGAACAGTTTTTTTGGAAGTGCATCAATAGCGATTGCAGTTTTTGGGATGAATTGGGATTTTTGCGACCAAATTTACATTTCACTGCCAAGTTACAGACGCCGCGCCATGCACTGGGAACAATAAATTGAGAGGGTTTGGAGGTAACCAATGCCTTTCCCGGTGTGAGTGGGGCTAAAGCCCCCGTAGCCCCGCGCTTCTGCAGTCCCTGCAGGAGTCAATGCTTCGAAGTTATAGGAATCTTGCGCGCCTAAAGATAGAAACTATATTTCAAACAAACAGTTTCATCTAGTTTGATAATATTTGTTACAGATGTGAAGGATTATTTGGCTTCAAAGCATTAATTTTGTTACCACAGCGCAGCACCTAGCATTTTTTCTGTACCCCAACAGGAATTTGCAAAATGTTTGACCCCCCATCCAGTAAAGATTTCACAAAAAATTGTCATAATCATTATTATATCCCAATCTCTATACGAGGCTACCAAAGCCATAGCCATGTCCACATGATCTGAAATTATTCTTAAAAAAGACATGCCAGGCTGAAACTGGAGCCAAGTGTTCTTATAAAAAACGTGAAAACCAATACGAAAATTTTAAACCTCAGTTTTTTACTGTTTACGTATTTGTGATTTGAATAACAATGGGTTTGTTTGTGAAGGATCAGCTGGGGGTAAAACATCTTCCTGTCAGAAATTTCGTGTTTTGTCGGGTGAATCACAAATCATTTTCTTGTCATTTTGAATATTTTTATGAACAAGTTGTCGGGGAACAGATTGTTTTTCCTTACCTTTACTTTTTCCTTCCTTACCTTTCATTACCTTTATTAATTTTTAAGATAAATTTTAATCGCTCACTTAGATAAACAATGAGATGGCTTATTTACAGATTTTGAGCCACACCCAAGTTCATAGGAAACGCTCTTTTGCTGATCTGGCCTCCCATGTCACCATAGTCACGAGCCTCGCGGTCTGAGCATTTAAGAGAATAAATGAGTTTTTGGAGATTTTAGATTCTATCACAGAAATTTTGCTTTTTGGTATTGATTAATTTAATAACACGAAGCATTTTACGGTTCAGTCATTCCTTTCTGAAGCGAAAGAATTCTCGGCATAAATTTTATCTAATTCTTGGAACTTCAACTTTTTCCGATTACTCTCAAGTTTTCCGAAAGATTGATAGAGGGGAGAAATCCCTCGATAACTATACTGTTGGTTCTTCTCAGTTTCATTAGCAACTAAGTGGTTATATTTACCCATTATTTTGTATGTAAACTTTAGAATTGTAATTTTACGTCGCTGGAACATTAAAATTGTAAAAATGTTGCTGAATGATAATTTTGAATTGAATTGAATTGGCAACTAAATTACTAATGGTTTATTTCAAGCTGAGTTTTGCATCAAAGTAGATGCAGACACAAATGACAAAAATAGTCATAAACTTTCATCACTATGGTTACATGTATCATCAAGAACTGCTTCCGCGTTACTAGACTGGTGATCTTTTGTTTTCTGTCCCCCAGCTGATCGCTTGGCCTAGCCCTTTGATGCATTGACCTGTGCGTCTTTCTATACAAGTACCAGCTTTTCTCTCGTTTATATCTGCTTGCTTTTTTAAATTTCTAAATAAAGCATTCCTATCCTCAACAAGGAACAAAATCAATTGAAATTGTGCAGGAAAAGATGAAGATATTTTACATTTCAGATTCACAAACAGTGTGAACCGCAAGGAAAAGAGAAATAATTTGCTGAAGATCTACCAGTTAACTGATTGCTGTTGGAACGAGCTGGAAACATGACGATCAACCGTAAGTTTTGGCTTTCTCATCCAGGTTCAATTTCTTGTATATACACTCATTTTTTATAAGAAACTGGCTATAAGAAGCGAGTACTGGACAGTCAGAAAAAATTTAGAAACTCCAGTATAAAAATGTTTGGCGAGACTAGATTAAATTATTGATTGCAAATCACTTGGTTGTTTTTACCCGTCGCACTCGTTTGTAGCTGTTTCTTTCTTTCTATAATGACAAAAATAATGTATATAGCCCCCGTGTTTCCCCTATGCATCTCCGTGGTCTCAAGATTATGGTTTACCGCCTGCAGTGATTTGAGTAGGAAGAATTCTAAAGATTTGCTGATTATTAACCAAAAGAACAGCAGAAAGCGAAAAAATACAGAACATACTTTTCTAAAAGAACAAAAAAATGTTCTCAATTTTTAAAAAACTGTATTTAATTTTTACGAAAATCGTTCTTAATTTGTTCCAAAATTATTAGAGAGCAAGCCATACGCGCAGACTTAGGGGACGTCAGGGCACCAAATTTTTTTGGGGGGGGGGTTCAATTCCCCTGGGAAGTATGTAAATGGGTTATCAATTTTTTAGACTTGTAAAATTTCTGGCACCATTGTGAAATTTGTACATTTGTTGTTTAATTGATTGATTGATTGAAAAAATTTGACATCTAAAGCTAAGATTTTCTGTTAATACAATATTACTACTTAGGTACTAAACAGTCTTCCACAAGCACTGTTACGCCATGAAATTATTTATATATATGAAACGATACCTCGAGTGCTTTTACAAGCCACTCGGGTTGAATTGTCATCAGCCCTGTCTTAGCTTGTCAATCCATGAATGTTCTGTGTCTGTGTGTGAGTGATTCCCCTTGAGACTGGCCTAACATGAAATAAATGCCTCGTTTACGCACTAAGTTTTCATATTCTTGGTTTCACGCATAAAAATCATCCCAAGAAATGTAATCAAGGTCAAATAATGAAGATAATAAAAAATGTACAAGAAAATCACCTTAGAATTCTCAGAGAGCCTCTTTCTACCCTCTGCCGTCGGCAGCCTCCATTTGCAATTGCCGTGAATTTTTGAGCCCCCACCCCCTCCCCTTCCTTGGGAAACGTCTCTACCCATGGTGCAAGCAGTGCAATTGCTAACTATTGCGCTTTAGTGAGGTGTTCAGTCCTCATTTGCCAACAAAGTGAATGAGATAGGATAAGACGACCTTCATTTGCTGACAATTTTGAAAATTCACTAAAAGTCCTCGTTTTTGAAATGAAACATTTTACTGTAGCTCAGTCTTCGCTTGTTCTGAATTTCTTCTAATTTTGAGGCCCATATTCTAATAAAATTGTTCTTATAAAAGAGTAAAAGAGGAGAAGAGTGTAAAAGAAAAGAGGAAAATTATTGCTGAAGACCTTTCTAAACACTTTCAAAATATACATAGCAGTGGTAATCGATCGTAACCTACCTTTGCAGGGACGGATTCACAGGGGGTGTGGGAGGTTCGATTTGGTAAAGAGCATTTTTTGGTCGTCAGTAGTAACAAAATGATGGAGAAAAGTTGCTTCCTTTATCTTCTTATCTTCTTTATCTTAAAGTTATAAACTGAATTTTAAAAATGGGCGGTTCCATCAGTTTCCAGTTACTTTAATGGTGTAGCACAAAATACAATCATTGTCAAACAATCCAAATCCTTGCCGCTTAAATCCTCAAGTCTGCATTTGACATCTTTGCAATTTACTGTCACAATCATCTCTTGAATAAATTTTGGGCGAGTGAAAAATTCTGGCCACTCTCTTTTCATTTTTTGGGAGACGCTTCTTTCAGTTCAGAATCAAGGTAGGACTGCACCCGGGGTCAGCTCTAAGCCCTTGCAAATCTTTCTGCTGGAGTGGATGTGCTGAGTGAAAACAAGTTCTACAGGCACCAGTGATCTAAGTATAAACAAGCTTAGCAACTATTGCGAAGGAGACAGAAAACCTCCATTTGGTTCCAGGGCTCCGGGACACATGGTGAGAAGGTCTTACCATATTTGGCATTTCCGGCATCTCTTTGCATTACACCCTCCCGTTGCCGGTATTGATTAGGGCTAGATGTACGAGGCATGGAGAGAGGTTCTCTCTCTTGAGTATAGACAATTACGTATAACCATCATATATATATCTTCTTGTTAGAAAACAATTGTCTCTCTGTGGTACACACCTATATCCCGCCCAAGTCACAACAGCAACTAAAGGACTAAAAGCTAACGCATTGAAAACAACAGAAGTAAAAGTATTCTGTAACGAAGACGTAGTAAGACAAGCAACTGGAAAAAAGTGCTTTAGCTTAAATAGATATTTCTAAATGTCTGAGGTGGATTTAGGAAAAAGGTGGGATCTTGTGTTGTAGTAATAGGAAGGGTCACAAGTGGCATGGGAAGTAGAGCAATAAAAGCTGGAGTTGTTTGCGAAAAGTTATGTCATTGCAGTAATAAATAGAAATTTGCAAAACCTTCTTAATCCGCTCTTAAGGAGCTGAAACCAGGACCTTCAGAAAGAAAGAACGAGTAGATAAAGATGTTAAAGCACAGAGTAGTTTAGATGAACTATCAGGGTATTGCGAATGAAGAAGTAAAAATGGTAGGCCTTCTCACCCCTTCAAACTTGCATTTGAGCCCAAAACTACTAATCCGATATAATAAGAGTGGAATCTTCCGGTGAGAGAAAGGAGGTAAAAATAAGACAGAAATTGTTATGGAAGGATGAAATGAAATCATGTGATATGAGATCTGGTATGCCTACCCTAGACATTTGGGGTGAAGGTTGATGATGATGATGATGATGATGACCACTATGCACAGTCAAAGGAATTTCAAATCAGAGAAAATTAATGCTCATGTAGTTGTCAAATTCTGGGAGAAAATAGTTCTAAAAGCTTTCCTTGCATTAGATATGTTCGCAATTGTTTGACTATGGTACATGTTACCTTCACCTTTCGCTGGCCTGGCCTGATTACAATCACAACAAAGGTTATATGCTGATCAAAATGTATAATGAATAAGGCAAAAAAGCTTTTTAAAATCAAGAACAACCATGACTGTTCTTCAGTACATCAGCTGATTAATAACTTAACACCAATTCAACGTATTTAAGATGGGTGCGGGTGTTAGTTAATGGATATTGTCATATTTTCCCCTTCCACACCCAGTGCCTAGTGAAACCCTTTTGATTTTCAAAGCCACCCTTCAGTTATCTTAGTAGATTGGGTCTGACATTATTCTGTTTTTCGCAGCCTATTTGCACGCATCCGTCGCCATTCTTATCGTGATCTTCATCTCTTTATCCTGTGCAATTATGGTGCTGCCACTTCTCAACAAATCCTTCAGCAAGCACATTTTATCTTTGCTGACCATGTTAGCGGTTGGATGCCTCTGCGGAGATGCACTTTTTCACCTAATCCCTCATGTAAGCAAAACGTTTGTTCTTATGTAGATTAATAATTTTCGTCTACTTGAATTTTCTGAGAATATATTACATTTTGTTCTAGTATTCGTAATTGCCTTGTATTTAAATGTTTACAAAAAGACAACAATCGTCATGTTTATTCCAAAAACTAGACACCAATAGCACAACAAAATCAAAGAAGAAGTAATAGAATCAGAAAAGTTTACATTTATTTTGCTGGAGCTCTATGGCTAAATCTGTGGAAACTTAAATTCGTGAACTATTCTTTCAATCATCACATGGGTGACTCTTAATTGTGGCTGGCTACGTCTTTAGCGCCATATTGGCACATAATTACCTAACAGTTAGGCCCTTGAATAAAATTTAAAGAAATAGGCCATCCCTTTTACGTCAATTTGGTTCTTTTTTAAGTGGATTTGGGATCGCAAATGTGAGAAAACTTTCCGTGTAGCAAATGTGAGAAAAGAAACTTGCATCAGAACTTCCTTGACATCGAAACTCTAAGCAGTGTGCTAGTAGCCATTTGCAAAACTATGCTCAGTAAATAAGCTCTTGTCTTGCAGCAAGAACTCAAGGATCTGCAATATCCTTGCCTCTAGTGTCTAGTGTGGATCTGCCTCTAGTGACATGTCAGGCTATTGCGTTCGTGGAACTATTGACCATAAAAGCAAACAAAATTGTGTCATTCATACTACATTTATATGTTATTATCGTATTTCCAGGCAAGAACATTGTGCATGGGGGAGCCACAGTGACGAAACAAACTATTCTGAAAGTTATTAAAACTAGATGTAGATATTGTCCTCGAATGAGCCCCCACTCTTGAAGTAAAAATTGTTAATGAACATTAGGGGGCCAATTCCCTAATTTACCAGTTGATTTGATGTAGCATTACTTGTACTAATTTTGCTTTTAGTCTCTTGGAGCTGACAAGAAGATTGTTATTTATCGTAACGAGACATCCGATATTGCGAAAGAGGCTCCAAGTGAGAAAGATATGACTGTCGTGTGGAAATGCGCCCTCGTACTTGCAAGTATCTATATGTTCTACTTGCTTAACAACATGATGAATTTTTGCCAGGTAGGCAGCTTTGTTGCTTTTTCTCTATTTTTATAACAGGGATTCTAATGGGTTTTGATGCATGTGGGTTTCAACGCTATATCAGTACTTGTTGGACAAACAGACATGGCGGCGAGACATGAATTGATAACAAACAAAAAATTTAGGTTTGGAAACCACCTTTTCACATGGAGGCTATCTTCCTGTGATGTTTTTTGTTTTTTGGAAAAAGGAGCGAAATTTTGTCTTTGAAATTTAAAAAAACAATGAGATACAGACGAAAACTGGTTGAATTGATATTTTGAATGGAATGAGTCACCTTTGCATTATATTAATCTAATGTTTTTCAAAGAATCTGTTTCTATAAGGCGCTTTGGTGCCACTAAAACATATTAAGAGCAGTAACGTAGCAAAATTGGCAAGATAAGGATGAAGGCGAGTAAAAGCAGTCACGCCCTCTCGTTTGACCACGCCCTTTAGAATACAGGTAAACACCCCTTTTGTAACTAATTTGAAATAAGCTATGTCATTCATTGGCTTGTTGCAGTTTTATGCTTTTTTCAAATATAAACTCCCTGATCACTGGGTGACGGCTGCCTTCTTGGTCCCTCGCCACCGAAGTGATCAAGGGTGTTCTAGAAAGGGCTTGCCGATGCTTTTAAAGATCATTCGCAATTTTAACTTTATCTAATTTCTCGCTTCTACTGTTTTGAATGGAATATAATGATTTCAATTCAGCTCGTTTCTTGTCCCAAGAGCTTTCTTAAATAAATCTTAAACTACTTATCTAAACAAGTTTATCCATATAAAATCCATATTGACAGTTCTGTTGCATTCTCCATATAAACTGCTACCAAATATTTTTACAGGCTAGGAGCTTGTTTGCCAGCCAAATCGTATTTTTGCTACCTTTGTTGCACGCTTCTTTGTAAATTTACTTTTATTTTCAGATTGGGCACACCCATTCACACGGGCACTCCCATACCATTCCTCACGTTACGCTTCCAGTTGATAATGATTCTAACTCATGCAAATTGGAGAAGAAGGCCTGGTCTAACTCGAAGTCTGAAAGCGAGAAATGTAAAGAAAACCTGCCGGATTCAGAGCGTTCAAAACTTTTAGAAGGAGATGCACATAAAAAAACGAAAACTAACTTTCAAATTGAGGTCGGCGATGATGGGCTGTCATTGCATAAAATCCCAAGAATTGTTTGGATGATCATGATTGGCGGTTTTTTGCATAACCTAACCGACGGTCTTGCAGTTGGGGCATCATTTGCTGGCAGTTTTCCCGGTGGCATCAGCACTACTCTTGCAATATTATTTCATGAAATCCCTCATGCGATAGGTACGTTAAGCAACCGAACATTTTGCTATTTAAATCTTATCGAGTCAAATTCATCTAATTTAGCAATCTTCCTCTTAATCTGCCTTCAGTTGTTTATTTGCATGAAAAAATGCTGCTAACACACCGAGGCATCACCGAATACCATTTCCCAAGGACAGGGACGCCGGAGAGGAGAGGTTCAGGGGGCCAACCTCCCCATTTGCCTTTTGATTTGTTACGGCGTTCCTGCTCAAGGATATCAAATGTATCTATAATCTTATTTGGCATGCCTTGGTATCTGCGATTAGCAAAACGTTTGAAGGACATTGAATAGTTTTGAAGGAGAATCAGATGGAAACGTCATTAGTTCCAAAATTACATCTAAAACTGTTTTCAGAGAATTTCTGCCAATATTTCGAACATTGTGTTAGCTACTCCATTGATGTTGCTTGGCCGGTAATAAATATAAACATAATGGTGCTCAGTTAACTTAAAAATAATCACCGTAGCCCAAAAGTTATCAGCATTTTTAAGTTGCGTATATATGGTAATAGGTACACATGGGTTTTGCTTTTTCGCAGGAGACTTCGTGGTGCTGCTGAGTAGCGGTCTCCGTGCCAAAGTGGCCATGACCTTCATTTCATTGACGTACTCGGCGTCTTTCGTTGGCTGCTTTACTGGTGTGGCCCTTGGTAAAGAACTCAACATAGTAGACTGGATATTCGCTGTCACAGCTGGAATGTTCCTATACATTGCTTTGGTTGAATTGGTAAGTTATAATTGTAAAGAAATTTTTCGCCCTGGCTCAAATATGAGATGTTTAGCCTTTTCTTGTGGCCACAATTTCTCATATTAGAAATGCGACTTTACAACTGTAAAAGGCCTACTCCTTCGTCATTATCGGAAATTATCTTTTTACATGCCTTTTTCTTATAAATATGGCAAAGTTTCTAAAGTTCCTTATTTTTGGACCTCAATTGATTAACTTTTAGTAGCAAAACCTTCATACTGCACAGCAATTTTTAACTGCACAGACACAAGAAAAACATCGAAACTCTGAACTTTGCTTTTACTTATGGCTAGAAACAAGGTCTTAAATACATAGAAGGCAAGAAAAAGTTTAATGCATTTAAAAGACGAATGTCAATCAAGAATTAGCATTGATATCCCTGTTGTAATGTAGTCTCATTCGTGATTTTACTGCAAATGATTGGAACCGACGTTTAATTTTTTTGATCATTTGCAGTGATAAAAATATTAAAAATTGAAAAGTTTTTTTTGTGATTCTGTCTTTGGGATAGAATAACTTCTACAAATTGTTTGGTCTACTGCATGTAGATTCCTAATGAAACAAAATGCGTGTAGTTCTTAAAGTTGATCGATGTTTCCCTCTGAAGTCGAATAAGATAGTTACAATAATGTCAGTGACTTTCATCTGGTACTTTTGTATGCTTGGTACTTTTGTGAGCCAACCTACTCAACAGTTTTTGTTTTCTGGTTTAAAGAATCTATCATTTTTTAAAACCCAGATGATATGAAATGGATGCGCCAAATTTCAACATTATTCAGATGGGATGATTAGAATCATCAATTCATAAGGTATAACTTTGTTTTCGTTTTCGTAGCTTCCCGATACAATAGATGACGCTGAAGAGCATGGGCCGAGACATATGAGTAGCTTTTTCTGGCAAAATGTTGGATTTCTGATAGGCGCTGGTGGAATGGCCTTGATAGCTGCTTATGAAGACGCCATCAAAAACGCCCTTAAACAGTAATGTTGCTGTTCCGTGTTACCTCCCAGCGAGCATTATCACTGTCATAATCAACTTCATTGCGAAAACAGTTTTAATGATCATAAAAGTAATATCGTAAGTATAATTATTAGCATACCACTGCAGCTGTAGTCGCAACCTCCGCAACCGTAGCCGTTACCAGCGCAGCTGTGGTCGTTACCGCGAGAGTCGCATCTTTTGGCATTTAGTAGGATAAATACCCTTAGCTCGAATCTTCCCAAAACCGAATTCGTGATGGAGTGACAACGAAGAATTAAGAACTAGCAAATTTTTGGTGGATGAAATATTATCATTATTAAGGGTTTTGTAAGAGCAGAGGTCAAATTAACAGGGGGTCTTTTGGCAAAAGAAAACGTACAGACATTGTCTCAAGCACGAATTGTTTATGTTTGCTTGCCCTGATTAACAAAATTTCAAACTAAGTTCATTTGAATATATCCTTTGAATTTCTGGGGAAATATCCTCGAGATTCGTTCCACGCAACCAAGCGAAGAGGTATCTTCAGATTTTCAGATTCCTCGGCGTCCCAAGATAAGCAATTTGTTGTTTCATACCTTTGCTCAATGTCGCTGCTGATGGTTGAATGAAGTAATTGTTGGGAAGACGAGCAAGAGGAAGTTTTTTAATGCGTGAGGTAACCCACCATTTTAGAGTCAATTAGCATGCGCATGGATGGAAGGTATTATGACGCATGCTCTCTAACTCCAGGACGGAGGGTTGCCTCACTCACTTGAAGATTTCAGCGCGCTTGTCTCCCCAAAAGGGGGTAAAACAGGATTTGAAGAGCACATAGAGAAGCTGATAGAACAACACAATCGAAGCAAAGCGAATCCCTTAGGTAGCAAGTAAGGACTTCTTTAGACTTTAAACTTATTGCAAGTTAAAATTTTGAATGATATTTCAGTCTTAATCCTATTGTAGCTGGTATATTATATATGGTTTCCCTGCTCCTTGATAAATGATAATATGTAGCTGGTGTCTGTATTTAATTTGATTTTTTATATTGAGGGGAAAAGTAAAAAACAATTATTACCAAAAGCAATAAAGGGATAAAGAGATAATGTGATGTGCAAAGTCAATTGAATATGTTTAAAATTGGCTGAGATATGGTCACGTGAGCACAGGCTATTTTCCCATCAAACCTCTGTAATTTGGTTTCTGTCTGTCCATCACTTTAGAAACAGAGCCAAAGTAACATCGTTTTTTTGATGGCCATATCTAACCCAATTTTTAAGATGTTTAACTGTTTTTGCGTTTTTATATTTTTCGTAACGCTCTTTCAGGTTAGGCGTAGTTTAGACAGCGCTTTATGGGCGCAGCGAATTAAATTATTGACCATAAAATATTGTGAGTGTCAATTTGATGTGCTTTTAATTCGCTGACTAAATCCGAGAGCGAAGCAAAAAATTGAATTCGCTCATAATGCGCTCACTTGGGCGCATTATCAGCGCGTTATGAATCAAAATATGAATCAATTCGCTTCGCTGTCTAAAAGCCAACATTAAATTGAAGCGCTCTACGGGCGCATCTAATTGAATTTAATTCGCTGCGCCCATAACGCGCTGTCTAAACTACGCCTTAGGTGATAAAAATTGAAACATTCTTAGAATAGTTGTTTGATGACGCAACACAGAATATTCTAATTTTGCTGCTTGATTCAAGTAAAATTCTCTTTAAAATTTTTCATACATTTTTAATATCATTTAAATCAAATCCTAGGCATAAAACTCGCCAAGAAAAAAATGTAATTGCTCTATGTTTGTTAACCTATGAAAAAAATTGTTGTCAATTTAATGATCCATTCTGTGCAAATAGTCCCAACACAGTAAAACCTTGGCGATGATTTTTTGTCGAGCAATACTTAGCAGCTTTACTAGATGTTTCCAGATGGATAAAATAAAATCTTTATAATTAGTTGTTGTTTTATACTTAGGGAAATTTAACTTTTGTATTTTGGTATTAAAAAGGAAAATTATATTGGAATTATGAATGTCTAATTGTTTCCATATCTGTTATCATATAAATTATTTTTCAATGCTTTGAAGGGATCTCAAAAGCCTTCATTTTTAGGTGTGACAAATGCTTGATACAGGATTTTTATTAATCGATCTACTTTTTTAACAAAAGCTGAATTACTTCGCATGTTTTGAATAAGAAAAAACTGGCTAAATGGTGATAAATAAATTTTATTTCTCCAACATATCAGGCTGCAAAGATAAAATTGCGCGGTATTTAATTAAAGGACATAGATATTGAGTAAATGCCTGGTCTTAATTGATAAATGAAAGAGAAGACTTTATTATACTACAGCCTTATTTGATAGCTGATCTTCTTTATCTTCAAGAATTAGGAAGCTTCTATTTTTCTGCATTCTTTGTCCCTACTGAATTAAAATCCATCCAAAGCCGGTTCAGATTCCGAAGATCTAGAAAGTAGCATTTCACATAAACATGATGAAAGTGAACTTATACGAGGCGAGGTAAAATATTCTGTTATCATCGAGCCTCCTTCCAATTCTAGTAACCATTGGTTACAGGAGCATAGGACAACAACGAATATGCGCCAGAACGGTTGAACATTTGTAAACAATTTGAAACGAACAAATCAAACCAGTTTAAAGACAAAACTGCTTTTTTTGTTTTGTCGTTGCTGGCTCTAGTTATTGGCAAACTTGCCTTAATTTTATGGAAAAATTATGGACTTTCACAAGCAAACGCCTTATAATTCATCAACACAGTGGCGTTTCATAATATTCTTTAACCCTTGCCCTTTTTAGTCTTCAGTCTTCAGTTTAAAAGAAACGCTTTCTCCTTCCTATTACTGAACGCATGTACTTGATTGGGATCTTTTGCCATACTATGGTAAGGACGAGTGGTTGCTGAGTGACTGGTGTGATATCATCGACATAAAATATATTCATTTATCTGGATGCCTTCAAGTGGAATTGAAAAAATTGACTTTTTAAAAACAATAATTGGCTTGACCCATAACAAGCTCAGATTTGACTTTTGATTTTCTTTAGTTGGTTTTTTTATATTTTGATCCCTAATTGCCCGCAACTCGCGCGCGAGTGAAGGGCTTATAGTCTGCCCCGCGTATAAGTAGCATATGGAAGCTTCAGTTCATAATGTCAGCACTTTTTCAGCAGATTTTGTCACTTTTCTGCTGCCATGACAACTGTCAATCAATTTTATTGTCAATCAATCGGCTTTGTCGAGGAGGTCGTTAACCGCCACCTCTTTGTGCGGAAGGGAATTATCTTCGGAGCGTTGCTCTGCCAAGACTCTGTTAAAGGCCTTCGGTTTTTTTTGCACGAAAACGGTGCTGCATCACAGCTCGGTTCTCCGCAATGGATGGAAGTTTTGATTCGAAGTTTTGGGAATCAAAACCAGTCGAATGCCACACCTTTCTCCCAAAAACTAGACACCGTACGAGCAAAAGTTATGATTGTCGTGATTATCGCCTGTACATCGCTGTACGAATCATCTATCGCAATCTATTTTAGCTGTACCCGTTCTATCACGTGTCCATTTTCATACGTCTTTGCTTCACGAAAACGAAAAATAAATGTCAAACCCTAGAAAAACTTCATGATTTTCAAAAGGGCGTTGGACTTAAATCAAAGGCAAACTGAACACCAAACATTCTTGATAAAAAGAATAGTTTAGCATCAACTAGACTAGCTGTTTTTATAAAATTGTGAAAACCCAAGATGGTGTCTTCTTCGAATATCCTGACTCAAATTTTCAAAACAATCATTATCAAGGAACTAATTGTTTGCGGGCAGTACTAGCAAGAGCTATTTCTAGTAATAAGAAGAGTCGATTCTCTATGACATTTTCGTGGCACTTTTTCTAGGCCTATAATATAAGGCTTATAGCTTCAATAAATTTATGTAGCTCTATGTGTTCTCTTTGGTTTCCAACTTTAGCAAATAAAAACCAAAATTAGTTTCACAGGCGAATTTCACCTAACCAGTACTAAGCATTTGCGGTGTCTCTATTCTGATGACTCAAAGTCTAAATGAAGAGCTTCATTCAGGAAAATCTGAGTACCAATTTTTTACCCGTTCCATAATTTGCAGTCAAGGCCAGAAAAGGTCTTTTTGAATCGATATTCGATTTCTGGAATCTAATTAGGTTTTTCGAATTACAGAAATAATTCCTTACTCGAAACATCGAACTGACGTCGTTCGGTGTAGGCACGTAATTAAACGTTATCGTTGAAAGAGATGAAGAAACGCAATGAAGCTTATCATGGAAGATACAAACAGTTTGGCAATTGTACCTGATGATGTGTTGTTAGGGATATTCGCCTTTCTTTCGCTTAAAGATCGATGCATTTCCCAAAGAACTGCTCGAAGATGGCAGATACTAATGGAAGATGCGTCTTTATGGCAAAGTATAAATATTTCGAAAGAGAGGAGTTTACGCCGAAGAATAACAAACCGAGCTTTTAGATCGCTTCTTGGGAAGTATGGAAACAGTATTAAAAAAATTAATGTAAAGGGATGCGCTCGACTAACTGATGACTCCTTGACAGCCATTGCGAGGTACTGTCGAAATTTAGAGACGCTGAACGTAAAGGGTTGTTTTCGTATGACGCACTACGGGCTTACGCGCGTCGCCGTTAAATGTGCGAGAATTCAAGCAATCAGTCTATTTATGACCGGCGCTAAAGAACAGACATGCCACGCTTTTCTACTTCGTGGAATATTGAATAGTATTGAACTTCCAGACCACATACACTGTGGAAGGTTGCTGCATGAGTTGATAAACAGGTGTGGAAAACTCAAAGTTCTCAGCGTGCACGATGTAATGCCATTTGCTGACGATAACGAAGCAACAATAACTAATAGAGACTTGATTTCTCTATCAAAAAGGTTCCCAATGATAGAAAAACTTCGTTTGGACTGGTGTTGCAACTTAACAGATGCAGGTCTAAATTCCTTGGCAGAAGTCTGTGTTCAACTAAAGAAAATTCATTTACGGGAATGCCACGAAATCTCTAGAGAGGGCATAGTAGCCATAATTACTAAATGCAAAAATCTTGAAAATCTCATTCTCGAGCATCTGTTTTTCAGACGAGGCCGCATCACTATGCAAATTACTACAGGGTTATCAATGCTAAAGAAACTGAAAATTTCCGATGTTTCATTTGCAGAAGATGACCTCGTGAGCATACTAGCCCTGCCCAGTAAACTCGAATGTGCTTTCCTTGAGGATACAACATTTATGCGGCAAAAAGTCTCTGATGACGTATTAAAAACATTGGCAGCGAAATGCAAGGGCCTAAAACATCTGCGAATGGACACCATGCTCGATATCCGGAGTGTGATGGACCATGTATGTAAGATGAAGCGACTGGAACAGCTCTTTGTATGCTGCACGGATGACAGCGGTCCATTCGATCAAGACCTTCTTGTGACGTCATGTGTTCGTCTACAGACTGCAGAGTTTCGGTACCGGAACAAAATTCTGGAGATGCGAAATAGGTCCGATTGGTCAGTGCAGAAAAGGTCCCATGTGTTTTTCAAAGACGACGAATAAAGCAAAGGAAACTTTTCTTGCTAAAAGAAAACCTCTATTTCGTTACAATTTGATAGCAACACGTAAACATGTAAATGTTCAGACGTTACAAAGACGAACATGGACTGACATCAAGTTACGTGATACACAATTATTTATAAATGCAAAAACAAGATAGGAGATAGTGAGAGAATATTTTGGGAAGTGATACGACCAGGGCAGGACAACTGCACTCTCAGTTTATTCACACAAATCCTGAAAGACTTTGACAACGAACAAGATATGAAGCACGGTACTTGAAGGGCAGGCCTTCCTTAAAACAGCATGAAAGCTTGCATGCACCACAAACTTAGTTTCTGACTCCTTAAATAAAGCGAACAATAAAAATCTTTCTGGCAGAATCCCTGAAAATTAATGGTTCGGTTGAATAAATTTCATCGTTTCATAAGAAGGCTCAACACAGAGAAACGCAGATCACATATATGTATAATCCATTCAAAGCGAACACCAGTTGGAAATGAAAAGAGCCAGATTTCATTAACGGAGCAATAATTGAAAATCTTAATTTATTAAAAAGAAGATCTGCAGGAGGAATGAAAACTTTTTATTGGAAATATTGATATGACGTTCCGTTTCAGAGCTTTTGAAAATTTCCAATTGAAGATGAGGGTGCCGTTTTGTTTGCAAAAAGACCTTAACACAAAGGAGAAAAACAGTATTTCTTGAAAAAACAGGCTATAAAACATATTTGCAGTAGACGCCATTTGGTGTATAGAACAAAACAGCTTGCTACTCCAAGTTTCACGCTTTATGCGACCATCAGGCAACTTAATAGCGTGCAAAGCCCTGTCTGTTCGGCATTGAGCACTTTATGACAGACCGGTAAACAGTAATTTTCACAAGTTGCAATAGAGATGTTTTTCAAAGTCCCCTAACAATTGCAATCGTAATTCATCAACTGTATCTAATTGTTTTGAAAATAAAACCAATATTATTGATTTTAAAATCACTTTGCTGATATACCTTCGATAACAAGTTGCAAAAACAAAATGACGTCATCGCCGAAAAAAATAAAATATTGAATAACTCTAAAATGAAAAGCTATGCAACAATTTTGTTTAAAGATTTCTTTGTTGCTGTTGCAGATTTTCAGGTTTATGAAATAAAATTTTTCGATTCGTTGTTCCTTTAAACGCCCGAATCATAGTATTCGTTGATTTAAATGCCAAAGTAAGTAGGAATCACAGATTAAAACAACGTAGATATATGGAATAACATTAGTAAATAAATCAAATTAGACAGGCCAATATATACATTATCACATTAACACACGTTATTCCTTCTTCTCGTCTGGGCTTTCGTCGGACTCCTCGCGAATGAGAGGCTCTGTTTGGCTGTAAACAATGCGATGAGCCGCTAACAGGTTCTTTCGCTGGTGTCGTTTCACTAAAATGGCAAAGGATAATCAACGATATGGAGTACAGTATGGGGTATCTACCTGTTTTTCTATTCTTATTAAGTATCAAAATAATTTTGATACTTATGAACTTTATAATTACTATACAACAATAAAGAGGCGATACCATGGGAAGCGAAAGACATTTACTAGCTACACAGAGTCGCACAACACTATTTTAAAAATACAAGGTAAAATAGCTTAACTGACAAAAACGTAGGTGCTAGGGTGTGGGAGTTTGCAGCAGTGGAACAATTAAAAGGGTTCAGTAGCATAAAAGACTTTCTGGGTTGCCTCATCTGGCTAGCGCTTCCTAGAAAGTTTTACATCTGCCAACCAGGGACCGAAGCCATGTTGTTAAAACAATATATTTGTTACCCTATCTGGAAACTAGCCCTATCTTTGGAAACTAGGGGGAGGGAGGAAAGGAAATGAGAAGTCACAAGAAGCGAACAAGAGCAGGAGTTCAAACAAACATGTCTTCCGTAGCCATTTTATCAGTTTTGCGCACACTCGAGTAAATATTTTGTAGTAAGCAAAACAGGTTGGCACGACCGCCAAAAGGCTCCGGAGGCCCTAGGGTAAAACTGAAAGACGAAGCCTCCTTCGAACAAAAACTTTCTTAACCACGTCCTTTATATTAGCTTAAAAAATATTTCAGAATGTTGCTTGCAGCTATTTTCTTGCAATCTTTTGAAACGCTTTACTATCTTTCAAGCATCTTTTCATTACGTTTGATTAATCAAACTCTTGAATGGAATTCAGTATTTTAAGAGGCCCCCTAGAACTCGAGGGAATTTGACCGCCCTCATCCCTCTCGTATGCCCTGCAGATTGGCAGCAATGTCGACAAAATAAGACTTGATATCTGACGAAGTACCAACCGTTTTCTCGCATTTCTATTTTCTGGGCCTCTGGAAGCAAAAATGATGTGACAAGCTCTGCTACAATCTCTTCACTCTCAAGTTCAGTGCGCCTAAAAAGAAAAAAGATGACATGAGATACCCGAAAGCTGTTTACAAACATAAAAGTCAAATACATCTGGGACTGACTTGTGTACGTACGTCATGAATACATAATTGACTTGCGGACGCAGTGATCTAAAATCAGGCCTAGAACAATAGAAACTTACGTTGCCTCTATTTCATAAGCTGCCTCGTTGACCTTTTCGGCTATCACTTGGATCTCTTTCCGCGCCTGCGCGTCTGCTGTTTTCTCAATGGCGTCCATTATTATATCTTCCAGATAACTGTCTACGGTTTCTTGATTAACTTTGATAATCTGTAAACAACAAGCATCAATCTATGCATATAAATTTGGCAGAGGAATCATTCTGTTTTGTTAGGAATTGTACGTTTTGTTTCAAAAGTCAAGTACACAGTAACGAGAACATGTGAAATTGAAAAACTTGAAAAATAAGTATATTATGGAATGCAAAAAGCAGACAAAGTAGTAGTATTTGATAGATTAAACAATCCTCAGAAGAGATTTACCAACGACGAGGCACTGAAAAAAGTCATACTTGAATCAAAGAATATTCATGGTACTGTGGAAATGATTCTAAAAGGACTAGCTACCAAAAACTCTAAATGATTGATAATCGCATAATTGGTGATTGTCAATACTAGTGGAGCATTTAGAACGAAATAACAACAATACAAGTTACGGAGATTATCTCTTGAAAAAAGCATTGGAAGATAATATGGCCCGTAAAGACTACTTAAAACTGAAGCTAATATTGTCTTTCTGTTGTTAAGTAAAGCCTGAAAGCACCATGAAAGGAAGGTCAATGTGTCATGTTGCTCGAGGGGTAGAATGTATGACAGCTGGGCTCTAAGTAACCGGCCGCCTCATGACGCAAACTGAATCAATTGCCCATTAGTAGATGTTGATTCAACAGAGAATTCTCAACAAATATCAAAATCTGTTGTCAAGGGAAATCTGTTTGATGAATTTGATTAGAAATTAGCGCGACTTGTAAATAATAACAAAGGATGCTAAAATATGGCTCGTATCATATAAGAAATTTATGGCGTTCAAAAAACCAGTACCCAATCTATTGATTTTATTTTGCCAAAACATCCTAACATATCATTCAACCGAAAAAAACATCGAACAAAGCATTGTTAAAATTGATGCTCACCTGCTTAAAGATTTCATCTTCTTCACGGCGTCGTCTTTCTTCAACTTGTCGCCGTCCACTTTCCTCAGCTTCTCGCATACGTCTTTGGCGTTCAGCGAGCATGGCAAACGCGTGAATGCGGCGTTCTCCCTACAAAATTACCTTCAGGAATCATCCAAACATAAAATAAGTTTTCATTTTGTTACTTGTTCTGTTGCTTCAAACAATTTAATGCAAACCTTGTTTCGTGCAGGCACTAAAGAATTTGCAGGTTCTGTATATAATTGGCATTATTCATTTAATGAACTAAGGGTTATTTGTTGGTTGAGATTGGGCCAAATGTATCTTGATGGGTTGATGCGAGAAGTTCAAGTTGAAACCTAGTATGAACAGGGTCAAACAGGTGCAATTTTTGAGGCGAATGCAGTTCACACAAATACCGAAGCGCGACATGGCAGATAAAATGTTTGAAGAAAATTGTTTGCTTATGGTTTATGCTTGCAATGGTCCGGCTTTGCTTTTCACAGAAAATCTACACCAAATTTCTGCTGTGAAGATCCATGTTGGACGTAAAATGTGATATCACCTCATCTTTTTACATTTTTGATCTAATTACTTGAATTTTTTTGGTATTGGCATGGTTCTTATTACCTTCTTCAAGCTCCTTTTTTCTCAAAATAAGCTTTTTTCTCCATTATTCATTTTCACGTTTGGTAAAAATGGCCATAAGCAAAAAGCACCTGGGTTAGTTCGTTTCGACTGAACGAAGCTAAACAGAGCATCCAAGATCATTGACCTGCCTGAGACTTACAGTGCAAAGGATGCTAAAACCTGGCAATCAAAAGAGCGCGAAACATTATGCAACAAACGTTAAGTCATGTTTGTAAGTGTCCAGCTCAGTGTGCTGGGTATGTCAAATAGTTAAAAGGAAAATGCAAGAGAAAGAAGTAGGTGAATGATGAACTATGCAAGTCCATGATGAAAAGACGAGGATGATGCGGAAAGTAAAAAATACATTTCATCTTGGGCACAGGTTCTTCTACCTTGACTAGAGAAACGGCTTCAAACTCACAAAGTAGCACATTGGCACATGATTTGATTAGAAAACCAGAAGATTTGCACTAGGTGGTGTTGGTTCCATCGTCCAAAAGGATTACCAAAGAAAGTGTCAGAAGAGCCGAAGTACATCTTATTCAGTATTCAAAGGACACGACAAGCAATTGATTAAGCTTCGAATTAGGACAAGATTAATTAATTTCTTACGGAGAGCAAAGGGATCTTGATTACCTGGGATGTACCTGGACACAGCATATAAAAGTTTATTGAAAAATTTTCAGAGTTAAGAAATGTTTTTAAACAACGAACGACCTAGAAAACTGCTCCATATTTGGGTTAAGAAAACTGCGCCAAATAGAGCAAGGTTATAAACAAAACATGTTTGTCTAAAATTACAACTTTATTCAAAGTAAGAAACGGAGTGCAAGCCAATTTCGCTAGCCAATTTCGTCAGATTATAATCGTGGGTGTCTTTGACCCTTTTTCAGGTTCAGGTAATCAACTTTCGGATAATCAATCGACAGAGAAGGCAGACAATTTGATAAAGTCAGGAAATCTAACAATCGGAGATAGTACTTAAAAGTATAATTCGAGCTTCGCGAAACGATCGGAAAGTAAGTTACAGTGGAAAGAACTTTGATAACTAGGGAGAAAATCATTTCAAACAAACTTAAGCGACTGCAAGTAAAAGTAAGCTGGCATAAATATACAAAATGGCAAAGCTACGAAGGCAATATAGTAATTTCAAGAAAGAATGAGCTCAAATACTTGATACCAACATAGAAACAGCCACGCTTGACTTCAGGTCGGTTCCTTGACTTTCAAATACGCACTAGCCTCGCGATCGCCTGCCCAGTTGCTTGTAATCCAAGCTCACTCACAGTAAAGAAGTGAAACTTTGGTTGAAGGATTCTACTCTTTAATAATTCATCAAAAGCCACTTTTGACAAAACACTGGATAGTGGTGAAATCTTTTACATGCACCTTCGTGCGTATAAAAATCACCTAACACCGATTAGAAATTTATGAAGGTAAAGCAAATCATATTTATTTTGTGTCAGAAGCAAAGATTCTGCGGCCAGTGACAGTTAAGCTCATACAGTGAGCCTTATAGACACGGTTTATACACATAGAATTTGTAATGTCTGTAGTGATCTACCAATAGAGACTTTAATTTGCAACTTAGATCTTTAACAGAACAAAAGCATCACAGCGTCCTGCAGCCAAGATCTTGGAAATGTTGCCTTACAATTTCTGATTAATATTTTTTTAAAGAGGCCCCTAAATGATGAAAACGAGAATAAAAAGTAGCTCAACATTGAACACAATACAAACATCAAAAGGGGAAATTTCATGATGATATAAAATAAGTAGAAAGACACATCAGGATAGAAATAAGAAGCAGAAAAACGATTCGAAGAGAATATTTCGCTGAAAATGTTGTTACACGGGACAGAATGATGTTTCGTCAGAATTTGTTTGAATTTTTTGACACGCACACGCTTGAATGTAGAATGAAGCGTGTTTTCTTACAATATCAGGCTTGTATTGGATGGAACACTCTTTAAAACGATTGATAATATCATTTCCTTAAGTATTCTTGCCGAGTCGAACAAGTAAAAGTCATCCATTTGCAAAATCACTACGCTTGAACTACAGAGAGGCCAAAGAGCAAGCAGGGAGAGGTACTGTATGATAACTGGAACGTTTCTGGCATACAGAGACAGATAAGCACTTTCAGGTAAAGATACTACATATTCACGTCTGCGGTTTTGGCTTTTCTAAGCTGGTAATAAAAACAACCTTATTCTAAGAATACGTGAACAAGAAAATTTAAAACGAGTCATCAAGAGTCGGCAATTTTCATTGCAATCAGAAATGGACTTCAATGCAATTCCAGATGATTGATAAAAATCCGTTTCAATATTGGAAATATTAATTCTATTTTGTGCAGTCTTGGTAAAACAGCTAACCATGATGATAACTTTGATAAAATTGTGAAATGCAAAATCTTTAATTTAATCTAACGAAATTAGGTGACCTTGAAAACGCCATGACAGAAACAAAGTTACAAGTACACAGCTGCATAGCTAGTTTACGAGAACTGCGAGAAAAGACTTTTTTGTTGATAAATTTAAGCCGCAACAATGAATGGCTTAAAACTGTGAATGGCTTAATTCTGTGAATGACTTATTTTCTTCGGTTTTTGAGAGCATTTTGAGTGCATTCATTGAAACAAATGAATGGCTGATCAGTCATCATACGAGTCATAATAAAAAAAGCCTTCGTCTTCGAATCTGCCTCCAGATCCAGACCTGACCACACATTATTCCCTTTTAACACCTTGTTTACAGCAGAAAAACAGCTCTGATTGCTGTATTTTTTATAAAAATGGTGATCCTGCAAAACCTTTTAAGTCCTGAACGCAATCATTGACTGTAAACCACGAAGGAAGGCCTCTCAATACAAAACTGGCAATAATCTCCCAGTTTATGTTTGTTCATTAATAACATTTCGATTCTGCCCCAATTCTTATCGAATCACATGCTGTAGAAAACACAAGTTCGTTGGGCCTCAAATCAAACTGCTTTTTGCTAAGGGCTTTATGACAATTTCAAAGGAATCTGACAAAGGTAAAAGTGGTTTACAGCCACTCGACCACCAGCGGTTGACCAATCAAATTGCACACAGAAAAAAGGTGGGACCTGCAAATCAGCAAAATTCTAGAGCAGCGCACAGTGGTTTCACGGGAGCAGTTTCCAATTCCTTTCAAAAGCGCGTGCTCTGATCAATTTGGCCTATTTATTCTTGGAATCGCTGCACTTATACATGTCAAATGCCTTTAAGAAATAAAAGAAGGGCGAAAATTGTAAGCAAGTAGCCAAAATAGGATCCTTGCAATACTTTATAGCTAGAAGAGGAATGCTATACACCCTGAAACTAGAGTAGTATCAACGGAAAGACATCCAATCCTTTCAAAAGGTGCTTCCTGTAGAAAAGGTTTCAAGGGGTAAGCATCCATGTTACGCTACCCTCTTATCGGATTAACAGTAAAACCCGCCTTGCTGCTTTGTGAGTTGTCATGTTTCTCCAGAATGCTGTTTGCCTTTTTGAAAGCTAACCATCTGCATTCGGTAAGATCTTTATGATCGTCTGTCCTTATTTTGAAACTGCATATATCTATATATACTGGCAACTTGCTCGGTTGTTGTTTTACAAAGCACACAATTAGACTTTCGACTCTTGATGTAGCTAGATTAAAAGTATTGTGAAAGTATGCTTTTAAGGGAGGGACTTATGAAGCTGAATTCTGTACTTTCAGTGGGCGGATTTTTATTGACGTAAGAAATCCAATCGATTGTAGCAGTTCTATTCACCAAGCATGCGAGTGGAAACGATTTCTGGCGCATCTGATATTTGAAAAACATAATTAATACATGGGTTGAAGATGATTACAGAAAACCCACCTGAATACGTATAAGCTCTTTGCTGAGAAAATCCAGCATGCCCCCAAGAGTTTCTCCTCCATGGCGAGAAAGTGCCTCCTCAACAACTGACTCCTAGAACACAGAAAGGTAGGGAAGTCACACACCTGAATGCAGCATATATTTTCATTAGTTGCAGCTTCAATTATGCCATAACACTCATCTGGTTCTCTCTCAGCAGCTTATGGTACACAATCACATCATTTAAGCGAAGGAACATAAATGCACAAAAGTACGATCCATCCAACATATAAAACCTTCAAATAAAAAATTTTCATTCCTAGTCAACATGTACTGCTGAAATTAATTTTTTGATGATTGAAAACTGGCTTAAGAATTGAAAAATAAAAATGAGCCATACTTTATGCTGCTCAAGGCGTCTTTCCCTTTGAAGTTCCAAAATTTTCTGTTGCTCCATTTTCTTGATTTGTTGCTCTGCCTCCTGCAATGCGTGCGTGCTGCGCAGCTCCTGGATCAACTCTCTGCGTTTTTCTTTGCCCTCAAACATCTAAAGTGAATCGCAAATCGTTCTAACTAGTTTTTATTTAGAACTTTCATACAAAGAAAATAAATAACGCTTTCTTAGAAGAAATCCAATTATTCTGAGAGGCAACAATATGGAACCGTTAAAAACAAGAATAAAAAACATTTACTTTTGATAGCACAGCGAAAAAACCGGTTTGTTTAAGCATATATTTTCTCAGGATATTTTAAAGACAGCACAATTATCATTATAAAATGAAATGATAGATTAATTGTCATTGAAGGCTAATGAATTAACTGAAAAATTGATTAAATTGACCATGGTAAGGTTTCTCAAGGCTTTGAAAGCCACTGCGATATCCAAAAAAAGGCAGCAGTTTAATCAAACAAAAGAAATAAACAATAAATTCTCTATACACAGTTATGAATTTAAAAGCTGTTTTCAAAAAGCTGTCTGTTGCTAAAAATGGAGATAATTTCAGCATAAAGTACCGATTTGTGACGAGATAGATTGTTTCCAATAGTTTGACTGCATTATGGTATTTTCTCTTTTCAATTTCCGAGAGCCCGAGTGGTGTAGACGGGTGAGCTTTCTCAGGGTGTCCCCCAATGTCTCGATTTCTTAACATAAAGGAATGAAAATCCCTTGATGCAAAGGAGAGTACTTCAGAATGTAACAGTCTTCCTATTGCAATTTTCCTAATTAATGCTAATTAAAAATGATTTAACTGAACTTGTTATGCACTACGTGCACTGGTTGGAACAGACCGATTTTATCCCATTGCAACTTAATAAGACATGAACAATTTGACTTGAAACTTGCGACCAACCCCAAAGCAATGCTCGGTAAACACTATGATATGTTTCTCATATAACTTTAGAAGTGAGGACATGTGGAAGCCTCTTAATAGTTAACTAGCAGCAGTCATTCTTCGACACAGAATGCTGATAATCTGATGTCAATCTGCAAGATGTGGAGCCTCTATTTATGGACCCCTCAATATAACTGGAAACACCTATTTATATAAGATCTTAGCATTTGGCTCCTAGTAGCAGAAAAATCCTCACAAATGACAGAAACTCTGGTTCTGCAAACGACAGTTATGTGTCCACTATACAAAATGGCCTATTTTGTGAATCTAAATTACAAACATCTCACATACCATATTTTGTATAGCACGACCTCGTATAATTTTCTGTAAGAATATCGCCGCAAGTTCTTCTTCTTCATCTGCCTGAAAATAAAAACAAAAGATCAAAGTGTTAGAGAAAATAGCGAGAGTGTCTGTCATGGTTTATGCATGACCAAAGGATTCAACTAAAACTACTACGTAATGGACAAAGATAAGCTTATTTTTTGTAGGATCTTTGTAAATGGATTCAGACAAATCAAAGACAATGAAATGGGTGAAAAATTCAATACAGAAGAGCTTCGTTCAGGAAACTCATGTGTGATGGAAGAAACAAACAACCTTGGATCATGATAGTACGTTCCAAAAGTAAAAACACTTGTAAAGCTATTATCAAGATTTTCATTTCACGTTATCGTAGAGGTTGCCATACACCACGACTTCTAAGGGATCGATCTCAAAAAAAGCAGGCATACCTCATTTGGTTCCTCAACGGTTGGCGTTGGAGGCCTGGGGATCGGCTTTTCAATCTTGTGCAAGAACCGCAATGGTTTCGGCGGCTCCTTCGGTTTCTTTTCATCTTCTAGTTGCTTAGAGACTTCTTCTAGTTCAAATTTTCTTCGTTCTGTACGCTTTACAAACCCATTTTTACCAGCAGATTTTGGTTTCGGTGCTATAACTCTCGGTTTCAGTACATAATCTGGTAACGAGGCTTCCAGCTCCAGAAGGCCCTGATATGTGCTCAGGTATCTGCTTTTAACCACAAACTGCTCTGAGCCTCGATCAAGGAAAACACCAATGCGAGACATCGGGGCGTAAACCTGCGACGAGGGATCTGAATAGTCTTTTAAGAAGTCTCTGCGTTCCAGATTGCCCTCCACTGCATCTCGCTTTTTCGTGAGTTTTCTTATAACTAGAAAATATCAAAAGCAGTCAAAGATAATAATTTGTATAAACAATCTTGATGTTAGTGAGACGGAAGTTAAGAGGTCATGTGACTTCAAATCGGTTGGAAGTTCTTGTTGAACAGAAAAGGTCACGACTAAGCAATGCAGTCAAGGTTAAAGTTTGAGAAATGAAAACACAAAATGTATTATAACTCTGTATAAAAATATTAAGCAATCGACACTGGGAAAAGTGTAGAAATGTTTAAGGAAAGCCAGCAAAATTTGGTTGTCTAAAAACTTCTCTTACTTCTCATGTGTTCTAATTTTATCTTTTCAAATTTGCTATCTTTTTCTGTCTGCTTGCCCGACCTAGAATATTAAAATGAGAAATATCATATGAAAGCACAAAATTTGGCGTTGCGTTATTTCAAAGAGCAACAAAAGCAACTTCAGATCAAACTTTTATCTAAGTAGAATTCAAGGAAAATCTTCTGACCAACACAAGTTCTGTTGTAAAAATTCGAGACTTAATTTTCCTTAGCATCAATGATGAAGAATGCAACTGTCAATCAAACTTTGACCAATCAAGAAGCGTCTAGGAGGTAATACACTGATTGATTGGCCAGTTCTGATAGACAGATGGCTCAGGCAACTTTAGAATATAGAAATAAGGCTAAGTTAAAAGGTCTTAAGTTGGAAGGCTGAATAACTTAGAAAGGTGATTTTCCACGGAGTTATGCAACGGCAATACATCATAGATCCAATCAGCTTTCAAGTATTTAAAGACAAAAGAATGTTGAACCACCGCTGCAGTTTAGACGAACTAATTAGAATTTTTGAATCGTGTTAAACCCTGAAGCTTACCACAAACGATCCAATCTTTTGTTGTTCAATTCTGCATTCGTATCTTCCCTTTGCTGTAAAATTTTTACTAGCACTTCCAGTCTGGCTTCTTGTAATCTGTTAAAGGAAGCAGAATTTCGTAGGAAATAAGGAACGATGCTGACAACCACATTATAAAATTACAAAAATAAAAGAAAGCTAACTGATCGTAGGTGAGCAAAAAAGACTAAATATCTTCAATTAAACGCAACAGGATTAATGCGACCAGACATAAAGAATCAACGTAACAAGCTTTGGGGATTTTCAACAACCTCTTAATATCTAGAGGATTGATAAATTGATCTAACATAAATAATTAATAGCAGGGGCATTGGGGTGACTACTACCTTTCTTACGGGGAATCTCTTCCTTCTCTCCAGCTAATTGACATATTTGAATTGGATAAAAAGTAAATATTGCCTACTGCAAACAACAGGAAACGGAACATACAATTCAATTTCTCTTTCTCTAAACGCCCACTCTTTTCTCTCCTGTTCGTCCATCATGGCTCGCCTTTTCTCCAAATTTTCAACATCATTCAGTGCTGGCAGCGTTGCTTCCCTGTAAGATATTCAACACACGTCGTTAAAAAACAGCAGTGCATGATAAACCTCCAATCCGGCTTCATTATAAAATGATTCTCTAGCAAATACGTATTCATTTCCTGCGGATAATATTCATCTGATGCAAGTGTTGCCCGAAACTATAGTAACTGCATTCCTTAACTAAGTGTATAAAATATCAACAAGTACTAAAGTAGAATGAAATACGTGTTATACTGGTACCGTGACCTCCACTTTATCAACATATGAAATTGGTGTTTTTATACCAGTAAGGTTCAATCTACAAAGAAACTATTATCTTACCATGCTCTCTTAGCTCTGGCCCTTTCAATCATTTCAACTTCTGCGAGACCAGCTGGTAAACCATGTCCTAAAAGATAGCAATGGCTTTTATCAACAAAAAACATAACGCAAAATTTTCTAAAAATTTAATGGATATTTGCACGGAAAAGGTTCTGGCAAACAGGCAGCTGCATTCTAAAGAAAGTTGTTAGGACTACCGACACTGGTAAGACACAGCTTGGAAAAAGCAATGCATAATAAATATCATACTCGGGTTAGAACAAGCGACCAGTCTGCCAATATGAACACAAGGAAGCTGCTCGAAAACAAAATTAGCTGAAGGCACAAGCTAAAACGGGCATTTTTTCGAGATTGATTGGGAAAAGTTTTGGCGAATTTGTCCTGTTATCCGAGAAAGAATAAGAGTTTTGCTTGACACTTTGACTAAGCAAGGGCTACTTGTAAGCTACAATAGAGCAAAATTTATGCAGTTTATCAAGATTTTACAAAACCTCCTGCCCTTTAGCTATTAGCCAATGCACTATAAATTTCTTGGCAGTATCTTATAAATATAGGATGTATCCACAAACATCTTTTAGCGTCATGTTTGCAAATTTTGGTAAATAATATAGGACAGGGACGAGAAGGCATGAAAAGATAAAGCCAACAAATAGCCTGGATCGATAAGAGGGTTTTGAACTTAGATAAAATTCTTATGTTATGTGAAATTTTAACTATCAGTCTGCCCTTCATTCCTATGGCAGAAATGTCACACAGTATCTAAAGCGATTGCACAATAAAAGTAGACAATTAAAAAGACCCTATGTCTAGATCCAACAGGTTTTTATTGACTAAAACATTAAAGTGCTGAACTGAAACGAACCATAGGCAAGAGTAGCTAACGTGAGTAACTCTGGCTGGGATCCAGGACGTATGACGTACTCAGGTGAGTAGGGGTCAGTCTGTGTTTCACTGTCCCTGTAATCTGTTTGCACCATGACAGTTCTTGTGAGTGGAGTTGGTGCCCTCTCAGCTATCACTTCGGTGCCAGTCATTGGATCAGTTCTGAAAACAGAGATAGAAACCTTCTATTAATATGATTGTTTTATTAATTCACACAATATGTAGAGTCAATAAATAAATCTTTCAGCATGGCACTTCCAACAATAGCTTTAGCTCTAATAAAAGTAGGATGCAAAGGAAGAAACAAGTGTTGTTTTGATGCAGGAGCATTGATAAAGAAAGAGTGGCGAGGCCCCAGGTCGTGGACGCTGAAGAGGCCTCAGAACAATTTGTAGCTGTAAAGGTACTCAATCTTTATGTTAATATTACATTCAGTATTAAATTCATGCTTTACCAAGTAGCCATCGGTGGCATTCAATGGCTCGGTTTCGATAGAAAATGCATAATAATAACAATGATATTACTATAAGTAGCTTAGAGAGTGGAAGTCGTGAGACCTTTAAAACCTGGTCATGCTCTATCTTCCTACTTGTTTTAGTCGATCATATGTCCGTTCACACTGAAGCACTGACAGACAGACAGTTCATAACTTCACCTGACATAGCTTCAAGAGCCTCTAGAAAAGGTCTAACTAAGCTGTTTTTGATTATTCGATTTAATGACAAAAAGCCCTCATTTGCATTTTCGATCACTTTGAAAGGATGATATCCAGGCAAGGATCTTTGGTCGATTTTGTAACATCTCAATTTGAGCAATAATTAATTCATGTGTTTCAAAGCAGAATCTTTCACAAAATCAAAGAACATAACGACGACACATTCTTCTTGACCTGATATTAAAGTGACTTCTTCAAATAATTCGATTAGTTGCAACACGCATGATTTTTTGCAACAGAATTCAAATTGAATAACATGTAAAGGTAGTTGTGTATTCACTAATGTTCTTAGTTCAAAACGCTTTTGAGAGGAGTGTTTAATAACAACCAAACATCAGTGGCTTCAATACAGCTTAGGGCACCTAAGTTCAATGACTTATGGCCCCCGACCATAAGAGGCCCCACAATCTTGTTTAAATCCATGTTTTTGAGACTTCACTCAAATTCAACTCATTTTCAAAAACTTTTAAATATTCTAAATTGGGGCTTTTGTAACTCAGCTCCTTCTAGTTAACGAGAAAAATTATAATTCTTGAACTTGCTATTTGTGTTTGACATGCTCTACACCCTTCGATGGGACATTTTTGCAATCCGTTAATAGGGCCTGTCTCAGTTTTCCCTTAGTGCAATAACTAGCAGGAAAATTATATTTGATATATAAGATAGCAGTGTAATAAAATGATGATTAGAATAAGAAAATATGCCATTCATTTAGCAATTTTTAAACTTAAAGGCAATATTTATTGCAAAGTTTTATTGTAAAAAAGGTGATATAGTCAGCTTGTTTACTAAAATATATTTATATATACCTGTTTGCTTGTAAAACAACATCAGCTGGAACTTGCTGAAGAAAGGGTATAATGGGTCTATGATAGAGAACAACAGTAAAACGATTACATTTTGTGATACATAGCAAGAATTTGGCATAGGTGGGACACTAAATTTGAACACTAAACTGCACATCCAGGTCTGTTGCTGGCTATTGTGCTCAAGGGTGGTTTCCAAGTCCCATTTGCCAACAAAGTGGGTGAGCCATCCTTTTTATGTCGAAAAGTTTAGAAATTTGAGGACTAAGCACCCCTATATGGCAAAAAACTCCACATTTTTGCCATGGATATTTTTCAAGTGAGGTGCCACACCCCTCACCTCAGATGGCAAAATTTATCTTCTACGATTAACAAATTTTTAAGTAGATTTCAATTACAAAAGTTACAGTTGCCTAATTTTGATTGTATTGACCAGAACTATATTTAATTGAACTGAATTTTTCATCTTCGATCATGTTTCTCTATTTTCATCCATACATAAAAAGTAACTTGTTTTCAAGAATATCAATAGTCTAGGACCTCACATTACTGAACCCTTAGGGTTCTTGAATGTCTTTGAAAGAGATAGTTAAAAATAAAATATAATTATACCTTCTAAAATACTTGTATCTGTCAATCCCACCAACTTCAGATTGCTGGTAAGTGACATTTGGTACTCTTACTGTAGGGTCATAATTGAATCTACAAGAAAACAAAATGTCCAGTTATCTCTGAAAGACAAAAAACTTCAAGCTGATAATAGCAAAAATCAGGAAGAACATTTCTTACTTTGTATATCTTATCAGAGATTCCCTTGCTTGCTCTTGATAACCTCTCCATTGTCTTGGAATGAATCCAGGGACAGGGTCCTTAGAATCAATTCTGACACTACTGTTAGGAAAATGGCGCAGTCCACTGAACATTGTTTTGTACTCAGGGACTCTTTGCTGAGATAAAACAACAAACACAATGGTTAGGAAAAAAGAACTGGAACTAATGGAAAAATGATTCTTTGAAAAAAAGTATGACCTGACTTTTTCTGCTAAAAGAAGCTATTCATTACCATGTATGCTCTAAATCAGTTTCAGCTTACAAAAAAATGCTTTAGAATTAGATTAGAAAAATGAAAAGTTTTTTCCATAACAAAATACTATACATTCATATACTAATTATTCCAGTCTTGCGCACAAAGCTAATATAAAAAAGAATCATGATTGCTAAGAGAGATTTTTGGCTACATGAGCTCCTTTCCTTTTTACTGCTACAGACAAATGAAAAAAATTGAATCACTTTTCTTTTTGAATGACCCTTAATTATCAATTCTCACATTTGAAAGTATCTACAAAGTTATAAGCAACTACAATTATTATGCTAAAATGTAAGAAATCAAAATACTTGTGCAACAATTCATGCATATGCAGTACTTACAATTCTTTCAACATTTGTGCTGGCTCTAAATGTTGCCCTGGCATGATCTCTTTCACTTGATAAGGTATAGACAGGATCTAGAATGACAAAGTTTGAAATGAATTGCCCTCAAACTGTAGCTAATCTAAATGGTTAGCAATTTCTTAGACATGGACAGATACAGAGCCATAAATCCCAGGGGGGTGGGGGGAACTGGCCCCGCAAAAATCTGGAGCAAAACGGTTTATTTTTGAACAATTATTAATCATTTTGCTTGAAAGGATGAAATCCCTGGTAGCTGGGTTGGAACCAAACTACTTTTTCGGTGTTATTGCAACAAACCTCTGCTGCTAAGTCATAGTGTCAAGAGCAAGTTGACTTTTGCAGATGGCTGTTATTTTTGTAAGCAGAGTGGTATTTATCTTTTTACAGGATAAAATTCTTTTCCTTTTTTTATCATTTTCTACCACTTTGTTTTTGAAAACAGAGTAGGAAATAATAAGAGAGCAAACTGTTATTTTATTTGACCTAAAAGATAAACCTTTTTTACTTATATTTCTATTATTTGCTTATTATTCGCTCTTATTTAGTAAATCACTTTCTGTATTATTAAAATGTATTCATTTTTGATGTGTAAACATGGCCTACCTAAAACACTCAAAATAAGAAAGATGCATTTTTCTGTTCAGGAAGTAAAATTATACCAATCACTATAACAACATCCCTTCTTTCCTCAGCGTCTGTCACTAAAGTTTAAGCATGGGTCTCCCCCCCTCCCCCCCCCCACAATTTCGCCCAATAAACAACAATCTGTGTTTATCTGAGAAACATCGAATTTTCTATCCTGTGTATAAGAACTTTATTAACTTTAGTCTGGGGGATGCTTTTTCAGCCTTTCTAGAAGGTATCATTTCAAAAATTTTCTTTTGCAATGGAGCAGACCATGGTGGGTCCTCCTACATCACTAAACTTGATCCTTAGCTCCCAAGGTTCAATTCTGTGGGGCCTTCTCTAAAGAATTTTGTCCATCTAATTATTAACAGGTCAATGTACTGAGAAATATCTGTAAATACCTGGTATAGAGCAGAAAGTCTTAAGAAAGCCAAAAATTTTGACTTTTGCTTTTTAAGTCATTAGTCCCTCAACTGTTTCCACACATACATACTATAAATTGCTTGTGGTGCCATGACTCACTGCACACTTTATATTCATTCGCTCTGCTGACCCCCAATTCACATGGCAGTCAGAATTTCATATGAATCTCTTGATAATTACAAATGGCCGATGTCATGGGTACTTCTATGAAAAGGGCACTTTAGCCCCCTTTTCCCTCCTATCAAAAGGCAACAAGGGCAGTTAACCCTGTGCCCCCTTCTCTGGCATCCCTGGCACAGCCCCCTTCCTAACTTTCTAGGATGGTACCCCTGCTTAATGTATGCAATCATATATGCTAACAATTACAAACATCACAAACATAATGCTTGCTTGATCTCAAAGAGAGTTCTTCCAAAGATGTTTCGTACTATTCATTGTATGAATGCTATCCTTATGTCCTCAATCTGAGAATATTGCAGGCTATCAACAAACTTCAACACAAAATCATTTTTTTTATTCCTTAAATCATTTTTGATATGTATAATAATTTGAGTAAAATCTATGGGATCAGGACGGTGATTCATTTAATGTAATTGCCATTTTCTTCACCTTACATTGCCATGGATGAAAAAGATAGGGGGTAAAACTATCATCTGGTCACTGAATGTGAATATTCCTTGAAAACTTGAGCACTTAAGAAAACGGGCATATTTAACAGAACAGCCAGAGGGTGACACATCCAACACGCTTTTAAAATTTTTAAATAAGAAAAACAGAGTCAAAATGATGCAGCCAGAAGTAGAAAATGATAACATATATTGAGTGTAGTCAAGTTCCTTGCTCAAATTGATAAATTCGCTCTACTTTCTTATAGTTAATGTGAGATTTATGTTTTCAGTTGGCCTGATCTATGATGCCAGATCATGGCAGTTCATTGATAAATTAGCAATATGTGATTGCATGATCGAAAATCTACAGGGGTTTATCTTACAAAAATATTACTTGTCTAATGAGTACAGTCGAAGTCAACTTTCTACCTGAGTTCAAAACACGTCTTTGGATCATTCAAAATATTATGTGGAAATGGATGACCCAAAGTTTTTTACTTGTCTTCAATTGTACAGTTTTTCTTTATTCGAAGGAGATCTCTTGACAAGATTCTAGTGAATTAAAGCCACTTAAGTGCAGCCAATTATTTAATGCGGCAGCTAAGGTTTAAGCAGGAGAAGTCTGAACTGACGACTTTGGCCTAAATTTTGGGGAAGCAAATAAGATCAAGCATTCTCTTACCATACAGATAATCGTATGCTCTTGAAGGTTGAACTGGCGGTTTTGTGACCGTCTGTGTCAGAGACATCTTTATAAAATGAAATGTACAAAAATAATTCCAAAAGCTTCAAGTAAAGTCGGTAAATCGCAAATCAACTGTTCTTGAAAACTGCGGTTGCTGCTGACAACAAGGATGTTACATGGCATTTGGTCAGCGGAAACAAACCCTCTTCTGCTCCAGCGCAGTAATCAATATTTTTATCTGCACGCTTTTTAGCTGGATTTAAGAATAGGCAATTGCTAGCTAACATAATATATTAAACTTATTAAGTGCTTTTTATTAAGAATTAAATATTTTATAACGTGAAGTGTTGTTCTTCATCGATACTGCGATGCGGAGGAAAATGCCTCTTATGTATTGATTGCCATAGAAACGAACGAATGTAAACAGTATTTGTTACCAAATTCGAGTGAAAGTGAAATACACTGATTTTGAATTGAAAGATGTCTAGTAGACCACCATTTTGCGGCTATCTTACAGCTTCTGGCCAAGGTGAAACTTGGGACCACTCAGACGGAAACAAATTTAAACAGTTTGGATGGAGGTGCACCACAAACGAAACTGGATATTCACACGAAACTCTGATTGGGAACTGGAACGAAGAACGCTATGATACTAGAAATATGTCTATAAACAAGCCCATTCCGTCACAGGTTTCACTTTTACTTAAAATTTTATCATAAAGTAACTATTAGAAATTCTAAAAAACCTGGACATATAGAATGAATTTGATTTTTGGCAACATTTTTGTTGAAAGTAAGGGCAAAAACTCAGTTTACTTCTTGCGTTCTCCTTGGATGCATATTGGTTTGTTGCGTTTAGACCTGGCGAATTTAACGATTAATTCACCTGCCTGCGGTTGGCAAGAAAAAAGTCAGCAAATGGGCAATAATGTTTCTCTTACAGAGGAGCAAAACATGGAATAGCATCTGCTGGGTCTAAGCAGGCATCATCTAAGAATATGTTTAAACAATCATTTTAGAGGTGATTTTATGTTTCAACTGCAAAGTCATACTTTGTAATGAAGTTTTCACATTATGGTTTTATTATAGGTACAATTGGTTTATTTCATTTGCATAGAGTATATTGTAATTAAAGTTTTTTGTTAGCTCCTTGAAAATCAGCTCAGCTGAAGTGAAATAAAAAGTGAAAAGGAAAATAATAAGTAGCAAGAGGGCATCATATAGAGTGAATACTCAAAAATACTGATTTCTTGGCATCTCTCTCCTCATATAAGCTTTTCTGCAATTTCTCCAAGGAGTAGAAAAATAGGCAAAAAGAGGCTGTTAAACCTCTTCAAAGGTGTTTCATAGTCATTGGTGATATGTAGATGAATCTCAATCCTATGTTGTCCCTTCAATGTAAGCATGCTTTCAAAAGAAATTTTAAGGATGGCCATATGAATTCCTATAATTCACACCTTTGCCCTTTAATGGACACCCATGTCTGATGGTTTTGTGCTTTTTATTCATTTTTTAGTACAGCCATTATTTTCAAACAAGCTATGAGAATGACTTCAAGACAAAGGGTAAAGTGAGCAACTTACCAGATTACGTGAAGAAAATTGGTGGTGCAGTATCTGAGCCAAGAAGCTTTCCGCACCACCAGCCAGAGTTGGATCCCAGGGAATTAAAACAAACTTACAACTCATTTGAAACTACTTCGCAAAGTGCTTACAAAGATCCAAGAACTACAACTCAGAAATAATTGCAAACCTTGTCTAAACGATATTGTTATTCAAGACTTCTTGTAAATAACACTTTTGTTTTTGTTTAGAATTTTATTGTTAAGAGTTAATTTTGAAAAATCCAGAAGTTTTTTATGTTTTGTAGTTTTCTGTTTTTCCTTAATAAAGCAATGAAATCAATTTTTTAAAGATACCATAACAATTTTAAGTGATTGCTTGAAAATTTGAATAGTAAATATAAAAATCATACAATGACAAAATTAACAATGGTTTCCAGCTTTTTTGGCACATCGCCCATCTCAAATTAGCATGATAAACTGAGGAAAATTCGACACAAACCACAAACGTTGTCAGTGAAAAGCACAGGATTTAGTTGAATTTCACTGTACCAAGGCTGAAGAAACTCTGACTACATTTGCACAAGATCATATCAAAATCTGTGTGCAAAAAAACAAAAATGACTATGGCAAAGAGTTCTAGTAAAAAACAAAAAACCAAAAACACAGTTGATTTGTATCATCATCGAAATTCAATGAGAAATTTGCTACTAATCAAATGAAATATAAAATCATCTCAATTTAGTGTTCTACAATTACACATCATAAAATAGGCTTGCCAAGTGGTATCTGATCCAAAATGCAACAAAACTTCCAAGAACCTGAAAAAATACGATAAATTTTTTTTATATTTAAGAACATTGAACATTTACTTAGTAAAAAACAGCTGAAAAATACTATAGGCATGGTTAATGATCTGACATTGAATTATGTACAGAACTTTTTATACAACAGAACATTCAATAAACCAGACATCAATCAGACTTGTTTATTATTTTATTCCCCTTATTATAAGAACTAACAGAAAGATCAAAGAAACCTACAAAAGGATGGAAGTAGCTTCACCTGTCTATTTTAAGAAACTTGCTCTATAAACATAGCATTTTACCTGAAGTTTAGCAATGGCACATAACCCTTCTAGTGTTCTTTATATAAGGAGGTGAAAAATCCTTACAATAAACCTTGAGAGACATCAAGAAGCAAAGAGGAGACATTCTTCCCTTAAAATGGATACAAAAACTTCCAATGGGAAATATAAGCCCATATCAGCAGCACTTGTGCAATGTTCATAGAAACAACACAGCTCTTGCATAATGCTCTTACATGTCCTCAGTTAATGATAACAGTTTGAATGATAACAGTTTAGATTAAGACAAAAATGAAAGAGAAAAAGCATATGACCTGCAAATCTCATCATGATTTCTAACATTGAAAAAAATGGTGTCAGTAATGTTTAATGAAAATGACCTCCTGTACACAAATTGGTGTTTTTCTGTACCGGGTAACATTACATTTGGTATTAATTAGAGAACTGAACTGTAGCTGCTCACAACAAAGCTGTGTTTCAATGGCATTGAATATAACCAACTCACAAAACACACCTGGCAAATTTGAATAGTTTTTTAAATTCAGAAATTTAATGAAAAATGTATTTGCCACAAGACCATCTGACCTGCAGGAGTACAACACACACCCTCTTTAAATAAAACTTCTTTTGTGTGAAATAATTGTGCGTTTCTGAGATTTGTTTGTTTCTGTTTCTATGTTTTTGGTAACATAAAAACCCATTTGTTAATTAAACATTTGCTAGAAGACAAATATGTAAGCAGTATGAAATACAGTCAACATACCTGAACAACCATCAAGATGACAGTCAAAGTACTTTCATGAACCGGTCCAATAAACTTGATAACCAAGTTGATCAAAGTCATGTTATTGATCTCAATTCTTTCCTTATCTTCTCCTAAGTTGTCTTTAACATGAAGCAGCCCCAATTTCCCAGCAATACTAATGACTAATCTCCCAAGGAAATTGAGTTCTGACTTCTTAAAAACTGCTTTGCTCATTTCAAGCCTGTCAGTTTTCTCATTGTATCTGAAAAAGACAAATTTGCAACAGCAAACTAGATGCAAACCTTTTGAGGAGCACACTGAAAACCTTTGATAAATGCTTCCTGGTGATAATGAATTTATTAATTATATGAATAACCATCATGCAATTTGGTCTTGTAAGTCAACCAACGATCAGTAAATGTGTGGAGAACAGTTCAAAACAGAAAAAAGACTTTATTTGACTGTAAATGATAGAAATAATTCACAAATTTCTAAATAGCTGTGGGTAGTTATATTAAACTGTGCTATTTTGAAAAAGATAATTTATAATGTTTGAAATAAAATGGCATACCTTGGTAATCTGTGTCTTGGGCACGGTATCAAATGGAACAGCTGTGGTGCAGAATAAACAAAGTTGACAACTTGAGGGATAAAGAATAGCAACATAGTTTTGCTGAAGTGACTCAGGATTGCAATCACAGCAAAAGTCATGCCAGAAAAGTAGCAGAAGGTATCACCAACAAAAATGCTTGCAGGATACCTGTAAACAACAAATCACGATCAAAATAATGCCAATATTCATAAATAAAAACTTAACGGTAGTATAAAAAAGCAGAAATAAGAAGAACTCATTACTCAAGGGATTTTATTAGCATTAAATGGATTACACAAAAATAAACACTCACCAGTTGTGATATAGCAAAGCAGCACAAACTCCAGTGTATGGCATAATGAGATAGAGGGAAAACAAATGAGTTTTCCAGCAATCACCATAAAGCTCAATAAAATTGAATGCTATGATCGAGCAAGAGATGATAAGTGACTGCCCAACTTCAATGCCATTGATCCCAGCCAATATGTTGATAGCATTTGTGCAAAAAACAGCAAGCATGCCCATATACAAGTAGTACATAATACCTAAAATAATGATAAATCAAACTACAGGGTTTGATTATAGAGCTAGATCCATATTAGTTTGAAAAAACAACATACAAAGTGTATTGCAAATAACCTACAGTCATTGAATAAATAAGCAGTCAGTATCATTAAGCAATAATAGTCCTAAGTTACACATTAGACTGACACCAAATGTTGTGTTGGAGCAAAAAATAAGGTTTTGGTCATACTAAACAATGGAAGAATTGCCTCTGAAATTGACGACATTTTGTATACTTTGGTAATGTCACATTGACACTGCTTAATGTTTACATTCATTTTTCCTAAGAAGGCAAAAGAACAATTCTACATCTGGGAAAACTCAATTGGCTTGTTTATTGAAAATATTGTGGCAAAAAGAACCTAGGAATTATATGATTATGTCCTTCTTGCATTATGGATTGGGAAAACCTTGGAGTAGAATAGTTGAGACCTGCTAATACAAATGCAACACCATCATATTTTGAAGGTGATGAGAAAGGCTCCAAGTCACTTCAAGTGTGAATCTAGCTAACTTTAAGGAAGAGCTTTGTTATTGCCATGTTATAACGGATGGGTTCATTTTTAGACTATTTAAAATTTAACGTTTCTATAAAATTATTTTGTTGATCTAAATGCAATCCTCTTGTGTGAGGGCTGCTTTTAATGTGATCACAACAGTTAATCGGTATTACACAATATGATAACAGTTTGGTAGCTTCCTTTCAAATTTTCAAAAGAAGAATCCATACCGAGATTGAGGTCTACTCCAATGTAAAGTCGCAGAGGTTTAGGAATAATGATTGTTGTTGAGTTGAAGTTCACATGATAAACCATTAACAGAGGCAATGAAGCAATTGTTGGCAGAAATAGTTTATGTCTCCACTTCAGATCAAGGACATCATCAGCAAATCCAAGAAGAATCATGCAGCAAATGGACAGCAGTGCAACAATGAATTCTACAAACTAGATATGAATGAACTAATTAACATTTTGGTTTAATGTTGATACTAAATGTAAAAATTCTGTGAATTTCTTGTTGTAAAACAAACTTCTTTACCAAAAATAAAAAACATTAACTGAATTTATTTAGTCCCAAAAGAAAAAAGAGTAGAGTCCTAAAGGTTATAATAGAGTTGCATATGAATGCATAACATAGTGATTTCAAGTTGTTTTTACATGCAAAGTTGCCTTCAATCCCTACCCTGAAGATTTCAGAGTAGCTGTCTTGTAATGGTGACTTTCCTTTCTACTTTTATGCTTAGCTTATGATTTATCTAAAATTGAAAGCATTAGCAATCTTGTGTTAAGTTTGACAATATTTCTTGTACTACTTGGACAATAACTTTTTTATCTTTATTTATCTATTTACCTGTTGTCATGCACATGTTTATCAGCAAACTGCTAAACTGACCAATACTACTACCATGGTAAGTTTTCTAAATAAATGTTCTTATTTTTGGTTGAATGAAATACAAAATACAACAAACAAATTCGGGAAAATCTTTTAAAAATTACAGAAAGAATTATCATTTTTCTTACTTCATGGTGGGGAAAATCTGTAGAATCATCCTGGGCCATCCACTTTGTAACAAAAGGCATTGGTATAAACAAGAACATACAGATCAAATAAACCATGCCACAAATAACACCAAGTGATTCTGGGCTGAAAAAGTATAAAAAGGCAGCCATTCATAGGTGCAAGGATGGACCATTGGTTGTAGTTGCAAATTACAGATTCAAAGATCTAGGGTTCAAGTCCTCTGTAATTCTAGGCATAAAAATCATGAGGTGTGGTCACATCAAGAGGAAGGACCAGTACACTGACCAATAAACATAGCCTCTCATGGTCTAAATACTTCCTTTTAGGAGGCTAGATATGAAACAACTACAAATGCATCCTTGAAATCAAAATTCCAATATAACACTGAAACTTAATTCAAATTAAATAAATGAAATTTTCTAGGACAGCTTATTGTGAGAAAAAAATAAGCCATCCAGTCTCTTATATGGATAGCAACTGTTTTGCTGCTTATTGTTTTACTTTCTTGTGGCAGTATGCCAAAAATATTTGCTGTGGGGGAATGTAGTAACCTACAAATTACCTACAAATTAAGCCAGGCTGACTTGAAGAGTAGCGACTGTGTAAGAAGAGTGTGACTGTAAACAGAGCTGAATTGAACAGTTTTGCGAATTTGGGTCTATGTTCAAGCGAAGTGACTGTAAGCAAAGTCGACTATATTTCATTTTTTGGACTGAGGGGAGGCAGCAACAAATAATGCAACCTAATTCAAAGTCATTCCGGCTAAAAATTTCATGTCCTGAAATCGTGAAGACTTAATTGTAAGAAGTCATACATTTCTCGCTTGTCTTTCTTTGCCATATCCTTTCCCTTCAAACCAGCTTTCATGAAATACCCCTTTGTTGCTGGAACCAAAATCATTGTCATCACAAAGGCAGATATTGAGTAAACTACGTTGATCAATGCTGGGTAAAAGACGTGCACCGCATTGTTGTTAAATTCAGTTTTGCTCGAATTCATCTCAGCCATGACTAAACTTTCGTTTTGATAAGTTATTAAACACACAATTTATATATCTCTTCTTCGATTTTCTTCTCTAAAAAGCTGTTCTGCAATATGATGCCTTTTAACTGGGCGACAAAAGACTGCTTTCCAGGTTCATCAAAATTTCCCATACGCCATCTTGAGTCTCGCAAAACAGTGATTCGCAAGTCTCGTTTGCTTTGTTTTTCGAACAGAGGCTAATGCGGAAACGGAGTTCAAACACCAAAAATTTTGGCTGTTTTGAGATTTCTTTGCCAGTAATATAAAGGGTTACATAGGCCGAACGCTTGGTCGAAATTTGGGGCTGTTCTGCCGAGCATCGACGATATTGTTTTATCTTTTTCACCCTTTATTTATTCAACGCTAGGGCAATGGTTTTTTCAAACAAACACGACAGAAACTTCCTAACTACAAAATTGTACCTACTAAAAGTATAACATTACATCTATTTAAGGAAAGTTTAGAAGATTTGAAACTTCAATCGTATTTTTTGCGTTACAAAGCGGTAATGACATTTTTGGATATCATAGTATTAGTTGATTATAAACCATTTTCCCGTGTATCGTGTCTCAGTATTGAATATGAATTTCTATCGCCATATGTGCAGCAATATAACACCAGTACTACTAACCAAAACTCTTTGGTAGAAAAACAATCTCTAAGAAATTAAATTTCATTTCATTTTCAAAGCGATCCTGCGTTTAAATCTTTCGTATTGTAAGTGTTATTACGTCGAGGTTATTGATAAGAAATTTTAAACATGAATGGCCTATGATCATATTTTTGGCTAAGCTTACGACTGTTATTAAAGAAAGAAAAATGTAGGTTACCCTGAATACTGCAAGGTCGCCAATGCAAGCCTTACTGGACATATCTTGGAATATCGTAACATAAAAATGCTGGTTTTGCTGGTCACTTTAAAGCGTAATGGATGCAGGTATTTTGAAAAGCAAACGGATATTCTCGCAGGAATCTTAGAGTAGCATATCCTTAAGGAAAAGAAAGAAAAGAAACGAGACATCCAGCCGTGCGGAGAAAAGAGGAAATTTAATTGTTACCGCATTTACTTTAAGCATGATAACACAACTTGTATCGCTAAATTATGTTCTTCATTGTTTGTAAATAATGTTTATCAGCATGCTGTAACACAATTTTGAAAATCATTATACACGGTAAACAAACGTCTGTATCTGCCAGCATCTGCGAATATATACCGAATCAACGAGGAACAAAAACAGAAGAACAACTATTACCACTATAAATGCCTACTAGAAACGTATTTTCTGAAATGGTAAACATTGGGCCGTCATGAAGCCATAGTCCATTCAACTGATCTATCTTGTTACACATTGGTGACAAATTTGAAGATCAAAGGAAGGCTCGGTGCACCATTCTAGCAAGGAAGATTCTGTTTTGAGGAAGCCATTTTTTGATTCTGCTGAAATATGTTTGATGGACAACAGGCTACAGTCGGACGAATACGCCTGACAAGTAAATTATCATCACCAACCTGAATCCAAATAAATACTTATTGGTACGCTGAGGCTGTATGCTCAAACAAGGTGGTGTGTCATGCAAGGTTCACGCACTACAGCGAGTGCCGCGTTCTGGTCAACTAAAGATCATCTGTACAACACCGTTATACTGTACACCAATTACAAATTTCTTGGCATCATTATTGCTGTGAATGGTCGATACTTTTTACACGGCTCAAACCATTGTCAATATGCGATGTGTTATGTAAAAACTGCGAAGATAAAACTACACTACTACAGCATTCTATGTTTGCAAATGAAAAAAGCTTGTTTGCAAGCAAGATTAACAACGTCTATCGTACTGATCAAAATGAAAAGAACAATTACAAAATGTTTACGCCAGAATGAGTAATTGGTTACAAACAACTGTACAACTCCTTCTGCGAAGAGGCTGATTAGGAGTCATCGCTTTGTTGAATATATCTTTCTTCAGTTGATTGGCCTTCATTTTGTTGGTAGACTAGAAAGGGAAACTTGTGTTGAGGAAAACAGGCTAAAGTATTATAAAATTCATTATGAAATTCTTAAATACACGATTTTAGATTTTAGTAATAATTGATTTAATTAAAATTCAGTGTTGGTTATTCTTCCATCAAAATACAATTTTCTATTCTTCATTTTGAATGAAATAACCAAATCTCCCTTCAAAGCAACAATTGTACTCTTCCATTTTAGTAAAATTCAGTGTTTGTCCTTCATAGGTAAATTGGCTGTTTCTCCCTATACATAAAGTTGGTTATTCTTCAATAAAAAAAAATTGGACATTCTTCATTGTGAAAAAAATTGAATATTCTGTGGTCAAAAATTGCTACTCGTCCATTCGAGCAAAATCAGTGTTTGTCCTTCTAAGGTACAATTGGATTTTCTCTATTGTGACTGAAATTGACTGAAGTTTCACTCAAATCAAAAACTGCTACTCTTTCATTTTAGGCAATTAGGCTTTTCTTCCTTGCAAGTAAAATTGGCTTTCTTCCTTGCAAGTAAAATTGGCTATTCTTCCTTGCGAGTAAAATTAGCTTTTCTTCCTTGCAAGTAAAATTGGCTTTTCTTCCTTGCAAGTAAAATTGGCTTTTCTTCCTTGAAAGTAAAATTGGCTATTCTTCCTTGAAAGTAAAATTGGCTTATCTTCCTTGCAAGTAAAATTGGCTATTCTTCCTTGCAAGTAAAATTGGCTTTTCTTCCTTGCAAGTAAAATTGGCTTTTCTTCCTTGAAAGTAAAATTGGCTATTCTTCCTTGCAAGTAAAATTGGCTTTTCTTCCTTGCAAGTAAAATTGGCTTTTCTTCCTTGAAGTAAAATTGGCTTTTCTTCCTTGCAAGTAAAATTGGCTTTTCTTCCTTGAAAGTAAAATTGGCTATTCTTCCTTGAAAGTAAAATTGGCTTTTCTTCCTTGCAAGTAAATTGGCTATTCTCCTTGGAAGTAAAATTGGCTTTTCTTCCTTGCAAGTAAAATTGGCTTTTCTTCCTTGAAAGTAAAATTGGCTATTCTTCCTTGAAAGTAAAATTGGCTATTCTTCCTTGCAAGTAAAATTGGCTATTCTTCCTTGCTTTTCTTCCTTGCAAGTAAAATTGGCTATTCTTCTTTGCAAGTAAAATTGGCTATTTTTTCGTCAATATACAGTTGGCTATTCTTTATTTGCAATGAAATTGAGCATTCTTCGGTAAAACAAAAAAGAAACTGGCTAATAAGACCCTCTTTCAAAAAAGGTGCAGAAGTTCAAACATTAATAGAAAACTTTTCGTGGCAACATTTTGAGAAAATAGACTTTGGTATTAAAAGGTACTATAAAAAAACGAAGAGTTGAGGTTTCCTTGTTACTTACTAGAAACCAGTTACAACAATTGAATTAGATTTAGAAATGATGGTTTATTCACAATGAGGCAATGTAACAAAGAATAAAACAATGAGACTTACGCTTTTCCTTAAGTCCTTTTCCGAAATTTCTTATCACAACAACACAGAGTGCCATTAGTACAATCTGCACCCCCAGACCAATGGCAGCTAAAATTACAATGCGGCTTTATGAGAAAATGCAATGGAACATGCAAAAAATGAATTAAATGTTAACAGGGATATCATTTTTGGTAGAGATAGCTTTGTATGATTGGAGCCAAATGGTGCGAAGCCAGTAATCAGCAACAAAAACCTACAACCAGCATATGATATATCAAAAAAGGTCCTGTAATATTGTCTGAAACAGTCCTGTAATATTGTCCAATACTTTAAGACATTAAGAGCTCAACAAGAAGAGAAGGATGTGAGCGAGCTACAGTAACCAACACCGCTTCAAAAGACAGAAGCTTCAGTACTCAGTCCCACAGTCGGTTTGCCAAAACAGCTTAGATATACTTATCAATTATAAACCGATGCATAACTACGTCTCATATTTAATTCTCCAAAGCTTCAGCACGTGGTACTCCACAATGTTGACGACAAAATACGAAATAAATAACTTATAAAATTGTCAAAAGACCGGGTTGAAGGAGGATTATGAAACTACGAAACTAAATCGCCCTTGTGTTATTCAAAGATTCACCTGCAGCAATGATTGAACCATAAAGGACCTTCTCGTGGTTTTCATCGGCTTTTTCTAGCTGATCCCCAAACTGTAAACAATCGAAAAGCAAAAATGAATAAACACAAAGCCAGTCATTAACATCTTTTGAAGAGAGACACTTTGGTACAATATCAACATTGTCTTCTGCCTTGATATTCGCATTGGCATACCTTGGTTACAAATAAAGGAAACGTCCTGCCTCAAGTATTCGAATGGTAGAGAGAATCTGCGTATATTTGTCAAAGGGGCTGGGTCACTTGTAAGGCTGAGGGACAATGTTGTTGTGTTGATACTTGTAGATGGGGTGAATCCACCACAGCAACTTAAATGACACATTGCTGCATAATACGCAAAGAGAGTCCTTTCCTTTGTTGGAAGCAGCACCAGATTACCTTCCCCCACATTGCCAAGCTAGCCGAACAATATTTGTCTAATCCAGAATCTAATGTTTATTCAGAGCGGTTCTTTCCGGAGGCTGAAAACATCTTCGAAGACAAGCGATCAAAACTTCTTATAAGGGATGGCGAGAATGTTCTTTTTTTGCATCATAACCTTGCACGATTTTGGAAAAAATCCGGCCGGAACCGGATTTTAAAAAAATCAGGGATCCGGCGCCGGATTGTCCGGCCTACCGGATATCCGGTAACCCTATATCTTACACGCAGACTGTCCCGCGCAAAATTGCTCTTTACGGTTACGTGAGCCAGACCCTTTGAAATAACAAACAGTCAAAAAGCACCCTAACAAGATCTTTCTTAGGCAATTTTTCATTCTCTATAAGTTTATAAGGAGCTAAGATATTGAAGATGCAACTAGCACTTGCACGAAAGATGAAAGAATGGTAAATTCAATGAATATTTGGTATCTTACCCTGTCGAAGAGGTAAATGATATACGCTGATTGTGCGACGCAGAAGCCCAAAAAGCAGTAAGTCATGATTGGGTTTTCCAGTCGAGCCTACAAAAAATCAAACCTAAATCAAGAACTGGGGTGGTTGCAAAAGAAGGTTTGTTCGGTGTGGTCCAAAGGATTTCAGATAGCTAGAGTATCTAACTCTACAACCAACATTACTTTGACGGAGAGGGGATGCGATGTCGGCTTTTTAACTAGAAACAATTCAATAAATTAAAACAACACTTGAGCAACAGTGCATCCAAAGAACTTTTGGCAGAGATTATAGATGGAAGGTCGCACGAGACGACTCCGAAAAGCATTGCTTCCATAATGACTAAACATAAATGACATACAGAGCATAATGAAGTCGCTTATAAGACGGTGCAGTTTTCATGGCCAACAGTAGGGCAACCACATCACCTTCTGTGAGACATGATAAAAGACGAAAAAAGTGGATTTCTATGTATTCACTTACACCCAAACGGCCGATGAGAATATTTACGCAGCTAAGTGGAACTCCGATTCCAATGATGATTTTCTCACTCAGTGCCAACTTTGAACCTTCATCTGATATGCACAACAAAACCAACAGAATCAGCTGTCAAAACCAAGAAAAAGAGCTTTAAGTTTTTACAGAACATCAGCTCGAATTTCACACGCAGTTTTAAAGTTTTCGCACTGTGTTTAACTGAATGAATGATTGCTAAGAAGGGGACCTTCCCAAGATGATAAGTTTTTCACATTCCCCGTGCTTGAGTCTTTGCATTTTGAGCACTTTAAACAAAAAAGTTAAGCATAACAGTTGCAAATATGACTTTATCGCTAAAGGTGATGTTCGGGCATTACTTCAAATGCAAAAGTGTTTCTTCGACAATACCAAGGTAGTGTTAGAACGATGCAAACAGTAGCGCTTAGTGTTACAGCAAACCGGGAATAAATTTGTGATCACTTATGACGGTTGATCGCCTTTACCATGCAATACACTGAATTGCATTAAATTACGCTTTGATTTGTTAAACGTAATTACAGTACAGCTCCCCTCAGTACAGCTCCTCTCAGTACAGCTCCCCTCAGTACAGCTTCCCTCAGTACAGCTCCTCTCAGTACAGCTCCCCTCAGTACAGCTCCTCTCAGTACAGCTCCTCTCAGTACAGCTCCTCTCAGTACAGCTCCCCTCAGTACAGCTCCTCTCAGTACAGCTCCTCTCAGTACAGCTCCTCTCAGTACTTTAAAACATCACAAATGATACACTGTATGTCTCGACGATGAGAATTAAACATTTCAGCATTGCTTCGTCTTTCAGCACTGTTTGTTTAGCTCATTTAAGAGGAAATGACGTCAATAGCTTAATAATGCAAATACATACGACCATCTGCAATCCAAAACCCATGAATGCGGTGAAGAAATGATAGAACTTGCATATACCTGAAAAACAATGTATCAAGTCTCTCAACACTGTACACGCATTTGAAATGTGGGACATGGTTAACTTTTCTACATTAAAAATCCAAAGCACCTCAGACCAGGTATGACCCTAAAGTCTCCGTGAAACCTTCGTATACCTTTGTATACTAGGGGCGAAAGGATGCATGAGGCGAAAGAGAAAAAAAGAAGCATGCAAAGAATGAATGGCGTGGGCGAAAGTGGGTTACGCTTAAAGTCAGACACCCAACAAATAAAGAAAGTGGAACAAGAGCATGAAAAGAAGGGGAATAAATGCATATTGTTGTAAAGTATTATACTTGCTATGTCATCTGATTTATATTCACTAACCATGTGACATATGCTTCAATTCAGAATGGTTTTGATAAGTAATTCTGAATTCTTCCGTCTTAAATGATTATCGTAATGTCTGTTCACTTGAATATAAATCGGATATGAATATAAATTGAATATAAAATGTTACACCTACACGAAAAAACAGAAACTCAAAAAAAACAGCTTAAGAGTTAAGGAAAAAGTGGATAAGTTATAAAGGAGAAGGCTGGGAAGAGGTGAAAGAGGAGGGTACCATGGCGCGGAAGAAAGAGTGGTAGGGAGGAAGGAATAGAACAGGTAAATGCAGTGGATGGACGAAGCAAGAGTAAGGAAAAAGGGAAGAGAGCCATGAGAGCAGAGAACAAAAGGCGAGGAAGAAATAAGGAAAATAGTAAAAGCCCATAGGGTGGAGCAAAATAAGAAGGAAATGAGGAAGAAGACAAGCAGAAAAAGCAAACAGGAGGGTCCTTTTTATATGGAGGAGGGCCAGCCCGCCTAGGTGAGATTTCGCTATTAAACACCCGAGATCTGGCGTAGGATGGCTGGAAATTTACCATGTAAACACAATCAATGTATGACCTCAGTTCTTACGCGTGTCACTTGGAAATTTCTTCCCTAGTTCATCTCAAAAACCATATCTTCTATCATATTTTCCCACCACTGTTCAGTTTTCCAAGATGTTACCCAACATCTCCTTTTCTTTCGTAGCAATCTTTGTTTTGCTTTGCAAGTTTCAATTTTTGTAACCGATGGCTTCATTTGCAATAGAAAAAGCTTATTATCTGGTTGAATTGGTTCGTTTGGTGACTTTTCCAATTAGTAAGAAGGCCTTATTGGTGCATTTTCATCGCAGTAAAAATTCTTATCATTTGACAGCACACGAGAAGGCAATGCACTTTATCCGCCATAGTGAAATGATTATGGCGCCAAAATCCACCTTCACTTGCAACCTCCACTTTGTCAGATGCTGCGTGGGAGCGTACTCTACTCTGCCAGCCCTTCTATGAGGGCTTTAAAATTTCCATGTATACGCAAAGTAAAATCCAGCCCTCTTAGGGAGGCTGGCCCCTCCTACATATAAACAGCATCTAACTTAAAAATTTGGTGGCAGGAAAGACGAAAGGAATCAGGAATTGGATAGGAAAAATGGTAAATGAAAATGAAAATGAAAGGATAGAGGCGTAGAAGAAATAGAATGAGAAGGCTCAAACAGAAAAAAGCAGGGCGCCTAAAAAGAGCGGGCGAGGCAGAAAAAGGAAAAGAACGATAAAAAAGACCACAAAAAAAGAATAAAATAGCAAGCGAAAAAATTCACAAAATTTAAACTAGATCTAATGAAAATTCCGTTACGAAATCAGCAAAACCATTGCAACTGTTTTAAGGTAATAGTAAGGAACCAAGCCAAGAAAGGTGGGTAAGTCAACATTAACCCGGATTTGGCAGATGAATTTGGATAAACCATGATTTGGCAAATCAAATAAAATTCAATTTAGTCATATACGCACGCTGCAACTGCATGTTTGCCCCAACAAGTCTAAAGGTAAGATTTCCTGGCCCTTCGAAAAATTTCCAAGCCACCATTCCAGCAAGGGCAATATCAACCGGCCCTAAGGCACAAACAACTATCAGCCGGACCTGAAAAAAGAAAGTTCCGTTTACTTGGTCAAATTACGATAGCAGAAAGTTTACTGTAATATTGAAATCAGCATATCAAAAATAATATCAAGAATACTTGCCTTCTAGATAATCACTAAAAGAGTGAATAACTGATTCTCGCTCAGTGACATAAGAAAACTAGTTAAAGCAAATTTAACTAAAAACTTTTAATTACCATACTAACCTTAAGCAAATTCATCACCAAAAAAGAAAATTTCAGAAGACAACTAGCTACATAATATCTATTTCGCGCCTTGTTTATTAAAACAACCCCTTCTACAGAAAACGAGAAGAAGAAGGGCTAAATTTTTCCAGCAGCACTGAAAGGGATATTCTGCTAAACAAAGTGGCGTGATGGAAATTATTCCCGCTATAAAGCCTAACAATGACTACTTTTGATATATGTTGCATCGGATGAAAACACATACCAGTTTCAACGATGTCCTCCGATCAACATTTGTTACGTAGTCAACTATGCAATAACCCAATACAATAAGGACAGTCACCATTGACACCAGTATCTCAAACGGTCTTTCCATTAGAACACCATGCAAAACATAGTAAAGAATAAACACTGCAATGAAAGAAAGGAGCGATTTTAGGCGTTTGATGTTACAAAATAATGTTCATTTCTATAGCCCACACGCGTTGGTTATGAAATACCATTGTGGAAAAGTCAATACTGTTGAGAAAGTAGAAAATAACACATCATTTTAAGTTCCAGAACACTTACAGAGCAACAGCGACCAAAAGATCATCAAAAAGTTCAATAGAATAACTAGATGTAAAGCTAATGTTTAACCGTGAGTATCAAAGATTAAAAATTGGTACTTTATAACAACCTTTGGACTCTACATATGTCTATTTGTGTTAAACGGCTATTTTCTCAGTTTTCCTGTTGCAGTTCCACGATAGTGAACACGATACAGAACGATTCAGATTGCTAATTACTTAGACGAAACACATTTCAGTTGGATAGAACCAGTTAAGGATTACGACTGGATCTGGACTTCAAGCGTAGTGTTTGCAGCCACTCAAATTTGTCTTTAAAAATCGTAGATTAGTATGCAAGTAAAGCATGTCTTTGATCTTAGCATCAAAAATTATAAATAGTTATGATTGGTAAATGGTATTCAAACTGGGGAAAAACACCAATGAAGACCCTTAGAAAACTCCCAGGGATGACTGCAAATCAGCGGTGTGCACAAAATCCTTCAGATAGACTAGAGATGGGAAATGCACAGGTTGTGCATCCCTTTTGATCGACCAGAAAGGAAATGTCTCCTAGATCAGTTGCTCTAAAACAGGATCTAATAGCTTTCTAAGCAAATTTAGGTACAATTGCTTTTATGGCAATCAATAACACTATGCATCAAAAACTTGGCCAGGTCAAAAACATATTCACAAGTTTCCAAATCACAATCGCATTTTGCATAAAGCAGACCCTTCTCCACACGATTAAAGTCCTTAATCTGCATATCAATCATAACTCAGAAAAAAGCTGGAAAACTTACAAATGTTAATGAAAAGAAGACAAGCAAAGACAAAGTCATTGCTATCTTTCTTTGTCACAGCCAAACGCTCAATGGTCATTCCAATGGATGCCACGCAACTTACTAAACCCAGAGCCATGAAGGCGACTTCAAAAGGCTCCAGCTCTGATGGCTTGCGAAACTAAAAGAACAAAGCAATATTTACAGACTTGTAACGACAGATTTTTGGCTTACATAAACTTCCACCTTGTTTTGATATTTCACTAAATTTATGTGCTATTGCAAAATAACAATAATTACATTGGAATTTAGAAAACAAAGGGAATAATTTGACTTGCTAGTACCTCGTGTACTCTTGAGTTTGTCTAACGATGGAAAATTTTGAGAGTGAAATGAGAATAGGGTCAGAAACAAAAAAGCCTTACTTTGACTCCAAAAACAACCATGTATCGCTCAGCTGGTCTCAGCCTGTCTTCAGCCATTTTCGATTAGTGCTCCCTTTTCCCTAAAACCTAACGTAGATAAACAACCTTTTTAATGTAAGCTGATTCAAAATTCAAGTTAAGAAAACAGAAATAGAGACAAGATAGAGTAAAAGAAACTCCGAAAGCATGCTAGTCCTCAAAGATATCAAAATATAATTTTGGCAAATTTTTTCATGGCACTTTTTGACTTTTATCTCTAAACGGAAATTATTGGCATCAACAAAAACTTGATATCCGGATAATGGCCAGGATAGGTTGTGTCAGTAATTTGAAGCAATAATGTAAGTATCAGGATAGTAATTTGTAAATTAAATCCAATTTTAACCTGACTTTCATTCAGTTCCATTATGCTGCGTTGGTTAATGATGGAAAATTTTATTTCTGTTGGTGATAATTCACACCCTGCCTTAAACACAGCAAATTTGCAAAACTCTCGTCTACAATTTTCTGAACTTGTTCCAAAACATCTGATGTTCTGGGAGAAGCCAGATTGGAACTTTTTTAAATAGACAGCCTTACCATACAATAATTAAAGGTGGGCAAGTCAACATTGCCTTGATTTATCAGTATGTCTGCTTAAAATGACAATTCTGTTCCAAATTTTATCTAAAGCCTAGTTATTGAGTAACGTTTGCAAGGTGCTCAAGGAGAACCTCTTGTAGATTTCTTTTGCACAATTTTAGTTTTTTCAATTAATAATTTATGCTGCATTCTCGAAAACAGGTAAGTGGCTTTTGGAAATTTCAGAGTTGTGGAAGGGCAAGAGCCCTCCTGCAAGATTAAAAATTGTCAGAAAACTAAGAACTTGTATGTAAACTTAAAGTTAGGATTTGGGTTAGTACTGTGAAGAGAAGGTGGAAAATGGATCTTCTGATGATATTTTTGCCATTGCTTCTGATGTATATATTGTTCTGATGATATCATTACTTACTCACATTGAGCTCCAAAATGTGAGTTTTATTCCCTTTGATCACTAAAAATAACCCAAAAACCAAATAATTTACAGTGGAAAACTATTCATTATCATTATTTGATTTCCTTGATGATTATGTCTCAGCAACAGCATCAGGATATTCTCCTAAAGTTACTGACCCTGCTGGTTGGGATGCAGAGGTCATTACAATTGTAAATGACTTAACACAAATGATATCCAAGCCAGTGGCGGACTGGCCCACTAGCATACCAGGACATTTCTCCTGGGACCCTGTCAAAAGATGATTTTGTTTTGGTACATGCAATAGATTTGGCCCTTCATAAAAAGTGCTGTTTCAACATGCCTTAACCCGAAGGAGTTAATCAAGAAAACGTTACTAGATTAATAAGGGCAAGATAAGAAGTACAAGATCATGTACACTTGGTACCAAAGTGTCTACATAATCTAGTCAAACTACATTTTAAGGCATAGAAGGTAAACGACACATGAACAGCGATAAAATGTTAAATAGAAGATGAAACATTGAGTGAAAAAAAGAAGAAAGGAGAAAAGGAGTAGAAGCGACTGTCTGATTAGCCTTAATCTCAGATAGGGAGTGATTGTGGTTGCCAGGTTTCTTGAAAGTTGTAGCGGAAATAGCAGTTGGGAGAAGGGAGAGGCGCAGGGTCCTTCAATTATGTTTAAGGAGGTTTGGATGGTTATTGTGGGAGTGAGTATTGTTGGGCGTGGTGATAGACTTGACTTCAAAAATGTATGGAACTTTTCCGTTTTTTGCAAAATAATAAAAATCTTATCAAAATAAATATTTTCAATTCTACTTTATTGTTGAATTGTTTTCAACTTTTTCGCACTAAAAAGTTTATTCTCACGCATTGCAAGACCTTTCAAATATCAGCATGGGCGTGTCAGAGGGGGCTGCGGAGCTTCAGCCCCCCCCCCCCAATTTTTCACAAAAAGTGTTTTAAACAAAATAAAAAGAATAAAAGAAAATAAACAGAAGAAAAGAAAAGTCTATGAAGCTATATAGAGTAATGAATTCCATTTTAAGACTAGAATTAATCAAACATACTAAAAGCATGCCTTAATGATAGGAAAATGTTTTAAATTATTGCAAGAAAAAAACTGCATGAAATATTCTGAAATGTACTTTAAGCTTATCTAAAGAGTAAATTTGCAAAAAATTTCTGCTCACGTCCCTGCTTGCTTCCCTCTTCCTTCAGTTATATATAGGGCCTCCAACAACTCACCGCTGGCCCTATCTAATGTACCATTAGCATAACGATTGCCCCATAAAATCATAGGCATAAAATATTGTGAAGTTATCTAGTGCGCTTTTCAAATAAGGGTTTTCAAGTCTAATAAAGCTATCAACTCAAACATCCCCCCTCTGCTTTGAATTTCTTGGCACTGCCCCTGGAAATGCCGATTTTTCAGACCCCTAAAGATCAAATTCCCGGTGAGGAATATCATTCCAGTCCACCACTGATCCAAGCCTATTATCTATTGACCTAACACAATTCACTTTGTTCTCATTGTGATAGTTCTGCATAGGGGTTTTCTGCACCTTCTATCTGATTTTCTATAACCCTAATGGATGACTTTTTAATGACCCTTATGCTTCTGTCCCTTTTTATCATCAACCAAATTCTTCAACTTTTTATCATCAACAAGCCATTTTCGTTCAACACAGCAACAATAAGATCTCCAACAACTAAGCAAAGTCTCATTCTTTTCGGTCCATGGGTGAGGTTGTCTCCCAAAACATTTGGAAATCCTCATTTCCTCCCATGAAAATTCAAAATGAATTGTCTTCTAGCACCTCTTCAGCATGGACACCCTTATTGCATCAATCTTTATCTCCAATTCAAATCTTGCTGATCAAGGATTACAGCCTTATTTGTCTGCCTTCTTCTCTATCAATGTACTAATCAAGTTCTCAACTTGCAAGGTTTGGAAAGCTCTTCTGCTAGTTAATTCTTAAATACAAAAGGGCCTGATGTATACCAGCCATCATGCCCAATAATTAGGTCTTATTCTTAACAAAATTTCCAGTTCTCCTATTCACTTTGTATGAAAAGTAACCTAATTGTTTCTTTTTCCTGAAGGGGGGGGAGCCTGACCCCATCAACTACTAAACAATCAACACCATCATCACCAAACAACTACTTACCTTTCTTGACACTACCAAACTTCTTTTGGATCACCAATATAATTTTTGCTAATCCAATATATAATTCTAAGAAGATCTAATTGTGATCCTCTATCCTATGCTACTCGTGTGTTTGGTCCACTGCCCTGGAATCATTTGGTAAGATCAGAGTTATATCTTTTGGCACCTCAAAAGCTTCTGATCACATCTGGACAAAGGTCTAAATGCAATATGTACTGCACCAAACTCTTGTCAATTGAATTTGGTAAGTTTCTCTCTGATACATCCATGGCAATTAGACTAAATAATTACCATTCCAACCCCCAATCAACAAATGCAGGCATTCCACAGGGTTCTTTCAAATCTCCTATTTATTCATCGTTTCCATCAACGGTCTCCTAGAAGTATTCAAATAGTGGTACTAATTGGGATAATTTTAAATTCATTTTCACAACTAGATTTTTTCTGTACCACTCAACTTTAAATGGAAATCTCATAGTTTTTCCATTGCTAAACATTCATCTCCAAGAATCAAGTCATTTCTAGAGCAAGCAAATTTATCTTACTCTAACAATACTTACCAAATCTTCCCCTCGTCTTAATTCCTCCCTCTTTTCTTTTGTTAGGGATTTGCTTTAGGCTCCCAGGCTTTGCCCTACCATAAAAATCTTAAACTATCTATCAATACCACCGAAAATGAAACATAATAGCCTTTCCTAAGATGAAACCGTGAATAAATTTCCACTCAACAATGAACTTTCCCATTGATTAATAATATTCTAGATGCTACATCTAGTAGGCATCTATCTATCGCAAACTTTGGGCACAAATTGAAGATAAGCTTTATTTTTTGAAGTGTTTTAAGCAGAAGGGGATGGATGCATATTTTTCAGAATGCATAAAAAAAGGAGGGGAAATTTCCTGAACAAATCTTTAAGCTCATTCAAGGTTCCTAGTGTGCTGAAAATGTGTTGGCTTAGGTGAGGGGGGGGGGGGATTACTACTACGGTTACTACAGATTTATTTTTGTAGTGGAATTTATTTTTGTAGTGAGAAATATTGTTGTTGTTTAGTAAAGTTTGATGGTGATCACAACCATATTGTTTTGCATCAAGTTATAGACTTCTGTGCTAGTTTCGAAATATTTGAAGTCGTTTAAAAAATGTTGTATTGCCCTTGTGGGCCAGTAGGGGCTCCCTCAATAGGCAAGCCGCTATCTAAAAGAAAGGGGGAAAAACCCGCTATCTAAAAGAAAAATGACTCATCTTGAACCTAGATGCAGTTTGAAACTGGTAATTATGGAACAGCAAGTTTCATCTTTGCAAATCGAGGGCAGTTTGGATAAACTGCGGTTTCCAGGACAAGTGAGTCTGGAGAAGTTGTGTCAAAAATTACAATGAAGTTGACAAGGCCTAAATAACCTATTTAGATCATCTGACATGGCTGGAAACATGTAAGATTTGGCTACACGTAGCTACTAACAGTTTGAGTTTTCATGATTTGAGCTGCATGTACAATCAAATAAGCTTCGAGGATAACAATACGGCCTTTTTAGGTGCGACTGTCACTGTCGAGATCTAGGTAGCGAATTTGGATCCTTAAAATTTCCGATCCATGCACAACACTGCAAAACTATCTCCCAAATCATAGTTAACCCTGATGAATAGGTGAAAAGTATTGAAGCCATACTACATTATCATAATTCAAATACACTTACCGTTACTCGTCAGTCTCTCCCCTCAAATTACCCCCACACCTTCTGCATTTTGCAGATTTTGCGACAGTGCAATCGAGTTCCTCGAAAGTGGAAGTACCTTTGCGCATGCTCACAACTGAATCAACCCGGAAGACTGTCATACAAAATGGATTGAAATAGTGTTCATTTCCTACCAAGAAAAAATCAAGAAGTCGAATTTGTCAGATCACAACCACATGGAACAAAACCATATGATCTAAATCAGTTAGGCTGCGTTCACACTGCAGCGAAAAAGAGAAGCGAAGCGGAGCAAAGCAAAGCGAACAGGAGCGAAGAGAAGCGAGGCCCTACAAGGGGGGTTGACATTATTTCATATTTCATTACGAAATCTTGTCATTATTTCATATTTCAAAATTAACCAATAAAATATTTCAAAATTATCCCATCCTGCTTCCCATCCTGCTTCCAGTTAAGGAATCGGATTTATTAATTCTTTGATACCAACTAAACTGAATTATATGCTTGCTACTTGCTTTATATATGAATAGCTTGGTGGGGTTCTGGAAACACTTAATAGACACTCTTTCTATTTTTGCTTAGAACACTTCCATATACGGTAAAAACCGCGTGTAAGAAACAACTTTTTTCAGAGTTTGACAAAACAGGTTCTTGTATTATGGGGTTACTTGCTGATAGTTAAGGCTAAATAAGTTCTTAGTTAAGTTCTTAATTTCTACAGAGTATATACTGTTTTTGATTATCAGAAAATCTGGTTTGTTCTTCATTCTAAATAATTAGTAGTGTACCAATGATGCCAAAAGCCCAATAATTGATAATTGGTAATAATTGATCACTGATATCATGCCAAATCTTACAAAGATTTGTAAATAAAATAATTATTTTTATACGATTGTAAATACAAATCTTACCTAGTCTTTCATTCATTTGAATGATGTTGTGAATGCTATTTAGAAACATATGCTTTCATCCAAATACCAGTTTTCCGAGAATTGTCTCGGGAGCACAAAACTTTGTTGGCCCTTAGTTTTGTTCGTAAAGGAGCACACCCTACGTTACACAACTAGATAAGGTTTCGGGCATCCCTAGAGTTCAGGTTCATTTTATTTTAAATTCCACAACATACATATCCACGAAATACAAAACAAAAATACAGCAACATCAAATATCAAACAATCATTATAACAACAAGATATGGAACACAAATTATCAGTGGGATATGTATGTATGGGGAATTATTTAAGGGAGGAACTCTCTCAGTAGCAAAGCTAGTCGAGGAGAGAGGCCCCCCTAAACATTAAGACATTTCAGCACTTCAAAGATATCAAAATAAATAATACCGAAAATTAAACTCCGATTTCTGTGAGTGGGAAGTGGAAAACAGGGTGAAAAATTTCAAGGATTAGCTGTTAATGTTTTTTTGCAAGCAGATATGTCTTCAATTTATAACGAAACAAAAACAAACCAATGATACAGATTCTTTGATGTCAATAGGCATACTATTCCACGATGCAGCACCAGAAAAACGGACAGATCTTAAGCCGTATTGAAGGATGTTTTTTTGAGTTAAGAAAATGTCGTTCTTAGAAACCTTTCGAGCATCATGTTGTAAATAGACTTGATTGATTTAAAGTACGAATGAAAGCAGACAGGCGATATCCTATTGATGCATTCATAGACAAAGGATAGAAGTTTAAATTGAAACAAGTCTAGTAATTTTAAGATTTTTAAGTGAAGGAGAACAGAAACTTTGAAAAGCAATAGCTCTGATCACTCTTTTTGGCAATGAGAAAACTGGATGAATGTGAATGTCATAGGCAAAACCCCAAACTACAAGTCCATTTTGGAGAAAAGAAGCGAACAAAGAGTTGTAGAGCCATAATAACACATCAACAGGAACGAAGTGTCATATCTTAAAAAATATGCCACAAGTTCTAGTTAACGTTCTCAAATCCTTTTTCATAAACATCTGTATTTTGGTCTTTTCGTTTTTGATCTTAATCTTAATTCTAATTTTGAATAATAAACTAGCAAGTATCCAGATTTACCAAACCTAATTCTGTTACTTTAGTTCCATTTTACTTTGTTTAATATTCTTATTTTATCTAATCTTATTTTCTTAGCTGTTGCTGTTATGTTACTATTAACATAATTTGTTTCGTTTATATTGCAAATTGTTGTTAAATTGTGTAAAGGGCACTTGGCTCGATAGCTCTTCTGAGTTTTTCCAAGTGTCCTAAGCTTACCTACTTAATATTAAATCGTATTGTCAGTATATTGTAATAAAAAGTTTGAATTATCAATATGAAATGAAATGAAATGAAAACTTTTTAGAAAGTTCACTCAAATGGTATTTCCAGCTAAGATTCTCAACAAGTAGAATACCAACGAACTTAACATATTGAGATTGTTTTATGATTTGTTTTCCGATCTTTATGTTTATATTGTCTGTTAAAGGGCGTTAATGTGACCTGAAAATTATAAAATTAGTTTTATTAATATCTAAAGAAAGCCTGTTAGCATCAAGCCATTGTTTGACATAATCCAGTTCTTTATTGACAACTTTTTAAAGTTCACCAAATTTATCAGCTTCAAAATATATATTAGTGTCGTTAGCAAAGAGATAAGTCATTTATGAAAATAAGGAATAGCAAAGGACCAAAGACAGAGCCTTGTGGTACCCCACAGATGATGATACGTGGATTGGAACTAAAACCATTAACAGAGGCATATTGTTTTCTATCAGTAAGATAGGATCTAAACCAGTTAAAAACTGGGCCACGTATTCCATAGTGTTCAAGTTTTCCCAAAAGAATTTTATGATTGACTGACAAAAGGGATATCGGTCTATAATTAGATGTTGTAGCAGAACAACCTTTCTTGAACAGGGGAATAACATTTGCTAGTTTCATTTTATCAGAGAAAATGGAGAGTATGTGTTTTCATCATTTCTCTTACCGCCAACCACGGGGATGACCTTAAAACTTTGACAGTCTTAATATTTTGGTCCCTTCAATTTCAAACGTTTTGCTTGTCATGAAGGCCATTACTACTCCAAGTTTAGGGTAAGGAATATCGTCTTTCTAGTCATTTCTCGGATTTTGAATATCTAAACAGCTCAATACTTGCTATTATGTGTGGCTTCTGCGATCAAATTAAAAATCCTCACACAGAATTTAATATAACACTCCAATATTTTATTCTGTGAATCAATATTATTTCATATTTCAAAGCTAAGAAACCTAAATATTTATATTTTTTTTCCAAAAATTGCAATTATTTCATATTTCAAATATCGCTTATAGGGCCTCAAAGTTAGAAGCAAAACAGCGTTTTATTAGATTTTTCTTCAGAAATATATAATACTTTCTTATATTCATATAATTTCGAAGTAAATACAATTTTATACGGCATTATCATCACCATCAGTTTTCCATAATCTTTGCAAAATTACACTCACAAAAGGAAGCTACTTGCAATTCACTTGCCTCCCTTCCCCCTCAAATCAATGTTGTGATTGGATTGGTAACCAAAATAGTGATCCTCACTTATTCTGTAACCATCTTAACCAACATTGACCTGGGGGAAGGGGGTTTAGGTCCCCAGTGCGTAGAATATAAAGGTATAGCACGCGAATTTTCGTTCAATTGTCTCAGATGTTTTTTGCCAACATTGTCTGATTTGGTTCTCACAATGTTTCAAGATCGATCAAGGACCGAGATACTGGGGGACTGGGAGAGCTTTGAAAACAAAAGAAGTACAATCAAATACTTTTATTTTCTAAAATATAGCTGTTTTTATACTTACTTATCAGGGCTGTCCCCTCAAATAGAAGTTGTATCTCGGTATTTGAGATCAAATGCAGGATTTTAGAATTTTTAAGGCACGAGGACCTAATATTTCTAACTATTAATCCTCTTTGTCAAATTTAAGGCAATTGCAATCATTTTTTGTTTTGCTTTGAGCTATTAAAACGTCCACCCGACAGTATGCTGAAATTTGAAACAGACCACTGGAGACTGATAGCCTCCACAACTTCTTGTATTCTTTCTATCTTGTGCTGTTCTCAGGGACCACGCACCAGTCTAAAAGTGGAGGAGTTGAAATGGGTGTGCCCGAAAAATTTTTAGCATTATCACCATATGCAAATCAAAATTTAAACCATTATGTGTAAGTTTCTATGTACAGAGAGACACATTTGTTCTAACTGAATATATTTGATGCAACCTTATTGGAATTATTACATAGTTAAATCAAAATTAGGATTGTAGCATAGTTGCTCTGCAAAACTTTGACCAGTGTCACCAATCTTCTCCTTACAGTTCTAGAGCTAATTCTAATATCATGGCCATTTCTTAGCTCATTTGTTACAATCCTGGATGTTATTCTCCTATATTTTAACGACTGCTTAACTATCAGTCTGTCTTCTCTAGGTGGTGTACCCCTTTTCTATATTTACCCTTTCTGTCCTCTACACTTCCTGTTTCTTTATGCTTCTTAACGATTTGCTGCACTGTTAATCGTGCCACTTTTAATTCTAAGGCAATTTTGTTGCAGCTATACCCTTCTTCATGCAGAACTACTGCCCTAATTTGATCTTCTTTGCTCAATCTTGGTTCATGAGGCATGATCTAAAAAGTGATTAAAAAAGCTTTCCGTTTAGTTTAAGTCTTCCATAAGCTTTACCAATAATAAAAAGGTTTAAAATCGAATTAATATATCAAATGAAAGCCTTAGATAACGAATTCAAAGCAGAATTGTAATATTTCTAGTTATCTACTGGCGTGAAGGCAATGATGTAACACCCAGGATCTGGATCTATGGTAAACTATATACCGAACGATAGCACTCCATGTTTCCATTAATATGGAACCATCCATAAGTTCATAGGTTAATGTTTCGAAAAGTTAGATCAAAATTACTTTTCACTTGCCTCCTGACTGTTAGTTGCCCCAATTTGCTCCCCGACTGTTAGTTGTGTTACATGTATGTTTTGATTTTGTTTACTTGCTCCAAAGTACAAGTTATGCAAAACAAAGGTAAATATTTCATCTGGCGCTTTAGATTCCCCTCTAAGGTGCCAAATAAACACAACAGTTACAAAGAGAATGAAACCCTCATTCTCTAACATATCGATAACACATCGTAGGGTTCCCCCAAATATGTTATTGACATATTTTATTTCAGTTTATCTACTTGAATTGGCTTTTAAGAGTGAGTCCATTTCGTACGCGAGTCGGTCCAACTTATCCTGACACCCCCATGAAAAATTATTATATTTGCAACCCTGTGCTCATGTGGGGGTTAGTCCATCCTTGAAAAGGTTAAAAAATAAGAGCATTACCAGCCTGCCAATCTTGTCAGAAAGAAGACAATAATATCAGTTATGAAGGGTACCATTTTCCTACCTGCCTCCCCCCCCCAGGTGAAAAGGGCCAGGCCGCCATTGATAGCCTCTACAAACTCCTTTACCTCTTTCTATATTGTGCTTTTCTTACCTTAGTGATATATATATATATAAGATAATCTTTTTCTCTGTTTTTAGGTCTTCCGCATCTTTTTTTCATAGAAATTGGTATCCAGTCCGTTATCTTCTTTGGCCACAATCTTGTTTCCATTATGGTGATATTGCCTGCCCTTTGCAAGTTTATACAGTTTGATTTTTTTTATTAATTGCATTTCCCCTGTAGTTATTTCATTTCTTTGTAGATGATGCTATATTTCATATGTCCATCTCATCGTCTTTATAAAAAGTATAACAGTTGTAGCGTTTCTGTATGTCCTAGGAAATTGCTTTTTATGCGCCAAGTTGAATATTATTTTTAAGAAGTTGAATTTCAAATATGAGTTTTCAATGTTGTTTTTTAGCGCTTATAATATTTCTATAGCCATGTTGTCTTCATCTGGTGCCTTTTCATTTTATATTTGTTTGAGAGCTCATACCGTTTTACATTCTAAAATCGATGGTTTATTATCCAAAATTGGTGTGTTGAATTTGTGGCCTCTGATCCATTCTGTGAGTATTGTACCTAATAGAACTACTGCGTTTATTCGTTTTCTATCGGTTGCCACAATTCCAGCCGCCCATTTCATTGTGCTATTTTTTCTAATTGAAAGCATAACAGCGCTGTGTCGCGTTACCTCTCTCCCACTACACCGCTGTCTCAATCTCCATCTCAAACTCAAACTCGTTTAAATCAACAACACATTTTGGAGCATTAGGGTAAATAACGAACTTCAAGGTATATTTATATTACGCATCAAGGTAAATACTAAAAAAGCATTGATATCAGGAATATAAAGAAAGTAAATACACGAGGAATGTTGTCTGTGACATTGAGATGAACCAAGGTAGCATTCAAGCCAAGTGGCCTTATTAATTATTATCCATATCCGTGGTCTGTTAAAGTACTATTTGTAAAGGTACTGAATTTGGATTTGTTTCTCCATGGTTAAAAATGAAAAGATCGTAAGACAAAAGTAGGCTGGAAAAATCAAGAGAAAGAAAAATATCGGGGGGGGGGGGTGCACGGCAGAATGTATTTATTGGGGCTGTTTTGAGAAGAAAATGGAAGCTACTGAGGGAGCAATTTACAGTGCTTAGCTATTTTGGAGAAAATTATGTGTCTGAAAGTTCTTGTAATGTTTGCTAACTAACGTTTTGCTTGGTTGTTTCTTTATCTCAATAGGAATTCTGTTCCATGTTTGAATCCCATTAAAGGCATCGTCTTACGACTATTAAACGAAACAGAAAAGAAAAAAAGACAAGAAAATATGGAAAGAAGGGAAAAGAAGCTCGTTTATTGTTTGTCGTGTTCTGTTGTTTCTTGTGCTATTTATAGAGTCATCAAAGTTTAGGATATCACGTTTAAAGAGCAACATTTTGAATCAAAATTCATTATTCTGACTGCCTTTATATTCTGACTGCTGAGTTCTGACTTCTTATCGAGCTTGTTCCTTATTGAGCCATACCCCCAATTTATGTGACGGCAGTAAACATGCGAATTGAGGTTGACATGTTGATACCTCTAAAACACGGAGTCCGGGATCCGGAAACCAGAAACCGGAATCCTAAAATTAGAAAACGAAACACTTGATGATGAAATAACGACAAAACTTTCCGTGTTTGAAATAAGTTTGTATACAAAACGAAACGTGAAGTTCAACGAACATGCGACAACGAACAACAGAGCAACAAAAATAATAACTTGCAAACAATTCAATCGCGAGCTCTCAAAATTCGAAATATGTCACGAGAAACACCCATTTCATTTATATTGAGATTTTTGTTTTCCGGTAAAAAGTTGAAAACTGGTCTGAAACTTTCAGGGCTCCAAGGGGTCTTATACGAGGAGACAATTTGAAGCTACATGGTAATTTTTTCTGAATATTTATATTTTAAGAGAAAACGGGGGGATACTGGCTTATTTTCATACTTTGGTATTCGTTATTTCATGATAATCGAACCAAGTGGTTCATGTTGTCATTTCAGCAGCCAGGGGGCAGCCTCATTCGGATACAGTGTTGTGTTATCGGCGATGTCGAGGCTGTCGTCATAACGATTGCTCACAGATATATTTCATTATCAATATCTTAGACTTCTCACCTAAGAAAAATGGCAAACGAAGCAATTTTAGATAGTATAAATGACTTGGCACCTTTACAATTGTTGATGGAGAAACACAGGAGACAGGCAAGATCGTTAGAAATTTTTTTATCTGAAAATCTTGCGAATATTGATTCTGTTCGGCCAAGAAGGAGCCAAGGATACACATGGAGACGTGGGGAATCCCAAGCATACAAGCAAAAGCTAAGAACTGTTGTGTGCAGTGAAACACTGGACAAAATAATTGAGCTTAAAGTTGTAAGCAGGAATTTGCTGATAGAAATTCGAGCTGAATATGAAAAGTTTATCGGAGCTCTTTCGCAAGGTCATTACCAATTCAACATTATACACGATGAATTAAAAAAGTCAAGAACTGATCCTGTGTCATTAATGTCTCTAGAAAGGCGAAGAAAGGAGCTTGAAAACAGGATTGCGTTGTTGCAGGAAAATAATCTGCGAATCGAAAATCGGATCCAAAAAGCTAAACAGCCAACATCTGCACTTTTCGGTGAAGAAAATTCGACTAAAGTACAAAAAGATGATAATGCAGATGCCACCCTTCTTGTGAGCAACAAACCGAGTTTTAATGAAAAGCTTTGCCACTCAGTCCTCGATATAATGCCGGTTTCTGCTGCCACTGATATTGGAAAGCTTGTTCAATATTCTGTCAAACTTCAAAGTAAGATTCAAAAGCTTAAAGAGAGCCTGAGGCAACAATATGCAAATAAATCAAAGCTAGCACAACTGAAAGGCCAATTGTTAAAAAAGGAAAACATTCAACATCATCTGAATATTTATAATGGACGACTACGGGAACGATATGAGAATCTTCGATCAGCTTCTGAGGTTTGTCAAATGTAAATTGAGTAATTAGAAACTTCTAAACTGCCTGCAGTTTTCCTCACAAGCCTAAATTTTATCCACTTAGTTAGAGATTTAGTTTATTTTACATGGTATCTTATCATTAGAGAACATTGTTTTAAAATGAGTTTCTTAAACTAAAACCAAAGAAGTACATGAGCGAAAACATCATATAAGATACCTTGTGCAGTTGCTACCAACTCTGAACTCTAGTCCACACACAACTTTTTTACCCTGTCTTAAGATTTTTTCTTGATAAGTTCACTATTTTGATAGAAATTTATTTGGGTATACATTCAATTCTTTCAGACATTCCAAAAGACAGAGAAAATTTTTGAAAGGCCTCAAACAATTTCTGGAATAGTCAACAAAGCTCTTCAAGATCACAGAAAAGCTTCTCCTGATCAAGTAGCTTTTCAGAACTATGCTGCAATGGGCATCACTGAAGATGATGATCCTGGAAAGAAACAAGAAGCAGAGAGTCTAATTGAGTATATGGACATGTTCAATGAGATGATGAGTGCAAAGGAATATGATCAGGCAGCAAGGCATGCTGCGAATTCCCCAAAGGGAGTTCTGAGATCATATGAGATCATGAAGATGTTTAAGGATGTTGATACAGATGACTGTTTAGTATCACCATTATTAATTTTTTGTGAAGCACTGATGTCAACAGCTAAAAGTACAGAAAAAATGTCTGGTGGTTTATCTTGTGAAATCATTAAAGGTGCATTAAAATATCGAAACCTTGGACTGGCATCTTATTGGATTAGTAAAAAATGCCTCACTCACTCACTACCATTAGGAAACCAGCTGTTGGACTATTGCAAATGTGAAGGAACATGCAAATGTGGGAGCCTTGATCTAGCAAAAGAAGTCTTTGAAAGCATGGGTGCACACAGACAAGCATCCCTATGTTTATTATCAACTGGGAAGATCCACCAATTAATTCAGTATGGAGAGGATCACAGCTTTAGCATTAATGACTATGTGTATCTTTGCAGGAAATTTCCATCAACAAAGCTGCTTTTATTTTTGATGTCAGCTCATATTGAAGATCAAATACCTGGTCTAATTTCCTTTCCAACTGCCATTAACATTTTACTGAGTACCAAAAACAGAACAGTATTGGCTGAGGTTTTACAAGCTGTATACAGTGATGGTCTGCTTGAAATCAGTGGAAAAAGAAAAACTTTGACAGATGCTATATTTGCTGAAACAATGAGAGATGATATGAGCAAATCCAAATGGAATCAAGTTGTGGAGTTTTGTACAGAAAATTCAATGGAAGAGATTGCCTTAGAACTGATGTCAATTGTTGCTGTTAGAGAGGCAATAGACATTGCTACTTACAAATGTTTAACCGACTACATCTCATGATTCATCCATTATCATCAAATTTTAGAAATATCAAAACACTAATTCACAACCATAGACTTTACAGCAGTTCCCCTATGTACAGAAGTATTGACTTGTTTCTAAATTTCATATTTTTGAAATTTACTACTTATTCCAAATGATCCCCAGGTTTTAAATGTTCTTTTCAAGGGAGTTCTTTTTACACTGTCAGTTTCCTTTTTACTATCATCATCTTTCTTCATATTTTCCTTCAAAGAACTCAATCCAGTTTCTACTTCTTTTAAAGAGTTATGGGACTTTGATGGCTCACCCTCAGCTGTGCCTTGTGAAGCTGCAATAAAGTTAAAAAACAAAATTAGAATGCAAAAATAACATTTAACTTTTTTTAAATTCATGTAAGCTTCACAAAACAAAAAGTTTGCCTTTGTTGGTAACTGACATTTTGTAGCAAAAACCCATGACACATTTTTATGTGCATATCAAAGCATTGTTGTTTGTGTTAAATTTGTTAGATTGTAAATTCAGTTTGTTCTGTCTACTGTTATGTGATTATACTGCCCTTTTGTTCGCTGTCAAAAGATTGCAGTATTTTGTTTTCTTGTTCCTTATTCACTGTTTGTTGTCCATTGGTACCCGTCAATCTTGGCTGGCAGTTTAACCCAAAGTAAGTCGTTTGTTTTCAGTTTTTTGTTCAAACTTTTTTGTATTAACTTGCCATGTTGCTGCCTTGATTTGTGTATATTCCTTGGTCATTGCCCTTTTTAACTTTAATGAAAGCATATGATCAAGCTTTTTTATTGTTTGTTGTAGTTTGAGCCATGCTCTCTTCATAAATAAAATATGTAGTTCCCATTGAAACTAATGTTACTTAGAATCTCAGATGTCTTTAAACTGAAACTATCTGTTTATGAATCAATTTATAAGCTAACTCCGATACATTTTCATAACTTTTTTCTCTCTAGTGCATCTATTCATTGTCAGGGCACAAGGCAATCAACATGCGGTGATATTTTCATGACTAGGACAAATTCTTTACATTATAGCTTGAAATCAACTTGATATATGAAGATAAAATTATAGGACAATCTACCAGTTGAAATAAAAACTACATCTTTCATTCAAAAATGTTTATTCAAAAAATGATTGAAAATTATCTCCTGGAACCTATTTGAAAGTCAGTGACCTTTGCAAAATTTCTTGTATTCCATAGAGTAATTTAATTCAATGAGAAACTGTAAAACATTATTGTATAGTTAACCTACTTTGAAGGCTCCTGAAGAATTCTGCTTCAATTTGTGTTTTTAAAAATGCTATTATTGCTGTTATGTTCTTTAGTTGATGTTTTCATAATTTATGTAACTAGTGTCTCTTGCAGTGTAGTAGTAGAATTTGATTAAAATCAATGAAATCAAAATGAAAATGTTTGCACCAAGCAACCCATGTGACCTATGCAGACAGATTTAATGATGTCATCCCCAGAGGTTACAGGAAATACAAAATAAATGAAAGGTAGCAAAATCAGGTTTTTTACTTCTAGATTTTTATATGCATCCTACCAGCCATGTTGCTATGTGACTAACAACTAATAAATTAAAAAAAAGTTTTGTTTATATAAAGTATCACATATATGCAGGCCTTGAGAAAAATGTTCTGACAATGCCACACAATCTATCTAGCAAATTAAAAGAATATCAAATATATTAAACCTGAGCTTTCTGTTTCCATGATCATTAGCTGTGTTTTGGGTTTCAAAGCCCAGTGAAGTGTTTTTCTTGTAGCATCATTTAGTTTTAGCCATCTCTTAAAAGGAATTGCTAAACCACTTCTTCTCCAGTGGTCATATTTTCTTCTTGATTCCTCATTTGACAAAATCTCATATGCCCATCGCAGACTAGCAAGTTGAAATGAATAAGAAAAATAATTTTACCAACATAAGTTTCAAAACTGGCTACATAAAAATAGACAAATATGTTAAATATTTTAACTGAAATGTGAATGTGTGATCAAATATATATATTAATTTCTTTGATCAAAATTAGCAAAAGTACAGAAATTTCATTCTTCCAAAACTTAGGAAAAAACCTCAATTATCAAATGATGAGGACAATTTCAGGGACAAGCTTCATTTCGGTATAAATTCAAAAATATGCTATTTTCCCAACAAAATGTCAATTTATGTTGTGTCATTAAATTTAAGAACTAGATAAAGGCTATATTTTTGAAATCTTTTCTACTGTGATTATGGTTTCCCAGAATAAACCCATTATACTATTAGCTTTGATAGATACTTTGTTGACTTGGTTTGTTGTGTTAAGATTCTAGCTAACCAAGTGCCTATGAGCATGTTGTCTTCTACTTTTTCAAATATACTGGCTCAAGCATCATTCAAGTGAATTCATGCACAAAGTTAGAGTCAGTGCCAGTCCCCAGGGGTCACACTGGTATATTTAGGATACTGGGGTGCTCAGTTTTTTAAATGAAAGTTAAGTCCAAAGAAGCAATTTTTATGATAAAAACACCCAAAAAAAGATTTTTCTGTAGCTTCCACACCCGGTTTTCTATTTATCTTGTTTGGATTCACAACTAAAGAAGTAATTTTGGCATAAAAAAACAACACCAAAAACTTTGTTAAATGTAACATAAATACCTAGTTAATCTTTTATAGTTTCACAGCTCTTGTCCTTTTTTCAATATTTTCTAGCATTTGAAACCCATACCATTTAATATTCTTGAATTTCATGAACCAAAATGAGTAGATTTTGAGTAACTGGCCTTCCCTAAATAGGACTGTTTACCCAAATTCAAAATCCAAAAAAGTACCCTGAATATCCCTTCACCATAGTAGCCCCCCTCCTGGCCAGTCTGGATTTCATGGCAGTTTTCGAAGAGATCCTGGGATAAGTGTGGACATTTGAGTGTGCATCAAATTTCTCAGTGATTTTTGAGTGTGTGTATATTTTGTCCAGCACTTTTCCTGTTTACATTAATTTTACATCTCAGAGAAATTAATGCACCTACCACTACCATCAGTGGCAATTATCCAAATTCCTAAAAGTTTATCAGGTAAAGAGATTCATAAAAAATGCTTAAAAAGGTCAAAAACAAGATCATCCTAAGAACTATAGTATGATCTTAAGCAGGGCCACTGAAAGGGGGACAAGGGGGGGGGGGGGTTGCGCACAAATTTAGAAAGACATTTAGCCATGTTTGAAAAAAAACCTTTTCGTTTGAGCCACATCCAAAAATACACTCAAACAACGCCCATCTTTCGTACGTGCAAGAGTGTATTGGTTGCTCCACAAAAATTTCTCGGGAGTGCAGCTGCCATGGAATCCATACTGGCGGGTGTCAGTTTCTGAAATGAAGCACCTTGGGGTTGTCTTACACATTCCCACACCCCAAGTAGTTTAACTGTTCCTTCCAAAGTAGAGCTTCGTGATCTGAAGTATCAAATACTGTTGCAATGAATCTACCTTTGCCTAAAATAATAAAACAATTATTGGTAAACTGCGACAAGTATTTACAGGTTGAACTCTTCTTTTACTTGCGTATCATCGTTGTCTTCACTCTTGTTTAATTTGTCTGGATGCATTTTCTTCGCTCTACATTTGAATTCCGCTTTTATTTGATCCATAGTTGATGTTTCACACGCACCAAGCACCGCATATAAATCTTTATCAGTGATTTTTTCGTCTAGCAAAGAAAAATCCATCATGGAATCAAAACAGATCATTTGACTTTAAAGAGAGGCTCTATTTATGGGCTACATAGTAATTCCTTGATGTCGCCCACCCAGTTGACGTTGAGTTCCCATTGACGGTGGAAAAAAGAAGGTTACTTTTTCTAATTTGAGCTAGTATTTATGACCATATTTTCCAGGCACCCTTGCTTTTTTTGTGGCAAAAAAAGCTGATGTCAAAGAAGACAAAGATCCTGCAAAGATCTTTGCTTATTTATTTCAACACATAATCCCGCATAATCTGTTAAAAATGCTCCCGTTATTTATAGTAAAGATAGTAAGGGGCCTGATCGGGTAAAAATGATAAGCTGATGGTCACGGATCAGGGCCCTTGCCCCTGGGGGGCCGGGTTGGCCATGGCCCACCCCCCAGTTTTTTGCGAAGCAAGTAGTTTTAAAACTGCAATAAAAGAGGTAAGAAGCCTTGGCCCCTACATTATTAGCTTTGGCCCCCCACTTTAAAATTCGTGGCGCGGGCCCTATGGATGCAATTCAAATTTAAAATTTTAACAGGTGCAGCCCCGGGGTGTGGTGGTATGGGGCTGGGGAATGGCTTTGCCGATAACGTTAATCCCAAATCTAGCAAATTTTTGAAATTTTTCAGAACATTTTGCGCTATCCCCCCTCCCTCCCTTGATATTGCATCGCACCCCCGCTGCAGTCTCTTTGCGATTTTGCTACCTTAACTTTTATTCTACTGCGCTTAATTGTTTAGGGGGGGGGGGGTCAAATTGCATATTTTGAAATTGTTCTCCCTCAATAGCATTTTATAATGAGGCCCCAGATCAAGAAAATTATGAAAAAGGCCTCCGCCCATTCAATTATCACCCTCCCTCCCAGTGATTCGAGCTTCAAAAATGACAATTAACCAGGAAAAAGATGCAATGGTAAACTGATAAACACAGTAACTTTAATATCAACTATAAAATGCATTGTACCTTTTTAGAATTTCCACCGGATCATTTTATTTTGACCTCGCACCTCATCATTTTACGAAGTTAATGAAAAATAACCATCACCTCCTGCATTTTCCTGCATCCTGCGGAGGAGACAAACTTCGAACTTTCTCGGCATTAAATGTGTAGCTTCACAAGAACAGAATCCAAAACACAGTCCAAAATTAGCAATGGCGAGCGCTGCAGTCGTTGGGAGTTCTGGTTCAGAAACACAGACAATCGAACCACCGCTTTCACAAGAACAGGTATAAGCCAATAACTTTTCTCAGGACAAAGTTATTTATTATTAGAATGAAATAACAGAACAAGATGAAGTCTCTTTCCTTCATCCTGTGATGCAATAGGTAAACACGTACAGTAATGGCCTAGGTACCTACCGATTGCCACAGGTAACCCATTACACGAAGCACGCAGAATTAATATGGTGGCGCTGCTGTGAATATTTTTCTGTAACCTAGAGTTGGTATAAAACAATTATTATTCAAGATAAGTTTGTACCTAAATAAGTTTCGTAGCTGTGGACTAAATGTCGCAAATTTTGGCCAGAAGTTTGAAAAGGAAATTTTCTCCGTTCTGGATTTTTTCCTTTTAATTAGATACAATATAACCTAATATTTGTGGAATTGGAAAGTGAGAGTGAGTAGTGTGGATCCAGAAATTTGACACTGTGACTTTTTTGTCGTCATCCAACTTTTTTTGCTAAAAATAAGGGAGTATTTTACTACAAAAGTAAAACTTTTATAGCATGCTTAAATTTGACAATACCTCATTATTAATTATATGCACATTTCTTGTGTCTGTTGATATACAGTATATAATATGCACCCTGTCTGAATGGGATCAGATCCAAAAGTATCTGCAATTACACTGAAATTGTTTTTGAACCCAAATCATGCAAGATTACATGTCTGTCTATGCAGGGGCCCACACCACAAATTTAAAGGTGGAGTTGCCAAGTTCTATAAATCGAACTTGAATTTAGTGCTTCAAAACAGGGCCTCTTTGTAAGTATTAGATCACTCCAATTAGTCTACTTACTCATGCCACGTAATGCATCACAGCTTAAAGGACAAGTGACATGCTTTTCGCACCAAATTTTTTTCTTCTTTTAACTAAAAGTAAAATGCTGTATGAGAGTGTTGTTTAAATATTTTTCCTTTCTGATTTCATTTTCCTACTTAAAAACCCTTTTCAAATTATGGTGGGAAATGAATCATGTGACACTGTGACATAGATTGTGATAATTTGTTATTGCTGCTACTGGTATACAGTGCAATACTAATGTTTACAACACGGTTCTAAACAAATTCAGAGTTAGTGATCGGGTCATTCTTTTGCAAATTGTTTTCGACATTAAGTTATCAATGACAGGAAAATTCCGAGTTATCACAATGTATGTCATTGGGTCACGTGATAACAAGCAAAATCGCGTCCCCTGCACCCCCTGATTAGAATTTTTTGTTCTAAACCAGGAAAAACTTACTTCTAAAAGATGATCTATAAGTTAATGAAAAGAAAAGATAGGGTAAAAAGTGTGTCACTTGTCCTTTAAACTCTAAGTTGATCGTTTAGACAGTTACGAAGAGCCCTATACCCAACTGGAAGAGCCCTATAGCCAGTTACGACATTTGTCTTTAGCAAACAAGAACATAAACTTTTATTGCTTTACCAATTTAGGCACTGGTTTTGCATTTGCAAAAGCCAAAAAATGACAAAAAGGTTCAGTGGAAACAAGGAACAGTTGATAATGAGAATGCTGGCAAAAAATCATCAAAATGTGAGTTCATTTCAGCTGTTGATTAAGAAGAATTCTGATTCAAGGTGGATTGAATTATAATTTAAAAACTTCAATTCCTTTTCTTGATACAAAATCTTGGTAAGCCACTCGCCAGAGTGCATTTTTGTTCTTGAAAAGCTGGTATATTTTTGGATCCCAAATTCTAGATATTTCCAAAGAGAAGATTTGATTTGTAAACAAAGCTGAAAACAGCAAGAGTCCTGCAAAATCAACCAGAAAAAAACAGTGTGTAAGATATGGAAAAATATTTTGTGGGCCTTTTATTTATGATAAAATATATCTTATAAGTTGACGTTTTTGTAACCAAAGCTAAGCGACTCAAAAGGCAGCCTGCATGAAATCTAGTGATGGTTTAAGGGAGCCGGGGTCCCTGAAACTTTGGTAGCTGAAATAGGCCCCAAACCAAAGAACAAAATTAAAAGATTGTAAAGAACAAGGGCCCCACAGATTGTTTTGACCCCCAAGCCCCACAGATGTTTTTGACTCCAGGCCCAAGAGTCCCTAAAACCACTGCTGATGAAGTCAAAGCAACACAATTTTATTTATATTATATATTAATATTAAAATTTATTTTTATCAAAACATAAAGCATTTTAAGATGTCAACATTTAACTTAGATTGTTCACTTTAGGTAACCTTTCAAACAACCTACTTCCATTATTTAATTTTTTGAAACTCTTTGCACACCTGTCAAACTTCACTTCATTTTAGGCTGTTGTATTTATGAAAGACCAAAAGTTTTTGGTGAATCATCTTCAGAATCTGAGGGGTCAGACAATGAAGATAAATGCAAAGGCCCCAAAGATTATCATAAAAAATCAAAGAGTTATGGACATAATCATGAAGATTGCAACTGTGGGTAACTCAAATTAACATATGTACATTTTGGTATTTGTAAATACAATACATGATTTTGAATATAATTCTGCAATGTATATAACTTTATTTATAAAAAATTAACTTCCAAACGATGGACAATCATCTTTCTTTGAAATCTGGTTGTGTTCTTTTAGCTGAGAAAGTAAGGATGTGATGAATAGATAAAATGTATGCATCAAATTGAGCATTTTTGATGGCCAATCTGTGATAAGTGCAGAAACAGGTTGCATGTTGCCTCAGGGCCATGTAGTCTAGGGTGTCACAGTAATGAGTTCAATTTTGATATGTTTGTCAAGAAAAACATTTACCAACATACCTGTCAAGCTACTGAGTTGTCCTGCCCTAGGATTTTGCATATTAAACCATAAGTTTGTATATAACATGGCAACCATAAGAAACTTTTAATTTTTGCCACCATTTTTCATTTTTTTCAATAAAATGAATACAGAATGAAAGTGCAATTACCAAAAACAATTGACTCTGTATAAACACTGCTTAATGAAAAACAGTACAGTTTCACAAGAATCAGTGAAGGAACCACCCATGAAAACTTCAATCTATGTAGAATTTTTTTTCAAAATAGCAATTCCAAACGCCTTTCAGCTACAAATTTCAACATTTTGCTGGTTAGCCAGCACACTCTGGTGAATTTGAATGTGGCATGTTTGAAAATATCCTTATTGTTTAAAACAAACATATTAAAAGCACATTGCATGTGGAAAAACATAAGATTTTTAGCTTCCACTGTACAATGACTCCAAGTCAGACGATCGCACGACCAAATCGCAGACACGATAGAATATCTATCCCGTGTCTCAGAAGTGGAAATCAATCCCGCGAGGGGCCGAACATACGGGTTGTGCCACCAAATTTGACAAAGTGGAGACCAGCCTTTTGGCTCTCTACAATCCTGTCAACTCTCGATTTTTATTGAAACTATTGAATATACATCTTTAAATTGTTTCTGAAAAGCATCAAACAGCTTGCCGGGTTGGCATCATTACATCCGTAGTGCATAATACAGTAGCAATTTTTTATTGTCTTTTTATTGTCATCGTCTAGAATATTTTCTTTAGGCTTAACAAATGAAAGTTTCTCGGAAATGGACCAAAGATAAAGCTCCTGTCTAGACCTGTTCCGAGATTACACTGGTTCCAAAAAACGGTCAAGCTACTATCCGCTACTATTAAGAGCTATATTTCCCCGTAAATCTTGAATTTTTTGATCTAAAATTTCAATTGCAACAATTGCTGCATTTCTCCCTGACTTACTACAGTTCTTCTGTTTACATTATGAATTGAACCCCCACAAGATTCTGACAGAGTTCTCAGCTTCCTAATTCATCTTTTATCCCAGAGTATCCGAAGAATTCAAAATCGAGGTAATCAGCAGCCACTCTAAGTGACAGTTTGGAGTATGCTTTCTATGCGAAAAACCGGTGACTAAAAAGCATATTCGATAACGATACAAAATCAAACAAAATGAAATACGGATGCAAGTGAGGTTTCGTATTGCAGGCACCGCGGAGCAGGGGGGCTGTAGAGGGCTCGGGGGGGGGCTTTAGCCAAATATTAAGTAATAAACTACCAGTTAAGCCTCTTTTTATATGGTTTTAGGCCCCCCACTTTTTCTAGACCCCCCCCACTTTTCTCAACGCTCCGCGGTGCCTGCTTTGAGGGACTAGACTTTCTTTTTCGGAAAAATTCGTAAAAATTAGAATTGAAGTTGCAAGAAGGGGATCAAAGGCCATGCTGAACTTCAAGCAATATTTGTGGACCAATAGAGTTGTTAAGTGATGCAGAATTCTATTTGGCCATAGCTCACCCGATTTTTGACAAATTAAACTGATTTTGCGTATATGGGAGTATTTTATGGTTTTATGGAGTATTTTATTTCATGTGGTCAAAATTCGAAAATTCTCAAAATAGTTTTTTGTTATGTCACACTTGAAAACTCTATAACACACAGGGCTATAACGGGGTAAAGCACCCCGAAACCGGTCAAAATTTTGGCTAGATTCGCGCCTGATTAATTACTTAAAAACCAATAACTGTGCAATGGAAAAGCCACAGCAAAGAAACAAACATTCGGGGTTATGCTCGAACCCATCACCAGCCGTTTTGGTGAATGTTTTGCATTAAACGGCCAATTTAACTGCGATGCCCTTGCCCCAAAGTCCAGTTTGATCCACTTTTGCAACTTTCAAGTTCCCTAAATTTTTGTTCAAATCTCCAATGTTTCCCTTAAAAATAAAAAAAATTCTAAGTTCGGGCACTTTCACGGTTGTCGGGTCTGGGTACAGTAATGCTGCGTGAAACCAAATCTTAAATGATCACATTCAACCACATTTAGATGACGGTCTACGCTTCACCTCCTGACCTTACCGCTATTTTGCTGCCACATCTAGCAGCAGAATTTAAGCCCTTATATTATAACAATATGCTATTTCAAGCACCGCGCACCATTCCAAAAGTGGGTTGGTTGTAAAGGGTGTGACCGAGAATTTTTGAGGTCCGGAAACGCCCCTTCTAGAAAATACTTGCTTCTTTTCACACATTTTCTTATAAACAGTCCGATTCAGAGAATATATCAGCTACTATAAAAATATAAGACACCATGAAAATGAACAAAAAAGGGTTCCCAGCCAAGACGAACTGCTACTTCTAAAGAACCGTTAGAGTAAACTTCCGAAAGTTGCGTTAAAAAAAATTCTAAAAATTCAATAATCTATTACTGCAAAAACGTAGGGGGGGGGGGCTATAGCCCTTGCTAGCCCAATGACTGCGCGGTGCCTGTGCTATTTTACGAGGTTTTAAAACCTCAAGAAAACAGGTGTCGAGCCTACAAACACTTTTATTTAATAACAGCAAGAATATTATGCCTAAACATGTTTCAAAAACATAAAATCGACGTCCTATATAAAGAAATTGTGGATAACAGTGTTGTTAGGGCATTGCTAAAAAGAAGTGTTTATTATGTCATTTCAAGTGTGTTGAGGTTACCCGAACTGTTGGGTCAACAATTTCGCCATGGAACAAGATTGTCGCGCTTGGGCGGTGGATAATGGTAAATATAAATGGGTGATTGGCGATGAAATTGACTTCATCCGGATTGATGCTGCGAAAGCCCGCGGTAATTCCCGTGGCTGCTGCTGCTTCAGTACCTTCTTCATTCACTTCAACAAATGCTTTGTGTATGGCGTGGGTAACGAAAAAGCCTTTGAACCCTGTTATACCTCTTAGATCGGCGTTTATTGGGTCAAACACGTCTCGGGCCCCCATCAAGCTTAAATAATCCTTTAAATGAATATCACTCTCAATTTTGAATTTCGGAAGCCACAACGTTACCGTCTTGTTGCTTAGTTTGGCGAGATACCTCTTCAGCATCTTGTCTGTAAAACTGCTCTCCAGCTTTTTTATGCCGTACTTATCTTGAGGCAACACAATAACCATCGATATGTTCGCATCATTGTATGGAAGCTCCACCACTTGGTTTTCAGCATCTTCTGTGTACATCAATTTGGTTTCCGTCTGCATCATGTCAACATCTACCACTTTGCCTCTTGACACGGAAAAACGTTTCTTGGCTGTCTGCAATTGGTCAAAGCGATACTTCCAGTTGCTCTTGAAATAAATTGCATTAGTTAACACTAATCTTGTCATTGGTGTGATTGAACCACTTTCCATCAATTCTTTGATCTTACCATCCGTTCTTTGAGAAACCCAGCTATTGATTTCCTCTCTGGCAATTTCTGGCGTGCCCATAAAATTGACCGCTCTGATATCAGAAAAATAGCTCCTTTGCAAAATTTTTGCGTACTGTTTACAAACTGAAAAACAGAAGTATTTCTGAACCCAAAGGCTATTTGCTAATTTGACATCACTAGAGTACTTGTCAAAGGCGGACGTCAGGAACTTTCGTATTTTGTCATCAGGCTTGATATCGTCATTTGGATGGGCAATGACACCCCAGTTCAAGACATTGTGCAGTTGGTATGCCGTCTCTCCTCGTGCCCCAACATTAAGCATTGCAAAGGCTGTAAAAATGCTGAGAGGTGAAAACAATGTGTTTGTTTCTCCACCAGAAATGCGAGTTTTCGTTCGATGTAGGTTAACGCCGAATGTGTTTGAAGCTTGAGATATTTCCTTTAAAATATTCGGTAGATCTCTGTGCCCATGAGTAAAAGAGATAAAAAAGAAAACTAGAAGCAATAATTTTCTTGAAACAGCCATCTTCGAATCGGTGCTACCTTCACTTCACTAAGAAGTCCTTACGACTTGCTGTTTATGTTTTTACATAGCTCTTTTAAACTGCTTTGCGAACAGCGTCACTGTGCATGTCATGCTGAGACTATTCTGCGTCAAAACCAAGGAGTCGAGAACTGAATGTATTAAGCGGAATAGAATCTGGAGTCAGGAAACGAGGACCATGATCACCGAGGGGCAGTTCACTGTTGCAAATAGCGTACGAGATTTTCCCAAAAACAAAAGTATTTCCAGGGATCTTCAGATAAAACAATTGGATTTCCACCAATGGTGTACGAGATTTTCATCAAGTGATTTGCCCCTCGATGATCACGAAATTAAGAAATAGAGTGTTTTGCATTTATGGGAGATGTACGCTCTTTAATCTTAATAAGAACACACTTCTATAAAACTACGGAGGCTCGATTTGCAACTATAACAATAAAATTGTAAGAAAATGTCCAGCATCGATTAAAAGTTAGATAATAAAGGCAATGTGATTTGGAAAATGTCCCTCCTGTCAGCAAACAGAATAGATTTTATGAGTTAACCACCCAAAAATTTCATGCAAAACTGCTATCTAATGATCTTAATAACTACATATGTGGTTATTAAGAAAGGCCATGTTTAAGGTGGGGGGGGGGGGGGGGAGGGATAGATTCAAAACCAAAGTTCTTCAGTACAACTTAAAAATTAGTATGCAAAATTATGGGTCAAAAAAGATGTTTATACTTAGATATGAGACCTAGTATTTTTTAGAAACAATTTTTGGTTGTTATGGCAGCTTGAATTCAACGACAAGAAAAAATATTTTCTTAGGAGCAATGGAGATAAATGGCAATTGAAAATTAGCATGATATTTTTTGTTAGTTTGTCCAAAATTCTGCAAAGAAACATATGAAAGTTCAATAAATATGCTGATTGATACGAATGGGTCACAAATATTGAATGCTTAAAGAAATACAACATTAAGACCGCCCTAGTCCCAAATTATCTGGTTTCTTAGCTGAAAAATGTAATGCACAATCCAAATAAATTTTTTTTGCTCGACACCATTCACTTGTGAGTGAAAATTATGAATTCAAAACAATTTCATCTTAACTTTTTTGAAAGATATCACTATGATATGACTAAGTAGAAAAAGAGGCGAATAGATGGGTGAAAAGATCGGGGCATGGCATTTTAGAGCCTCGTTTGAGATTGGTTGGAATAGCAGTAAGATTATACCAAGAACAACTAAATGAAAATGGACAATTTTCCTCACTCGTTCGTTTTGCTAAGTTCTTTGTACCTTAGCTGATATTTCGTGCATCAATGTTAGACAAGGAAATAACCGTAACCAACTAACCACAGGTGTTGTTAAGGTTCTCTAATCTGTTTCATGATGCCAGAATGCCAGAGAATTCAAATCTGCTAGGTACCATTTCCAATTTTACTTCCTGTTACGTGACAAGGCAAAATTTCATCTTACGGTCAGAAAAAATTAAAAGTCATTTTTTTATAAATCTGAGGCAACCATTGGAAAAAGCATCAGAAGAGATCTATAAAACACTAACCCTGTGACGTTTATATTTCAAGAGATATGGACCGTTAAACTCTCGATGATGACGTCACAAAATATCTAACTTTGCCCAGTTCCTAATGCGTAAGCTAAAATTTTTTGCTAAAAATTGAAATACATTTGTCAATACTCAAATTCACAAAAGAATCATCTGTTTGTTGTGTCATCAAAAGAAGCAAGCCAGGCCCAGGCACTATCTTGGTCAGATACGGATGTATTTGACCAGACGGAAATGGAGGGGAGTACCACTTTGAGAAAATACCATGTTGTGTATTATCATTACTCATGGCAATGAATGCGTCACTCCTCCGATTGGAGAGAAATATCAGAACATGATGTTACTCTTTTAGGATATCACAAATCACCCAACCCAACGAATTTCTAAGGTGGTTTCCGCTAAAGGAAGTCTTTGTGAAACTTTATATTGTGAAGTTCTTTTCTCAAGTTTATGATCTTATTTTACGTGCATAAAACACGGACCAAGTATGTGTTATAATTCAGTGGTTATTATCTGCCCGTGTTTCGACCCGCAATTGTGTATATATAATCCCTAGCTTAGAATTTTTCATCATTTTTCTGACCTTTTTGACTCTTCAGACGAAAATCTTAGAATGTTTGCTTTTTTCAAAACTAGTTTTAAATTTTGTACCGCCAAAAATGTTTTACAATTATACCTTTCATTTCTCTTATTTCATGAATGGGACAATCATTTTAAAATGACTTAATGGCAACCAAATGCATCGAGGGATCTGATGATATTTCAATGTAGGTAAAGCCCTCTTTCCTCCTTGCTTACCTTCCACCTCTTTTTGTCAATACTGTAATGAGGTCTGGGCAGTACAGTGCAAGTAACACAGTGCACTCAATGTTAGAATCTGGGTATATATTTTCCATCGTGTTCTTTCGGAACCTTATTCTGACGTTTTATGCTCTGAGGAGTGTCAGACGAAAAAGCTTTTAGTATGTCGTAAAATGTTTGCTTTTTTCAAAGCAATTTTCAAATTCTGTACCGTAAAAAAATTGTTTGAAGAAATTATGAAACGAAGCTTTGATTCAACAAAATTTGAATCGTAAAGTTGCCCCTGAATAAAAAAGGCTGCGTGCAAATCAAACTAAAATCGTGCCTGAATTCCACTCATACCTAGCAACAAGTTTTCTGCCTAAATTTTGGGGATTTTATGAATGCCTTGGTAGGGATTTTATACCATCAAGATCGAGGGACACGATTCCAAGTTGTTATTGTCCATGGGCCTCTTTTACTATCAAACAAATACCAATCACAAGACACGAGAAACGAAAAGTTAGATAAGCAAGACCTTTTATCTTGGAAACCAATATTTCTTTGGAATTCTACAGAATAGTCGATGCAACTAAACTTTTAAGAACACTTCTGGTATGAATACCCCTTTTTATGAAACGCTTCTAATGGAAAAGAGTGAAATTCAAATTTACTATGGTCCATAGGATGTCGATCCTAGATTCCAACGTCAGGAATGGTGCGAGTAGAGGGGGGAAAGGAAAAAACAAACGAAACGCAAACAACTTTAAGCAATTGCATGCGGAGCTCAACTGATACAAAAAGTATGATAAACAGTTGCTATCTCACTAGGAAATATTTTGTAAAAATTTCAATACGATAGACAATAGCGGCTATACCACTATTCATACATTCACAAAAGTACACTGATATTTTTAAGGCTGTGGTAGTACTTCATAAGTTGCGCATCTAAATCTTGTGGAAAGATAACTTGCAAATTGATTTTAATTGAAAAAAGGATTATTATTTCATGTTTGAGTATTAGTTTAACCACCCTTTCACTAAACCAATTTTCAAATCGAAGCCAAAGGAACATTCCTTGGCTTTCATTATTCCAGGATTAACTATATAGGATGTCTTATCGCTTGGAATGTAAATACTGCAATACAGTTTAAAAATATTGACCTTTATTTCTAAGTCATTTATTTTGATTGAAATTTGTAATAGATTTTCACAGGTCTGTGCATAATTACTTAACTAAAGTTTTCGCATTTTTTATCATAGCTTAGCAAGGAGTGGAAGAGTCATCCCCACCACATCCTTTTGCCTCTTTTCAGTGTTTTTTATACCAGGTGTACAGGGGTTGAGCCTTTGTGTATGGACTATGTTTTGAACAAATCGGATGGGGGTAATTGCCACAAACTATAGTTCTATTATCAAAGGAAAAAATTCGGAAATTGTTTTTTCTTTGTCAGGTAGGAGCGATAAATGTTAATTTTACATTAATTTCCGCTGACTTTGCTGCGAGTAGCGGTTCTAAGGAGTAGAACGCTCATTTTTTCTATAAGAAACTGGCTACAAGAAACGAGCACTGGACAATCAGAATAAAATTAAGCAACTTGAATACTCGAAGGAAAAAAATTAAGAAACTATTAAATCGCAATAAAACTGAGGACAACGAACTTTTGTAGAATCCAAGAACACGATTGCCCTGTTGGCCTCTAGAACTTAAGACACACGGAATAAAATTAACCTCCCACATCTAAATACAGCATCAGAACGGAAGCGAATCTCTTGACGTGATTAAAAAAGTCACGAAATATTCATAACATAGCATAATTTCATAACAGTAGAAACATCGACAAGTCCAAATTGTTGTGAAAATCCCTCAAAAACAAGTTTTTGTTGGAAATTTTAACTCTCCTACGTCTCTTAATGTGCTTCCATAAAGTGAAAGTATGACAGAAAAGAAACAAAAAACGCTAATTTCGCTTGGTTTCTCGAAACACGTTCTTCACCGAGGGCAATGGTTACCAGTGTCGTCGAGTAAAACAGAAGAAGAGAAAAACTTTGAAATCAAATGTAACTTTTGCGAAAAAGGCTTCCTAGCATGAACAATTAAATATAAGGAACCCCAAATATTAAATTCATGACATCATGAATTCAAGAAACTCTTAAGAAACAATGAGTATTGAAATTTCCAGAACATTAAGAAACTGGAGTACTCAACATCGACCTTTCTTTCTTGAGGTAGTTTGTGGATCACCTGTTTAAGCATTATTACATCTACACCAAAGGGCATAGAATTAGTATCCTATGTAATATAATGGCAAGCAGTGACATAATTCTAGGAGTTGTTATTTGCTTTCCTCAACTGCACTTTTTCTATTATCCTAAAAAGTTACTAGGCAGTGGTGCCGCGTAGGGGTCTCAGCTCCCTTGTTAAAATTCTGAGAGATTTCGGGGGAGGGGACTCAGCCCCCATTAACAAGTGGGTTCATATTTGGTTGGACGAATTCTATGTTGACAACCCTTTATTATACTATAGAATCCTCATGCATTAACTTCTTCTTATCAGTTTGTTTGTACCATCGAATAGTTTGAATGACCTCTACACACAACGGAGATTCTTTAACACAAATGCAACCATATTGGGTGTGGTAAGGCTGTGGTAATGGGAGTGGCCTTTTGGATTGGCTACAGCACTGCCCCTCTTCCTAACTTTTTAGAACGGCAACCCTAGGCTTTATTATGGGTTCTTACTACACGAAAAAGAATTTGTGGGTACTTCAATTTACCATATCAATTAGACATTATTCAGTTCCTTTATGACTCTTATGAAATTTCTTCTACATCATGATTTATTAATGTAATTTAGCCAAGTAAATTAACTTGAAAAATGATGATATACTGGATACCTCAGTGCAGAAGACGTAAGAATATTTGCCTACAGCAAGCGACTAAATAAATCATTACTAGATAATGCCTCCCAGTCTCATGCTAGGATTGCTTCTCGCTGAAGGAATAGAAGGGGCAGAAAGAAACGGCTGTGCTATATTTCTTGTGTGCATTAGGACAAGAGAGGATGATAATGACTTCTTGGAAGCACCATTTAGTTCTTTAGCAGAAAGCAAATTATCTCGTGCGTTTTTAGGCTGAGCAGTGAAGGGTCCTGATGATTTGCCAAGCATAACCCTGCTCCCTATTGGATGGCCTAAATGGAATGACTTTCTTTCGTTCATCTCAAGTTTTTCTACAAGAAACAAATGCAAATACATCAGAAGCCACAGTGTAAATTGTACTGTCTTTTCCACACAGCAGATCCCCTTAAGGCTATTACTTCAAATGTTCGCCATGAAAAAGAAAAATCTAATATAATGACATTTCCAACAATGAATTTTAGTCAAAAATTTTCAATCATTTTTGAAGTTAAAAAACTTCCGACTGCTAACGCACAATGGATCCTAATCAAAAGGAAACGTGATTAAAGCACAGAGTTTAACGATTTCTAGATACCTTTGAAAATGTCACTTGCTGATCTTGCATATATCTTCGGTACTTTAACAGTTCTTTTTATCTCATCATCATTTTTCGTTGCTTTTAAAGAAAGAATGATAATAAAAAAAGATGATAATACAAAGGACAGTATAAATAAACTCCTTTTTAGGGCCTGTTTTTATAAGCCCGGGAATGGCTTTATCTGAATGATGTGGGGCATTTCCACAACCTTGTATGGGGTTCCATTATATCTAACTAACTAACCAATATCTGTAAAGTTAAATCTGGTAACGTCTAATTAATGAAAAGTGGGTTTTAAAAACTTTTCTGAAGCGAAAGAATATCGAAATTGGAGTCGAACATTTTCATTGACTGAACAGAGGGTTGAAATAATGGACGAGGCTGGACCTCAGAATGGCCAATCTAATCCAGAGTTTGCCAGAGGAGTCTTACTTTTTCATTGTATTTGCGTTTTTCACAAGCAAATAGAGACGAATAAGCAGCTTCATAGGATGTAAATAATAGGAAAATGAGCTGATCTTTTGAAATGGGACAGGAAGGGTCACTAAAAACACTGAAACATAAGAAAGGGCTTTTAGAGGCGCTATTGGGGAGTTTAAAGCTACAATCCTTGCCAAAATTGTTGGAACACTTACGCAAAGCTGAAGCTTTTTTTGAAAAATCCCCCCTACCCCCCATTACAATGTTGTTCAATTGGGCTGTTTTGATCCTGAAGGTAAAAATTTCTTCACTGAAAGCTGTATGAAAGTATTAAGAAAATAAATCAACATTGTACGGGGGTAGGGGGTCGAAATTTTTGAAGCGGCAATGATATTTTGGTAAGGTAGTTCTAGACTTGTTTTGTTTATTTGCATGCTGCAATGGGAAGGCGTTCCAGTTATTTTTGGCAAGGATTGTAGAAGAGAAAGCCTTGCTGCGGGCGTTTCTAGTTGCCACCCACTTGGCAAAGACCGACAAAATTGAAATTTATTTGTTTTTTAGAAAACAGAAAGAAGATAGAAACTCTATTTTACTGCATGATGTAGTCTACATCTCTCCAACTACAGTTTTTGATTTATTGTGATAACCTGAAGCGCTCAATTTCAGTTAGCAGCATCGATTTAAAATAAATTTGAGATCTTTCAACAGTTCTAAACGTGTAGAGAAGTGATACGATGGAAATGATATGATGGAGCCAATTTGTTCTTATAGAAAACTTGAAATGATTTTGACTTGTGCGCAGCTGATTTGAAAAAATCGAAAACATGAGAAATAGTGCTGGCTACCGTCTTATTGCTGTTCTAGTCAAATCTATATAAAACAGACAAACCACCACCATCAACACTCTCGCACTCGCCATCTTGCACTCTTCCACATCTATCACCTATTCCTCTCCGCTGAGCTGCATTCACACCATTCCACATCAACCAATCCGACACCACCACCTCTTTGAAATTTGAAAATTTTTAGTTCGTTTACTTTCGGTCTGATGAAGCCCCGCATGCCGTGGCGAAATTTTAGCCATCACTGATTTGTGTGTTTGTTGTTGTTTATTCTCGTCGTGTTGCGGTGTTACTTATTTACCACTCTCTTGGTTAGTTTGCCTTGTTCTTAGTGAACTCCCATTAAATGGTCAATCTTACAGTTGAGCAATAAACTAGTTGCAGTAAACTAGTTGCAGAATTGTACTTAGGATTGACTTAAAATGGAAATCATACGAAAAAAATTTAAAAATTGGCAATGTCCCTTCCATCTTTGTGTCAATTTGCCTTCAAAATCAGGATGTCTCATTGCAAATGCATATAGCAAAATGTCAGATTGTACCTGTTTTGGTTCCAAAAAGTGTATCATCAACATGAGATTCTTTTGAAACTGTACGATATGCACTTGAAGACCTAAAAAATATAATGATGATGTGATAATGTGGACATTATCTAGGTCTGTGAGTTTTTCTTGTTATGACGAGGAATCTTGTGATATTTCACAGTCTTTAACATACAGTTTTGCAAATTATTAGAGGGTTATAATGTAAATTACTCAAGTACCACACAGTATTATATACTTGTACACCCAATTCTATGGTGTTATCATAGTTTGACAAGCCACATTTTTATGTTATTTCTGCAATACATATTTTGATTCAGGGGCATTGCAACTGGGGGGTGGGGGTGTCACACCCCCCCCCTAATAGTATACAAATAGGAAACTTCAGGTAAAATCCGCTTGGTGGAAGAAATGCTTTAAGTATTTTCAGATACCTTCATGTCATTAAGTCAAGAAAGGATCAAGCAAAGGTAGTTGCTCCTTGGTTAAATATGTTATTCTTTGACATGAATGAAGGTAAACTAATGATTTGAAGATTTGTTGTTGGCTTGGCAATGAATCTAAAAATCCAGGCCCTCTTTAGGTTAAATTGTGTCTTGTGTCCATTTCCCCTAAAGTTTCTTGGTAGAATCATCAACTGCAATTCACTATGAGCCCCAGATTTATTTTAGCATTCAAAAGGCATACTAAGATGGAAAGAGGAATCTAAATTGACAACCAGTGCTGCTTGTTACCTAGCTTTAGAAGTAATTGACCACATATGGTATGTTTCAAGACCATGGCAAAATTGTACCAGTTATTTTCATCTGCTGTTCCATTTGTTTGCAAAAAATTAATTTTAAATAGGATTAAGAGGATTGCTTTAGTAAGATGTGCTTGAAAGATTGTATTTTCCAGGGAACTAGAAGCATCAAAATTAAAAAATGTCCTCCTCCTTCGGCGACAACCATGATGCCACCTCAGGTAGTAGCTATATCCTTTACCTGTTCCAATACAGAGATTTGACAAAACTATTAGGAAAGTCAGCTATTAACACATAAAAATGAATAGTTGCTAATTATATACAGAGTTAGATTGACAAAATGTATTTCAGAGGTTTGTGACAGTAAATAAAGAACTTCAGGCATAATCTAATCGGTGCAAACCTTCCTCTAGTTGGTGGAAATCTAAGTTCTGATGCCTTCACAAACACACCATAGCCATGAGGACATTTGAAGCATTGTTTTCCACTAAAACTTCCATTACTGTTCCCAACTACAAGATCAAATATTCACTGAATTAACCATAGTTGATAAAAATCTTTAAAAAAGTTAATATCTTTCTGCAAAAAGGTAATAATTTTTTATTAAAACTATTTATTGCTGCCTGTCTTCCAAAGAAAGCTCTTAACAAGTGTTAAGAAGCTAAGCTTATCAAGCAGTGCCCTTGTCTTCACCTCAAATATCCAAAACTATTCAATTTAGCTCTGCATGAAGTTAAACGCTGTTTTCCAGGCAAACTTTTCAAGCAACAGTTGGTGTGACTTTAAGAGGAGTAGATTATACTAAAGTTTATAAAAAGTTAGAATATTCAGATAAATTATTTCTGTAAAGAAATTGCTACATATGTCACAAATTTAGATAAAAAAGGATTTTATTTCATTTTCCAAATTTCTAAAAAAAATTAACAGCTGCTGAAACATAAATTACTATTCATATGCTTATAAAATTTTATTAATTTCAATTGTGACTGCCAAGGTGGAAAGTAAATAATGTATGTACAACTCTTGTTGAATTGAAGCTTATGTGCAATTCTTTCAGCCGAGAAACCATGTGATATTTGGGAACCCAGAATCCTGGAGCAGACTAATGGCTTGCCTTGGCCTGGGTTCCAATCACTCAGTTTATAATTGTCCCTCTTTTGAGAAAACATATTGATGATCTCCCACTCTGGCCTGTCACCCTGTAAGAACCTTTTTTATAGAAGGCAGACAGTAATTGGTATATGTAGATGTAAAGTTTCGGGCTGGCTATTGTTCATTATTAATTATGGACATTTGAGCAGTTCAGAGAATAGATATGATTTATACTATACTCTCATGAAAGAAAAAGTGTGTCTTGGAGCAGGATACAGTATAAAGAGCACCAACTTACAAACAAAAAGGTGACATAAGAAGGGAGCATAGAGAAACCATAGAGTCTATCGATATTTGTTGGGAAAGTTATTTCACAATATTAGAAAAGTGTTTCTCAAAACAGGATGTAGGGTGGTTTTCCACATAAACCAAAAGTTACCAGCAAAAATTACCTAGGAAAGTTAACCTCCACCCTTTTATTTTCAATACTAACAAAACCACCAGTTTAATGTAAATGTAAACCATCAGTGAAACTAGTTAGGCCATCAGAAACTTTTTGCCTATTTGCTGATTAATCACATAGAATAAATTTAAGCACTGTTTATATACCGATAGGCTGCCGGTTTACAAAATGAAAAGAACAAAGAAAGTACTAAAACATAATGTTTTTAATTAGCGATGCTAGACAGACTGTTTCTAGTGTCAAGGTCACCCATTTCACCAATAGGCCATCAAAAACTTGTATTTTTCTGGTAGGCCTACCGAACAAAAACATTATCTACCTTTTTCTTTGAGACGAACACCGACCCAATTTCCTTTTCTGCCGAGCAAATTTCCTTTCCATGCTACCTTACCGCTCCAAATGTATTCTTTTTGCTGAATTTGAACATCAGCATTAACACGTATGTCTTCGAAATTCACCATTATTTCGAAAGCTCAGAGCTCTCTCTGTGCTTGGCTGACAGCCATTATGATCCGTTACCATGACAAAACGTAATGGTTGCTGAATCACGTGCACCCAAAAGAAGAAGCTGCACGCCAAGGGCGCCGAGCCACGGAGGCAGCGGGGGCCCTAATGGTGCGGGGGCAGCACAGAGGCAGCACAGGGGCAGCACAGGGGCAGTACAGGGACAGCACGGGGGCAGCACGGGGGCAGCAAAGTGCCCTTTTCATGAAATAGATTTCCAAGCTATATCAATTTATATCAATATTTTGAATGCTAATGGAATTTAGGTCTCAAGTATCTCTTGATACCTACATGCAAGAGAAAAGTCAATATTTTCCGTTTTGATGAGAACTGAAAATCGATTTGCCAAGCAATTTGACCAAAAGAAACTCTTCGTCGATGAATTTTCTGTAACTTTTATGATCAAGATATTTAAGATTGCTAAAAATGTTGATTCGCAAATGTCCGATATATCAGGCAAGGCATTAATGTCTTAAATTCAAGAGTAGAGGTGGTTCTGGGGGCCCAACTCTACTATTAGCCCCTAGTTTTATCTATGACCGTGACAACAAACCAAAACTCAGATTTTTGGATAGTTGGAGGGTCATGGTAGAAGATGGTACCTGATGATGATAAATTCAAGCAAAGGCGTAGAAACCGGGGGCACAGTAAGTACGTGCCCCCTTTTTTCAAAAACTTAGGTTACCTGCCCCTTTGCAGCTCACCGAGTTGCTGTTTTTTCTAACTGCATGATCAAAAAGTGCCCCTGAATTGCTTAGGTGCCATGCGAAATGAGCAAAGGGGTGACCTTTTAGAGCCAAGATCTAGAATGTTTCTATTCGATCTGCTTCTAGAAACACACAAAAAACAAGATCACAGCCAGGGTTATCGAAAGGTGGTGGCGCTGGGAAGTTGGCCTTGGGCATTAGGGGATTAATTTAGGGGGCCCTCGAGGTTTCCAGCATGTGAAAGCAATTAGTAAGACATAACAAATTGTACAGTTTTTTAAACCATTGCAAGAAAATGACTACAAAAAATATTCTGAAATTGATTTTTAGCTAATCTAAAGAGCATGGTCGCCAAAATTTTTCTGCTCGCTTGGCTGGGAAAGGGCTTCCTCTATCGGTTGTGCCACGAGGCCTCGGAAAACCTCTCGTTGGCACTGCTCACAACTAAGTCAGAAAATGATATCATTGTAGTCAGGCTTTATGTAACAGCCTTTTTTACCTTTCTGGAATCTTTATTAAAGTGCCTCTTAAACAGGCTTTTAAACCTTATAGATTGTTTGTTAGAACATCCCTTTAAACAGGTGTCGTGTTCCCAACTTTCATAATGCTTCCTACGTCCTTAAATTCAAGACGTTTTTTAACGTACCAACTGGTTGGAAATTTGTCCTAGTGGGCCCATTTGCTTGTCCTTGTGGGCCCTTTTGAATCCCCACTAGTTAGAGTCCTTAAAAAATATCCTGAAGACTTGGCTTGAATTTGGTAAGCAGTGCTAGAATGCACGTGTATTTTTATGAGCCAATACTAAAAGCTTTTCAATGATTTTGAGCGATTTGAGTTTCTTATGAGATCCTTATGGGAACCCTGGTGCAATCTGAAGTTTCAAACGCAAGTTTTTGAAGCCTTTTTGAAGCCGAATTGTCACTCTTCAGTCTTCAGATTTAACAATAATAGAATGAGATGATTTCTTTTGAATCTCAGTTCTGAATGAAAAAAGTACTGCCCAACTTTACAAATATTCAAGAAAAAATCTCAAAATTTACATCGTTCAATTGTACTTGTGATTTTTGCAAGGAATGTGTACACCAGCATGAGTTAGCGTTGGTAATTTAAATCAGTTGGCCTTATTTAGCATCAATATAGCTACAGATTGTACAAATTTTAACTAAAATTAGAAAAAACAGTATGTTTAGAGAATTATATCCAAAATGTTTATCAAGCCATGTAGATGGTCATCAGAACAAGTTATTGTTCTAATTTAAGGTAGGATTGGGTCCGGCCTCCCTTGATGGTTGATGTTTGGGTGAAACAGAATTTCGAGAATGAAGTTTGACTGTAGTCTTGATTCAAATGTATTCTATGGCTGTTGCCCCCATTTCTGAGAGTCTTTAGGGCGTAACAACGCAAAATTTCCACAGACCACCGACCCTGCCACCTTGACAGCGCCTTCACCTACAACCAGGCTTCGTCTTTGGCTAAAACGACGTTTCCCGATCTGTTTCAGCAGCAAACTTTGATACCCCCATGGTGCCCTTTCTGCAGTTCCTGCCCCCGCCGCATCACGAAGCTCCCGGCGCCTCTGCTGCACGCATTGTCAAGAGATGTAAAATTCTACTGCTGCAACATTTCTTACCTGCCTACTCTTGTGATTATTGATCAGTTTGTGTTCCATTTCTTGGAGGTCAGAAATTCATAATCTATTTTATAGAAGGAGTTTTATGACGATTTCTATCGAATTCTTAGCATTCACGCTTGCATTCCCATATCACGGCCATATCATAGCGTAACACGGTTTAGGGCACATCAATTCAGCGTTTTTCAGCCGTTTTTCTACGGCACATAATTTGGGAGTATTTTTTTTTCAATTTTTTAGACCAATAAGGTAAAATTGGAGAATTTTTCACGGCACACCAGGCAATACCTCAATACATGCTAGTGTATGGTAACGCAGTGGTTGAAAATATTGCATTAGTTTAATAACCAAGGGCTCCCAACAAAAGGTTGAGTAATTTTATATTTTTCAGTTAGTTCAAATTGTCAGTCATTAATAAACATAAAATTACAGTTATAACATCAATTCATTTTTCTTAGTATCCATTTTACGTCATCCCAAAAACTGCTAGTCCAAATTCACAAAGAGGTGTCCGAAAGTTTTTCAGAAACTTTTTGACCGAAAGTTTTCAATCATAGCAAAAATGCTTTTATCAATGTAAAACTTGCTTGATTTGCAAAATGCTTGCAGAATAATTCTATTTTATCTCTAAAAGCATTGAACAGGGATACTTTTAAAGACCCGGTATGTAATGCATGATTGCAAAACAGCAAAAAAAATTCTACTAGAAAAATTGCAAACTGTCATGACACGGAATTCTTATTTCTGAGCAACTAAACACATGCTACAAAAATTGCTCTATAAAATTACTTTCTAATTTTAAGAACAAAGCTAGAACACCAAGAAAGAACACATAAATCAATATTTGCGTTTTTCTTTTTTTCTAAATAGAACAGAACATCAATTTTTGCATAACAAAACATTTATAAATACAATCAAGCATATCTTAAAAAGGCCAAGGTAAAAATAAAAATTCCGAAAAAACTTGTGCCAAGCATCTCCCAATATATCCAGTTAGAAAATTGACTACAGTAACGCAAATTACACGTGTAAATCATTTCAGGAGTTGTACAGTTAATGATTGCCTTGATAAAAAATCAAATTGCTATGAATAATTGTTATTGATCTGTGAACTCAAAACAAGAATATAATGAGACTTCCATAGCATAACAGGGGTTCTACAAGTAATAACTTTTTTCAACATCGTCTTTGCAATGTTCATGATTAACCTCCCATTAGATAATTCGAGCAACAACCACGTTCGAATCTCAGCCATGAAATACCTAAACAGTAACAAATCTTTAAAATAGCCTGAAGATGATCTTCCAAGGTAAGTTGCCAGATCTTTCGGAGTCTTATTTGATTTCGTGGTCCAATAATTTTTTACAACCAGGTTACTTCTATGAAGAAAGATAATTTTCTAACTGCCTTTATTCAAATTAGTTGCGATTTTTGGGAACGAAAGTTTGCTTACACCGATATTGTTACTCTTTGTATAAAATAATCTAGCGATTTCATAAATTCTTTGTTTATAGATTCAAATACAAAAGACGATATGCCATAAAATCTAAACAACGAAGCAAAACTAGCTGCGTGGAGCTGGCCTACATTTATTTACATAGATAGAAAATGGTTTCAGCTTAGAAAAATTCGAACAATGATGACAGTACCATTCCTGTTCATGAAAATCTTTTGCTGGCAAATCCCCAATCGGTAGCAGTCTTTGCATCTGTACTCGCAATTTGCTATCTTCGAAGTCCTTGATTGCTTCAAGAACTTTCGCCTTGTTTCTTGGATTTTTCAAATGATGCAAAACAGTGGATGAAATGTCCTTAAGTGCCAATCTGCCCTTACGCATTCCACTGGTAATAACAAACGAACGTCCTTTCAACCGGCGACTTCCAGTTTTCTTTAACCTGGCTGATTTCTTCATCAGTTTAGCACGTTTCAGTTTGTTTCTTTTTTTGGTGGCTAGTCTTTGCTTTATGTCCTTTATCTGCCGCTCTAAAGCCAATTTACGTCGAAGTATTTTCTTTATTTCATTTTCCACATCAATATCGTTACTGCTAGTCGAGCATTCGCTGTCAGAACTTTGATCAACCTTAGGGTGGTGTGCTGTTATCTTAACTTCGATAGATGGACCTCCGTCTGATGTGCCTGAGCTGCAACTTTTCAAAGTTTTGTAACAAATTGTAGTTGTTTTGTGAAAGGAAGCACTTGGTTTACTTCTCAACACATGAGGCTCAAATTTGTGCATTGTCTTCGCGAAAAAGTCATCTGCATTTCGAAGAGATTCATCTAATTTTGACTCCAAATATGGTGTTTGAGTGAAATCTTCTAAGTATATTGGCGACTGGATATTATTCTCAATAGGAGTTGCATTAAGAGTGACGTCATAGCAGTTCAGCAAATCGTGATTAAAACCGACACTTGAATCTTCTGAGGAAATGCAATTCATTCCAGCACTCGGCATTCTGTTCCTAGCAATTGGCGCTGTCTCAACAGCAAGACCATCATTTAAGGAGGGTATCTTCATGTCGACACAAGGATCCGTCTTGCTCCTTTTCTTCTCTATTTCGCTCTTGCCTTCCAAATCGTCATTCTTTCGTTTTCTGCATGTGTGCTCCTCTATCGGGCAATCCTTGACAACAATTTCTATAGCATGAGTCTCAAACTCTTTCTTGCAGTTCTGTGTTTCAGCAGCCGCTTCTTTCTCACCTTCCATTGCCTGATCATTACCTGATAATCCTCTACAGCGTAATTTTGGTGGCTTTGAGTCAGTTAATTTATCGCCATTCGACAATTTTCTTTTCGCGGTCAAACTGGGGACTTTATGGAATGTAAAAATGTTTTCATTCACGACTTTTGGCTGCTCCCGTCTTTTGCGAATTTTAGCTGCCTTTTTTGTATCATGTATTACCGTTCTCTCAATATGATGAGCTTTCCATTCATCTATCACTTTCTCCTTAGCTGTCTGTGGCCGACTCTCTGACACTGTTTTTGAAGATGGAAGAAGTTTAAGCTGTGATTCATTTAGTAAAGGTGTTTCCATGGATGACAAGATGCTCTTCCAGCTTTGTTCATTGTTCTGTAAATCACCGCCATTTTTCTCGACTTGATTTGATAGCTTCAGGCATCTTCTGTCGCGGTCGTAACAGTTATTTGAGGAAACAGACTTGCAAACCGTAGCTGAACTTCTTGGTAACAGACCAATGCCAGAAAAAGGGTTGTGGGAGTCCGTACTTGATTCTTTTGTAAGCCCTGAACTGGTTGATAAATCAGACGATCCTAGTCTCAAATTTTCACTATCTAATGAGTTAGGGTTAGTTGCAATCGCGGCATCCCTAAAGCCAGTTTTACAAACTGCTGTCATCTTTGCTGGCGAAAATGAGTTGTGGATTCCCCCTTGCGGCCTCACGCTGAGATCAGTCTCAAAGTTGTTGTTTCCTTTTTGCCGCAGCCGCAACCGTATCTCATCACTTGATAGTTCAGAATCTTTGTAGCTGAGATAAGCACAATCTTTGGCAGCAAGAGAGTTTCTCCTCGCTGTGACAACTGTCTCTTCATTTTTACCACCACCAAGCCAGTTCATGAATGACTTGTACTTCTTTGGGTCTGTTTGAAAAAGGCCAGCTTTTGGCTCCCCAGCCATCCATTCCGTATATAAGACATCCAATTCCTCGCAATTGCATACATCTTGGAGGTCCTTTGCCTCACTTGATGTAGACACCTGATTGTTGAATTGCGATGTTTTGACAAGCATATCCAGAGAAATTTTTCCTCTGGTTTTGGCATCAGTATACTCTTCATTGGACACCATTTTCTCCGTGGCAACTGCATCACTCTTACTGTTAGTCAAAGATACCTTGGTACCAGATTTATACCCCGGAAGGCATATTTTCGGAAAGTCCTGACTTTTAAAAGCAAAATCAGTAGACATCTGGCACTCATGTCCTTTTCCAGTACAATCAGCTTGTCTATTTAACACCACAGGGGTTTTTGTAAGATCAAATCCAAGTTCATTCGATGGAATTTCTGTGGTAATTTTCTTCCTGTGTTTCTCTTCTTCTAAGTACTGCTGAAGAAAATCTGAAATTTCTTCATCGAGTTTATCATCACAATCAGAAGAATCATCAAACTCTACTTCAACTGAGCAGCTAGATTCCTGCTTTTCAGAAACGCTCAAGCGGCTGTCTTCATCAGCACCTTTCAAAACACCTTGCATCTTTGTCGATGTCAGATTTGGTTTTTCAAACAATATTTCTCTTTTAACAGATTCGTCTGAAGCATTTTCTTTGCCCTGACCCATCCCTTCATCCATTTCAACCAGCTGAGAAAACTCTTCGCCTGTTTTCTTAAGATTCCTTAATTCAATTGACTCTGCTGCACAAGCTCTTTCTACGTCTTTGAATGCAGAATCATTTTCAATACTGGAAAGACATTTCCCTTTTTCTCCGTCAATGGACCTCGTCATAAATTCATCTCCTTGACATTCTGACCGACATAGCGAATTCTCACATACTGCTGAATCTTGACCTAGGGTGTTCCCTTCATCAGTCTCTACACTTTCTTTTCCTTTATTCAATAAATCTTTTTCATGTGAAGCAGTAATTTCACTGTGGAAAGCAAGTGATGGTTTCTTGTCACCACTAAGGAGGCATTTTGCATCAAGCAAAGACAGCCCGTCTCCTCTAACTATCGCTACATTCCTTGACTCTTCATGTTCCCCAGTTAAAATGCCGTCTTGTGCCGATTTTTCGGGATTAAAGTGATTATTGTTTACTTCAGAAACAGAGTTTCCATGATCAGACACAATGCTTTCTTCCGAAGAACAATATAACTTCTTTGAAACTATTCTGGTCTCCTTCGTTGAATTGCTTTCTCTCTGCACAGAACAAAAACTTGTTTCATTATCAGACAAGGCTACTGAGCTCACACTATTTTGAGCTGGAGAGCAATCTCGGGGTTCGTGTTCTGGAACAACTTCTGAAGTTTCTTGACTACTATCAACATTTAACAACTTTTCCAGCATTTCTGCGCCATCACAAATCGATTCACTCTGACTTCCTGAGTACCTCCTAACCCGGTGAAAATTTGTCTGTGTCCCCATTGCTTCTAGATCCGACAGGCTCATCTCTTTGTCATATTCTTGACTTGTATCTGAGTGCAATTCTACCGACTTTACAACTAAAGATAGATCTTTCCCTTGAGAACTATCAGATTTTACACAAGGGCTAAGATTTAGGCTTGATAATGTTGCCGTCAGCCCACAACCTCGTTGTTTCTGTTCGTGTTCTGGTGTCTTGGCTGGACTTGAATAGAGCTTGGAAATTTCAAATTCCTTTTTATTGCAACACTTAACAGGTGAAAAAATGGTATTGTCTTGTAAATGAGGAGCAACAAACTCTTGTCCAACCAGAAGGGCAGTTTTGGCAGGCAGCTGTGCAACCAATGCGCCACGCTCCCCATCGGCACCCAAACCAATACTGTGAATTTCACAAGTCAAATCCGCGATGGATACGTCAAACCCAACGCTTACCTCAGATTTATCAGCACATGGATTGTCTCTTACTGCTAGAAATTCAAATGTACAATTGGAAGTGACTGGTTGGCTTTTGCACTCATCGTGGCTTGATGACCAATTCAATGTGCATTCCGAATCAGCAGGATCCCTTAACGACGGACAATTACTCTCTGACGAATTCATATCCACAATCACATGTTTGGTGTCTTCAAATGTACCCGTGATTGAATTCTCATCCAATTCTGACTCTACTGCTAATTCTTTCTGGGAGTTTTTCATGTAACCCTTGGTCAGTCTACAAAACGACCTTCCTTCTTCACAACTACGCATTATTGGCTTGTTTTCAAAAACATTAACCTCTTCCATATCATCTACCCTTTCACTTGATGTGGTTGTATTGTTTTCTTCTGGAGGAGCAGAACTCGTTGTCTTTTCGCAATCAACCACTAGCAAATTGCTGATCAATTTATTAAAAATATTTCCTTCCACCAAATTCTCGTTATCAGATGGTAAACACGAAAAAATCGCTTCACTTAATTTCTTTTCCGCACAAAAATCGTCCTGGAAGCAGCTGCCATCTTTTAGAGGAATGGTGCACAAATTCGAGTCTTGTTCTAAAAATATATCGCCAAAAGTTTCCTTGCCTTTTTCTGCAGGCATGCTGTTTGTTTTTTCATCATAGAGAGTCTGTCCCAACAAACAGAATTCTGAAATACCAAATAACGAATCCATCTTTTGACTTTGTGGTGAGCTGGAGGGATCCGAATTGTCCTTAAAGCTTTCAGCAAAATCATCTGTTATACTTAACTGTTCCTCAGAGCCGTCACTTACAAGACAGTTACTTGAAGTCTGTACTGTTGGCAAATCACTTTCATGCCATTCGCGAGCAATATCTTCGACAGACTCTGCTTTCAGTGTTAACTTGCAGTGCTTTTTATGTCTTACAAAGTCAACGTATGTATCACAAATCTCATTGCAGTAGGTACATCTCATTTCTTTGCCATGCTTTCTCTGATGATAAAAGTCTGCTTTTGCAGTGCCGGAACTGATTTTGCAGTACTTACAATAATATCTATTCGCAACAGAGCGTCCACCCACGTTTTTAGAAAGCAACTTTCGCGTCTCTCGGTTTTTCACATGCGTTATAAGGTAATGTCTATTTTTCGCTTTCAATGAAGCAGTGGATACACTGCAGTTTGGGTAATCGCAAAAATATGAACCTCTTCCGTGCTTTGAAACATCACCTTTAGGGTCTTCAAATCTATATTTGCATTCTTTATAGATATGGTGGGCCGCATCATGTTGGCTACTAAAGGCTTTTCGGCATCTAAAACAGGCATATGGAAACTGATGCCTCTTGCAAACGGCACGGTGTTTTAGAAGGGTCCGATTTGAACAAAAAACGATTTGACAATCATGGCAGACATTTTCAGTCAGACCTGTATGTTTTGGTAGGTGCCTGACTAATTGACAAAAGAATTTGAAAGTCTTCTGACACTCGGTACACCGCCAAGGAAGTAGGCCCTCATGCTTCTGCAAAATATGTGACTGCAACTTGAAAGTTTCTCTAAATTTCTTCTTACACTGCTTACAGGTCAGACGCTCTAGCTCGTGCACCAACTGCAGATGCTTTTCGAGGCTTTCGGTATCTGCGAACTCTTCATAGCATCCATTGATTAGACACAAGCTCTGTGAAAATATGCTGAAGGCATTGCAGTGTTTTTTGCCGTCATCATTTTCGTGCAGTGACAAATGCTTGGCTAAGAAGTCTTCGTTTTTAAACAACATTCCACAGGTATGACATTTAGGCCGAACACCCAAGCAGCTGCTTTTTTCGTGGATGCTCAATCGAGAACTACTATCCAATACTTTGAAACACCTCATACAGATTCGACGGATAGCTAAACAGAAAAGAGCAACAACATTAGTTGTACATTGAGAGAAAACGTAAAATGAAAAAATTTACTGATAGAAAAGGGGGTATAGAAAAATGTTTCATTTCCACAATGAGTTGTAACCATCGCTGGTTGCTGGTCACGGAACAATTCAACACAATGTTGAAAAGTTCTGCCCTTCGCAAAAATGCAGTAATTAATGATGGTATGTCAGGAACAATTTCGTCACCCAAGCCATCAAACTAGACTACACTTTTAGTGCATAAAATTCGAGGTGCAGCCAAAGAAGATGATCAAATGGCAAGAACATTTACAAGTCCTTAACTTGGGTCAGCGTTACATAAACAAAAGGGGGCAACAAACTTCTGATCACCAAGAGTGGTCCGCGTTATCCTTCTAGGAGTCAGGTCTATTCAATTGCCTGTGGTGTAGAATTTCTGGAAAAAGTGCTTTCCAGCGTTTCAAAGGGCGCAAACAAATTAAAAACAGAACTGACTTTTCGGTATGAAAAAGAGCATGCTGCCATTGCCAGAGGTTGGTGATAAACCTAACAATTTGTTTCATGAAAACTGTTTTTGCCGTTTATGAATTTAGCATAAAATGTTTCGCCGGAATACTCACCACTGAGGCTATTTTTATTCTTTGGGTTGTCTGTTGCACTATCAACCAATCCAAGGGACTTTGCGAACTGATTCCCATACCAGACTAGCAATTCTTGTCCCGGATAAATCCTCTTGTATGTGCGGTAATAGATTTGTGAGCAGTATTGGATAGCGATGAGGTTTTGCTCTGGTTCTGTTCGCGCGCAGTTGATGAAGCGCATCCAGTTGGAAGTGGTTTCGTCCTCAGCGTCCACATAATGAGAAACTCGTTGCTGAGATATAATCTAGACAGAAAAATAGCTAACAGTGAATGAACAAGCCATGTTCTCTGTTTTTATAGATAAAAAACTGAAAGATGTCTACCTAGATCCACAAGTAAAAGTCTACATTTTAAGACAATGGAATGACCAATGAAATGGCTGTAGGAATCACGAGGTGGGGTCACATTGAGACGAAGACCAGGATACTTTTACAGCATGGTTATCTCTATTGCCAGGATTCCGCATACCCCCCCCCCCCAAATTGGGCATACCCCAATATTGATCTTTAACACAAATACCTATAAATAAGCCTTAGAAACCTTACCTCCCATTGATAACCGGATTCTATGAGGTCATCTATAACAGATTCTCCAACATACGGTCCAAAGCGGACCCGCTCTTCGATCACAGTTTTGGCAAATACACCAGTTCCAGCTCCCGGAATTGAAGACTTGTCAAGGTAAAGCTCATCAGGTAGTGTCGCTCTAGCTCGTGTTTGACCACAGTTCTCATTAAATACTTTGTCTTTTTTCCAAGTCTCCGGTCCATCATAAGGGCACTCACCATGAAATACGCCGTTGCACTTAGCACAGACTGAAATGAATAGGTCAGATCGTAAAAGAAAGAAAATTCCGTTTCAAAATATAATCTTCGAATCGAAGAGGGGCTAAAACAATAAATGATCGTTTCAGTTTTGTAGCTTCCCAGTTTATTTTTTTTTATATATATTCTCATAAAATTTTACAAAACAGACAACTACAAGACGATACCACAGGGAGCATGGAAATACATAGCAACCCTGTGGCCATTACATTAAACATATTTGATTCAAATTAGAGTTGCATTAAATGTTGCAAATTATATGTTACAGATTACTAATAATTAAAAACATTTACAATTTGGATGTTAAAACAAAAACAAGGACAAACTACATTGACGAAACAAAACAAGAACAATGAAAGACAAATTACATAGGAGAGAAGATTTATAAAACTACTTAATAAAACCTTTCAGAGGTCTGAATATATTTTAATGTTGCCTCAAGAATTTTTGTATTTGAATTTAAAGATAATTTTTCATGACCATAAAGAATTATTTGCAGTAAAGCTTCATTCGAAAGGTTTGTTAATCCATGGGGTTGTAATATAGCACTCACATTGTCAAGAATATCACGTCTATCTGTATCATAAGCATGGCAGAGCAGCAAAAAGTGTTCCGTATCCTCAATACCATCATTTACTGGGCACAAAGGATTCAGGGTATCACTGAAGTTATGTTTGAATTTGTGAAAATTCAGCTTGCTAAGTCCAACACGAAGTGGAAGTAGCACTGTTTTGGGTCGTGGATGTTGTAGACTAGCTTTTTAGGTGGACGGATAAATGCAAATAGTTGTTTTTTGAAAGCACTTACTGAGTGGGATTGTTTGATCTCTGGGTCGAGTTTTTCCCATTCAGATAAACAATTTGGATAAAATCTATTATTATTTACTATTATTATTATTATTATTATTATTATTATCCCAGTTTATTATCATACGTGTTTTATGACTGAAAACATTCACAGCATTCAATTAAACTTCAGGCAAGTTGGAAATGTCATATCTATACCGTTACTTTTCTTAGCGAATTTACCACAATGAAAAACAAGCAAATGGCAAAAAATTGCAGACAAAAATTAAAAAACCGAAAGAAATACTTACAAAGAAAATGATCCTTGTCGCAAGGTGGGCGATTACACTTTTTGTTTAAGGGATCATGTTCATTCCACAGCTCATTTTCTAAACTTGAAATCTCCTTAAGTGAAAGAAAAAAATTGGTATTTTGAAGGAAAATTTTCAGAGGTCTTCTGAAAACATTTCATTGCATGCAAGTAGCGAAAATAAATCTTTACATTTATACAGAGACAGATATGAATTACAGCCAAGAACGTCAAATTTCAGAGAGACTTTCTCAGACTTTCAATAAAGAAATAAAATTGCTTGATAGTCTGCATTTTTGAATTGTAAATGTAACTGAGAAGTCAAACTATAACAATAGCAGTCAAACTATTACAATCATATACAAGAGAATGGGTCCTGGTAATCTAAAATGGTAAGCTTGCTACTTTCAGAAAAGCCTTTTTCTCCGTCAACAACATACATCAACATCAGTCAGCATCCCACTTATAAATTAAATCTCACAAAATAAATACCTGGAATCAATGCAAAGTTTTTTACTTAATCGAATTCACAAGCACAATGATATATGTGTGCAACTGCTTAGCAATATTTAATTCCAAAATATAAATAAAGCAAGCCTGTCAAATGCTATAAATTAACAATCGAAACAAAAAGCATTATGGGCACCCATCTTTACGGCATAATTCATCCGAAAATTAAAGCGACAAGATCATTTCTCGATTAATACTGGCATAGTAGTCTGCAAAAGCTCAAATATATGCCTTCTCTTTGCAACCAACCTTCCATTAAAACAATAACTGATATCATAGCATGGTTTTTCAGTGATAAGCTACGTCTTGAGCAATCCTCATGATTTTCGTAGGTGCAAGATTACATTTCTGGTGCAAGCAAAGATCACCTCTTCTGATCTGTTACCTATTTTTATATAGGGTACTTCCATAAAGTTTGGCTTGGGGTTAGATGTTTTAATTTGGATTTTTGTAGGGGTAATGTTTGAAGAAAGACAGTTGACATTCTTTTTTCATAATCTAAAACAAATCACAGTGGATTCCTCAATCCTGGCTTGATCCAAATTGGTCATCTAGACCTAATCACAGCTGATTCTTCAATCCTGACTTCTAATTTAAACCATAAACAAAGCCAATCGAGTCTGGCTGATCACTGACTAACAAATCATATTGGTTTTTAGCAATCCACTTTGATATTCCACTTTAGATGGCCAATTTTCCAGAACAAATCAAGCCAAAACATAATGTTATAGAGAAGAAGAATAACCATAACAAAACATGCCAACCTTTGTATCTGTATCAACCAAGTATTGTTGCCCCTTCTTCCACTTCCGATTTACATTTTGCTTCTCATCGGGGTTTCTGATCTTCTTCGATTGAACAGATATTTTTCTTGCCTGGGTTTTTTTCTCTTTTTCTTCAGCCTTGCTCTGTTTCTCTGCTTCTTCAGCCTTGCTCTTTTTCTCTGCTTCTTCATCCTCGGTCTGTTTTTCCTGTTCTTCTGCCTCGCTCATATCACTTCTGCTGTTCTCATCCACACTAAAGATGCTCATGTCAGTTTGTGACATACTCTCCTCTGCATTGCTTGTTGTGTCAACACTCTTCGTGCTTTCCTCTGATGACATTCCAGACTTGATGGATGCATTATCAACAATGTTACCTGGAATAAGTTTAGTTTATTAATTTGCTGGACATATGGCAAATTATTAACTTCTTGGAAAACATTATACATAGAGACAACCTTTTGAAACTACTCAGCCTTATTGTTACTTCTTCAAGAAACCACAAAAAGACGGGTTACAAGAATGAGGGTGGGACAACTTACCCTAGAACACAAAACCTATCATCTCAAACATTAATATGGACTGTTTCTGTTTATTGCAGACATGGGAATGTATAAGTCCTAATTCATAGAGGATGGCTTGACTTCCAATCAGATACTGCTTTTATCCAGGAAACAAAATGAGCATTAAAAACATTGACTGATGAGCAAAACTTAAATCACGCATTTCTTCCCACTGCCCAATTGAAAAACGATTTTTGCAGATTTTCCCACCCTCTACTTAGCTTTTATACCTTCTTGGCTCCAATCCAATTAAATTCACTTTGGGTATGAACCTATATTTTGGAAAAATGCTCTACAGTGTAACAAACGATGTAACAAGTAACGAGTCACGTGATATCAAATCCGTCACTTCCGGTTAAAGGCATGTGTTATGCTAGGTGTTTTCTGTAATGATCAGTCTTTGGGTATCCAAATGAAATGAAGTCCATTTATCTTTTCTCTCTCCTTGCCGAACCTAAACGCAACCATTACAGTTGGTGACACAGGTACAAGACTGAGTTTCAAGAGTATCACTATCATGGTTTCTTTATAGATTGTTCCCGAGAAGGTTGATTCAGGAGATTTTGTCGGGTGGCTTTGCAATCTTAATTGCTGTGCCATTGCAAATAATTGGACAAATGACGATAAGCTCAAAAAGTTGCCTGCATTTTCAAAAGGCCAGGCCGCTGCTTACTATTATTGTCTACTTGCTGAAAAGAAGGACAGTTTTGCTGCTCTAGCAATGATCTCACTGAAGCGCTCTGCCCTAAGGTTGATCAGGAGAGGTAATAGAGCGAGTTTGAATGCCGTACTCTACAACAGTATGAAGAAGGTATCACATCCAATGATTCCCTTTCTTACTGAATAGATGATCAAGAACTCCGGACAAATATTCAACTAAAAAACATACCTGCTTTCTTTGTATTCTGCTTGTTAGTATTGCATAACTTGCAGCCACAGGTAAACTTTCTATAATCTCTTTTAACCTTTGGGCGAGTTTTCCGTTGGGAAGGAAGATTGGCTGGACTTATTCGCAAAACAGTCTTCTGCTTGTTGGGTTGGAGTGAAAGCCTGTTCACTTGCACAATCAGGTCTTTACATATTTCAGCTAAAAAGAAGTTGTTCAAAAAGTTGATTAAAATCATGTCTCATATTTTTCTGGAAAAAACAAGAATATTTGCCAGGAAAGTATGCACAACCAAAATTGAGCACAACTATTGTTGCAAAAAAAGGTTGCAAAATTTTTTCTTGACGAATTTTTCTTTGGAAAGAAGCAACCAATATACATTGTAGAATGGCTTCATTTACAACTTGTCTTGCAAATCTACTAAATTTTAGAGTCACGGCATATTAGCATCATCAACATTAAATTACCCTTCTATGGCTATATTACAACATGAAAATAGGATATACAGCTGAAAAGATGAAATTATAACATCAAATACCTGCATGAGCTCTATGCATCTGAATATTACCATCCTTACCCTCTGCTTCCTTTTCAGCATGCATTTCTATCACTGATCTGCTTGGTATCTCAATGTTATTATCCCAATGCATAGACTCCTTTTTACCATCAACAGCTGTTTCAGACCTGTTTTCTGCCTCTTTGTTGCAATTCTTGTCCTCTGTTTCACTGACATCATTTACATTTGTCTCTGACCCTTTTGCTATGTCTGTAGAACCATTTTCAGTCACTGTTTCCTTTCCGTCCCTTGCATTCTCCTCTGAAACGCCGGCTACATGCCAGTTAGGATGAACATTTTTTGTCTCCTTTTCAAAACTTGCATTCTCCTCCAGTTCGATTGCCTCATCCATTGAATTAGATTAAGGTCGCATAATTCACTAGTAGAAACAAGTTATTTGATGCATTTCACATAGATGCTCCACAAAAAACATGTTATTTAGCCAGAGTTCCCATAAATTTCAAATTGATTGCAAAAACAAGCTTATAAACTTTGTTATTCAATAAATATGCTGGAAAAACATTCAAGAACAATTCCAGAAATCAAGATTATAAAACATATAAAACAAGATTAGCGAAATCAGGGCTTTTAGTGGGGGCATGCCATAGCCCACGAGTGCGCAGGCAAGCCCCCAGCGTTTCACTTCTGAGCGATAAATCACAAGTCCAATGATAAATATTTCCTTTGTAGAAGCAATTTCCAGATGCTGCAATTTTTTGTGATCCACTGCTGAAATTGGCTAATCCTTTTGAGAAACTCCTTTTTGAAACGGAAACTCCTTTTTGAGGCTGATATGCTGCTGCCCTTCAAAGTACCTTTTGCATTTTCAAGATCAACTAAGGGCCTGTTTACATGAAATGGGCTAGCCCACTTAAGTGGGCTGGTCTCCACACGTGTGATCTTTTTTGCAAGTGTTTACAGAATAATGCGATCTATCCCACTCAGATGGGCTTGCATCTTGTTTGAAACTTGTAAATGAGTTTTTTTAGTTTTTGGTGACATCATGATGAATATCAGTTTTCACAACAATGGCGAATATCAATTTTGATTTCCTTTCTGATCGTGAAATTACTCGGCATGCTCAGTATCATATCATACGTCATGGTATAAGATCGGCAACCATCCCTGTTGTCCACTTAAATGGATTTTTACAACATTATCTATGCTTTTGTAAGCTTTTGCTATGTTTTCAGGAGAGAAGTTTTGCTTAGGTCAGCCATTGTTGATACGTAAATAAAGTTTTGATTTGGCGCCAGCTTCCTTTACGCACACGCAATGACATTCCGTGAGTGAGGTAGCCCACCCGGTTGCGTTAACCTGGATAATTTCCATCCCACCTGACGCGGATACCACCTCCTGCCTTTCTTGCGGATCTCACCTGAGTGGGCTGCCCCCCCCCCCTGTAAACACAATTACAGAGTACAAAGGACAGATGAAGAGTTTCTTAACAGCTACATACATCAATTCCAAGTAAGCTACGATGGATAATTTGCAGGAGTGTTTTTCAAAGCAGGGGACAAAAGAAAGCAGGACGCAAATCATCAGTACCTTAGACTCTCAAGACACTTTCAAAGAGAAACTCAAGCAGAAATTTGAAGATTACAACAGTGTTTTCTAAAATGAGATTAGTGGATCTCCAGGTCAGACGAGAGACAGTATGAAAATGAAGATATCATCAGTCACATCAGCCATACACATCCAAAAGACCAAAGCTTTTGCAGCATTTTGTAAAGAACCTATTTTGCGAGAATGAAAGAGTTTTAAGAACTTTGAGCGAAGCTATGTTTTCTAATGCAAACATTTAGGAAGTCTGTTTAATGAAACGCTGCAACGAATTTCCAAACATGTGCAAAATGGCAAGCCTTGTTATGTCGATCTTTTCCTCAAATTGGAAGATTGAAAAAGCATTTATCACCCTAGACCTCTTTGGAATAAATATGAAAAGTGAATAACATCGAGAAAGCTTTGGATTTATAATTGAAAATGAAATGGAAAATAGAATTAAAAATTAAAGAAAGTATCTGGCCTAAGAAAGAAATTGAAGCTTGTTCAACAGACGATCTGTCAAAGTTGGAGAGTAATGAGGAATGTGATACAATTGGCTTCTCTAAGGCAGAACTTAAACATTTTAGCAAATGGAGTATTTGCTGATTTTAAATAAAGCGTTTCAGTTAAAAAAATTCATTATTTTCTGTTATCAAATGAATTTGAATCTTGCACTCCATAATGATCACGTGTGTTTTCATTCATGCATGTCAATTTCTGAACGTGAAAGCCCTGCAAAGTGTTTAAAGATTTGAAAATGGCTTTGAAAAAAGCAAACATTTTACAACATACTAAAAGCTTTTTCGTCTGACACTCCTCAGAGCATAAAACGTCAGAATCGGGGTCCGAAAGAACACAATTAAAATTATATACCCAGTCGTGGATCGAAATAGGCCAATCAGAAAAACGCAAGCACAAGACCGGTATAGTTGACCAATCAGTGCCGCGAGCCTAAAGAAAAATTACCAATGGAGTCCAAGAGAGAAAACGAACTCCTTCTGTCTACACAATGGCGGCTTTTTCGTTTGTATGTAGATCGACTCCAAAACTGCTAGATGGAAGGACGACCGGTCTCTGCCAATTATCCGAAACATGTCGTCATTATAGAGTTTTGCACAATCTGGGTTGTCTAAAAGATGTTGATTGATGGCAGAATCACTTGTTTTAATAGTGTTTCTAGACCTACAAGATCGAGGAGGCTGTTCTCTTTGATGGGCAGTTTTGTTTCTTATGTTAGAAGGAGCATGCTGTTTTATCCTATCCCCCAATCTTTGGATTGTGCGTCCTACGTAGCCAGAACCACACTGGCACGTAAATTCATAAATGACGGAACTTTTTTGGTTGGTAGGAACGCAATCCTTTTGAATGGATGGAAGGGCTCTCCTAGTGCTGTGAACAATACGAGGATTGACAGCAAAGCAACATTTAGTTATGGCTGGCCTAATCAGACTCTCGAATCGCAAGGAAGTGTTACCAATACATGGTAGTTTCAAATAAACTGGGCACTTTCGCGGACCAAACTTTTGGCCGAAAAAACTTGCGATCTTCTCCTTAGTATAAGATAAAATGACGTCTTCTGGATAGCCGTTGTCCAGAAAGATCGTTTTAAGTTTTTCCAGTTCAGCGTGCCGATATACACTGGTAAGAAATCCAGTGTTAGACTTTTCGACAAAAACATCTAAAAATGGCAAGGAATCATTTTCTTCCTTTTCAAACGTAAACTGGAGGGTTGGGTGTAGGCTATTAAGGTGTTTTAGAAAAATATCACACTCAGCCTCTGTTTTGAAAATGGAATATGTGTCATCCACATACCGAAAATAGACACCTGGCTTTTGGTCGCAGTCAAACAAACGCTCTTCATGAAAGCCAACAAAAATATTGGCCAAGGCAGGTCCCAGAGGGCTACCCAACGTGTTGCAGTTTCCATCAGTTCAATGAATACTTCCTCTGGGAATGGTGGGCTATTAAGCTCGCTCCGGTACAAAGCGTCGGCACATATTTTGATGGTCTCACTCAAAGGGACATTTGTGTGACGTGGGACGTTCGGCTTGTGTATTTTAGGGAGGCCATACATTTGTGGTCGTTGAGAGCCCGTGGGTCTTATTCTATCATAAATTTCTGTAGCCAACACTTTTGAGTTAACCAGTTCCAACAAACGTTTTTGGAGTTTCCGCTCTAGTTTGGTCATTTTGTCATGTGTTTCGACATCACCTATTTTAGCAAATTTTTCTTTGTCGTTGAGAATTACCTCCATTTGTTTGATGTAGTCCTTTTTGTTCAAAATTACCACTCCAGACCCTTTATCAGGTTTTGTAATAAAGATGTCATTGTTAGCCTGCAGAGACTTTAGTGCTTGGAAATGTTCTCTATGCAAAAGAAAATCAGAGTGGTCGATGGGAGAGCCGATATCGCTTAGTCGTGCTCGTAATTTGTTAAATTCCAAAGAGTTCGAAATCTTGTGTTGAGCGTGTAAAATTTCGAATTCAGAAAAGAGTTTCCTCTCTGTTGATTGTTTGTGGGGTGGGATGCGAAATTCAAGTCCATTACCTAAGAGAAATGTTTCAGTATCAGAGAGAGAATAATCCGAGAAATTGAAAATATATTTTTTGGTAGGATAAATATGTTGGGATAAAACAGCATGTTCCTTCCAACATAAGAAACAAAACTGCCCCTCAAAGAGAACAGCCTCCTTGATCTTGTAGGTCTAGAAACACTGTTAAAACAAGTGATTCTGCCATCAATCAACATCTTTTAGACAACCCAGATTGTGCAAAACTCTATAATGATGACATGTTTCAGATAATTGGCAGAGCCCGGTCGTCCTTCCATCTAGCAGTTTTGGAGTCGATCTACATAAAAACGAAAAAGCCGCCATTGTGTAGACAGAAGGAGTTCTTTCTTCTCTTAGACTCCAGTGGTAATTTTTCTTTAGGCTCGTGGCACTGATTGGTCAACCATACTGGTCTTGTGCTTGCGTTTTTCTGATTGGCCTATTTCGATCCACGACTGGGTATATATTTTTCATTGTGTTCTTTCGGACCCTGATTCTGTTTTATGTTTTATGCTCTTAGGAGTGTCAAACGAAAAAGCTTTTAGTATGTTGCAAAATGTTTGCTTTTTTCAAAGCCATTTTCAAATTCTGTACCGCAAAAAAGTTGTTCACATGTTTAAAAATTTTTCTTTAGGCTCGTGGCACTGATTGGTCAACCATACTGGTCTTGTGCTTGCGTGTTTCTGATTGGCCTATTTCGATCCACGACTGGGTATATATTTTTCATTGTGTTCTTTCGGACCCTGATTCTGTTTTATGTTTTATGCTCTTAGGAGTGTCAAACGAAAAAGCTTTTAGTATGTTGCAAAATGTTTGCTTTTTTCAAAGCCATTTTCAAATTCTGTACCGCAAAAAAGTTGTTCACATGTTTAAAGATTAGCAGAACTGTGACAACACAATTTTCTTGATCAGGTAAAAACTGATATCATTTATTTTTTAAATCCATAAAATCTATCCATACTGCTGACATAAAATATCATCAGTTTTGGCATACTGGAAAACAGTGCCTTGGGAATCTAAGAGGATCATTGATGAAAAAAGTCAAGCCGAATTGGCCTTCACCCCAACTGCTAGAAAATCCTTCATTTTTGGTGTAATTAATTGCATGAAAAAACTTCAGCTCATGCAAACTCAACTTGCTTCCTCAAGGCACTGCATCCTGATGCATTTCCATGGCCATTTAAAAACCCTATTGGTTGGACTATAACAGCGGACTATTGCCTATTGCCATGTAACCAATCTGTAAAGTAAGGCTAATATACAGTGATTTAATTACAAATGCACTGCCGAGCCTATTGTTGACAATGTTTGATTCACTGACAGGACATAGTGCCTGTAACTCTAAGCTGTTAAATATTGTCTTGAGGGTTTATCTGTATGTAAACAGCTAGTTTTCTCAAACAGAGGCTGATTTAAGAAGAGGCCTTGATAAAACAAAGAGCGCTGAAAACCAAAAGAGTCAAAACACATACCATTCTGAAAATTCCATATAAGAATAGAACAATTTGTAACTCTCAACAATGATCTATTCATTTTATTTCCTTTGAGGAATTTGTTTGCTTAGCTATAGAGTTTTAATTTCAGCCAAAATAAGGGGTCAAATCCTAAATGCAAGGAAATGTTTCTAAAAACAAGATATCTTTGTAAATTAGGAACTAGATCACCTAGTAGATATAGATGAGAAGTATTAAAGTTCCTCGTGAGTTTTCAAAAATTTAATATCTGAAGACAAATTATTTCAACCCTAACAAAGCAATGGCTGAAAAAGGTGCTCTTTTATGCAAAAATAACCTCAAAATTATGCAGTAAAACATGAAGCAATTTCTGGGAGAAGGTCCTATTGAATGATTGACTCAGAAATACTTTTGCAGAAAATTTTTTATTGTTTGCTGTTTGCAATGGAATAAAGGAAATTGGCATCACCTAAGTGGTAATGATATTCAAGTGAATGAATGCCAACAATTATTGGCACAAACACAGGATCCCTCTGAGTAGGAAAAGTCTTAAACGAATGGTTACTGCAAAGTTAGGAAAAGGAACTGCAAGGAGCGTTAACATTGGAAATAGTGTAAACAGTATGAATGATTGATGATTCACTGATCAAGCTTGGTTCAACAGCAAAAGTTATATCCTTGCCAATTTCAGTGAGATATTCTGCTGTCCCTCCTCTTTGAATAGGGCAGAAAATACTTTGGAATCTCGAAAAGAGAGAAAAGGCTGTTCAACTTGGGAAAATTTATTGTGCTTGCCCTACTATGCAAGAAGCTGCCAGGGAAATTTTCAATGGGAATGTCCCTGGCACATTTTCAGTTAGAAAGTCAATGAGGAGAATACTAAAAACGTTTGATGTCATGAGAGAGTATAACAGGAAGTCAGTTTGTTTTGCATTTTCAATTTGAGAATTGATTCTGGTGGAGCTGCCTGTCTATTTTCATATTTGTACAGTGGTTGATAGCTTTTGGTAAAATCTGGTTATAGGACCCTCTCAGCCGATAAGGTGGATAGAGCCTCCAAGAAAAACACTGCTTGAAAATTAATTTTGTGGATTTAATCAACTTTTGAGAACTAAGGATTGAAAATTTACCAAAGGAAACATCAATCAACAGATATAAAAGATCAGACCCACATCAAGAAACAAAAGAAAACACAAAGGAATGAAGGTTGCAAAGCGATCAGAAATACGACGACCAAGCCAAAATTAGAAAAAATAAAAAGTTTTTAACTTCATTGTAAATAACTTTCTGCTTCCGTAGTCATTCATAAGATGGATAGGAATTCAGCCTGGGAGTAAGAAAACCTATCTGTTGAGTGATGGAATGCAGGTCTCATAGTCATTTGAAGTGAAGCAAATGCATTGCAATTGATTTCTGTGAAAAACTTTTGCAGTTGATGCATAGAGGGTTGTAGCATAGCTCTAATAGCGCGAAAAATAAAACTATGAATAATCTGATTGTTAAATACGCCTTATTATGAGGTAAAAACAACCCCTTTGTCATTGATCTTACCGACGATTGGTGCAGTGGAGTTAACAACTTCCGATCGAGGATGGTAGGCCCAAAGGAATGAGAGCTGCCCGATTAAGAATTCGAGTTGCATACGAATAAAAAAAGTTTTTAAGATTAATCAATCAAATTATCTTGAAAACTTGCATAAATACTTACTGCATCGTCCGTAAGTCTTCCTCATCGCCTGCAACAACGTAATTCGGTCAACATTTCCCGCTCTCGAATCATAACACTACTAGGCCCACTACATGCCTTTAAAAAATGTGCACGTGCACCGATATGCGCCTGCGCTGTAGCTTTGCACTGTGATCCAGTGGCTTCTTGAGGTTGGGATAATGGCATGGCATAGCACAAAGTGTGTATCAACCTTTTAATTCATTTTAAGCTGGAAAACGACCGATCTTCGAAGAAAGTTGGACCATGGAAGCAAAGATGAAAGACTGTGAGGGTGTCAGTCCTATTCATCGAGCAAGCTCCTCTTTTTATAAGTTTAGTGCCAAAGGCATGCCTGGATCTCCACTCCCCTCCCTTGATGACATCAAATATAGCTATTATTTTTCTTTCTCTTGCCCTTCTCTTTTTCGTGTATGCCTTGTTCATTGCTTTTTTGCGATTACTAAACTGGATCTCAATTTTTGGATTCGCTTTCATTCGTTAGATCATATTTTAATAGAGTTTTTTTCTATAACTATGTTTGGATACTCTTTACTTAGTCCCTTGGCAAAGAGTTATTTTTTCATGCAGAACTGATTTTCAGTCATTGACACGCGTGATTTCAGTTTTGCACTTCCCACCCTTGCATAGAAGCAGAGTAGTTAAATGCTATAGCAAATTATCTCTCTTCTACTCTTGAAAATAGGCAAATGCTTTGGAGTAAGGCTTTATTTTGTCATATTTAACTAGCTTTCCAAGAAACATTTTTAGAAGGAAAAATCACAAGAGAACACACAAGAGAGCCTTTAGATCAATCTTGAGCTTGTTTCGAGAAATTTTCTTCCATAGATGCCCTCCAAGAAGATTAGAACTATCATGTTCTTGAATGCAATTGTGAAATTTGTAAGGAGATGGTCACGGGAATGTTGTTAGATACCAATAAATACCAATGTAGTTAGATAGCAATTATTTGTGTACCAACATGAAATAAGAAATGATGAAACGAAAGGAATACCAAAAACAGCATCTCGCAAGACTGAGTGCGAATATTTTATGTTGTCATGCCCTATTAGCGTTTTTTTCAGATTATAGAGGTGATCGCCTGAAAACCGACGTGTGCTGATCCCCTGTGCAACATGCATACTACCGACCGCTTAACGGATATCTTCTGTTTACTAATGGATTTAGAAACTGGCACAGAAAGAAAAAAACCCTGCTATAGAAAGGCGGAATCTGTTGAAAGTTTGGGTACACCACAAAACAATTTAAGCAGAACAGACAAATTAAAATGACAAGCGTGGGTATTTCCCTTCATCATCCATAAATCCCTTACAAAACTGTGAAGAACTTTTTGGCGGTACAAAATTTGAAAATGGCTCTTGAAACATTTGAAATCATAATAAAAGCTTTTTAGTCTAACACTTCCAAGAGTATGGAACGTCAGAATAAGGGTCCGAAAGAGCAAGATGGAAAGTATATATCCAGTTGTAGATCTAAATAGGCCAATCAGAAAAACGCAAGCACATTACCGGTATAGTTGTCCAGACAGTACCGCGTGCTTATAGGATAATCGATCCACAACTGGGTATGCATTTCAATATTGTGCTTGCGGACCCATATTCTTACATAATCTGAGGATTACCAGACAAAAAGCTTTTTGAAAGTTGCAAAATGTTTAATTTTTTCAAAGCCGTTTTCTCTTATAATTTGTCAATCGCATTAGAGAAAGTATACAATGCGTATATCGTGACGCTGAAACGTTCATCTTATCAATTTTCAACAAGAATAAAAAATCCTTTCACGTTATTTTGGACTTAAGGAAGTTTTCTTGTCCGGCGATATATCTTCGTGTAATCGATCAGCAAAAAGCTGTAAAATAATTTTACTGATAATGGCAAGCCATCTTCGCAAGCAATAAATCGGGGATCTCCACTTCAATTGCCCACAAACACTCTTTTCAACAAAATAGGCCTTCTCTTCTATAAAAAATCCTCTAATCAAGTCCTGTAAATCACAATGAGGGTCTTTGTAACTATGAATATGAAAAAAGAAGCAATAAAACGATCCAGTCTCTTTTCATCTGGTGAGAATAACGATTTTACAAGTATTGCTCGGTCATATTATTTCAGTGCGTGCCTGGTCTAAGCGAAGAAAACAAAAGGTTCAAGACAAATCTTCAGCATACGCATGTTATGAATTCACCAATCCTTACAGCCAGTTCAGAGAATTACTGTACACTTTTCACATCACTCATAATACACGATCAAATTTGAACGAAACAACAAATCAGCTCAAAACACATATAGGCGTGCGCTTGTATAGGCGTTTTCTGATTCGAAAAAAGCTAATTACTAGAAACAAGTTGGTGATGTATTTTGTCTTTAGGCCTTTTCTTCATACATCGACTTCAGAGCGTCTTTGTAGAAATTGGAAATGTTCTTCCTTTTTAGCTTGAATGCAGCTGTAACCAATTCACTCTCAGGCGTCCACTGTTCAGGGCAAATCTTCACTCTCTTTGGAACCTCGTACTTTTCAAGCTTACCTAAAATACAATTTTGGTTCGAACTTTTATATGTAGGTAACATTGAAGGATCCGAGAACTTTTACAATATCAAATATCATTAGAGAATGAAGAGAAGAGAGTTGGCAGCGGAGGGGTAATGTGAGGAGGAAAGCCACTTCCCAGTAACAATGGGCATTTTCATAAACTGACTTATTATCAGGTTTTTTCAAATATATGCATCAGCTGGGAGCGTGGAGACACAACGACGCCCCAGCATATCAAGTATGACGTAACAATTATCTCAGATAAGGTTAAGGAGTACACAGCATAAAATTGGCATGTTTCATTTTGTGACACTTTACGTCTGATGTCACAATGAAACAGGGAAAACAACATAACGGAACAGGGTATTGAATAAAATGTAAGCTGGTATGCTATAGAATAGTATGATGCGGCAAAAGGTAGATAAAGGTGCATGGATAACGGGTCTAGCATTTGAAACACCAAAACCAAGCTAAGTAAAATTTACCTTTAGCAACACTCTCAATCGCCGATAACATGGCTTTATTGACCTTCTTATCGCTGCATAAAACCTCAAATGAATCCGTGTTGACTCCCACAGTTGCTGCTAATGTTTTCAGGTGCTTTGGGTTAGGGATGACCAAAACAATGGGGAAATATTGTTCCCCATCCACATACGCGCAACAATTGTCAATGTGCGGGCACTGTTTTAGGGCACTTTCAATCTTTCCAAGAGAAACGTATTCCCCAGTGGCAAGCTTAACAAGGTCCTTCTTGCGGTCTGCAGAAAAAGACAACGGCAATGATAACGTAGAAAAAATTTGATCGGTAGAAGATCGTTAGTGTTGTAAATTAATTGCGGATAAAGAAATAAACGCCAACAACAAAAATTGTTAGACAGAGGTAAGACAACGAGCAAGGCAGAAAAAGGTCATTAGTCAGCCAAAATTCTCTTTCAGAATCAGTAGTGTATCCGAGCAGAAAGTCTAGATTGTTGCACAGGTTGATTTAAGACAAGCTTACAAAAAGTTTCATCGATAAAGTTTGGTGACACGTCTTGGTTGCATAACTCCCAAGTGAGCTGTCAATGCTAATTCATATGATAGCTATCAGACAAATTCGATCTTTCCTTTGCCACAGACAATCACACTGGAACTAATATTTTATTTAATCATATCACATCATAAGCCCCTTTTGGTATCATTTTTAAGATCTGCTTCCAAGCAGCTGAGTGTAAAATTCCATAAAACTAAGAAATGCCTTTTAGGAAGAAGTCGGCATAAGTTGCCCGACATGCCTGTTGGGAGCCAACATTTAACGAAATCCAACGTCAAACATACCAACAATTTTGAGACAGCCATCGCTGTGCATTTCACCGATATCTCCAGTGTAAAACCACATTTGTCCATCTTCAACACAAAATACTTCCTTGGTTTTCTCAGGTTGCTTAAAATAGCCCATCGTAACATTTTTACCGGAAATCGCAATTTCTCCTCGTGGATTCGGCTTGTCAAACACAGTATATCCCCCTAGAAAAAATTATTGCTAAGGTTAATGAAAAGGAAACGGAAAATCTCGAAAGGCTTTTCTAAAAATTCTTTCAAATACATTCTCTCTTTAAAGAAATGTTTACATACAAAGCGATATTTTTGCCAAATGAAGCAACCCATATTTATCGACGATACTCTATTTCAAACAGTCTAGCTATTTCGAAATTTTCAAAAGTCAAGGGGTACGAGAGTGACAAGCTTGAGAAAGATGGTCAATAATATCGGAAGAAAACAAGGGTGAGGTCAGCCAATCAAAATCGAAAGTCTACCTTCTTCCCAACTAACAAGCTTGATCTCACTGGAGCCAACGGGTGGTCCCACTCTTCCAGTAGTGAAGTCCCAAGCTGAAGAGTAAAATGTTGAATGAAATATTTTAAAAAGCGTATATAGTTTAAATTGGAATAAGACTATTCATATCGAATAGCGTGCCTCAACATGTCAACAGCTTGCATTTGGTAGCAGTGCTAGATCAGCACAGCCTCGCTTTCGTCTCTACTCTGGAACTAGAATCTCAGAAGGAAACATATTCGCCATATACACCACCAAATGAATCCCACTGATTGTTCGAGATAAACCAGGCCTTGCAAAATTATTATTACGTCACACTTACCTTCACAACATGTGCCACCACCAGTAGTTTCTGTTAAGCCGTAGCCTTGACCCACTGGACAGGAGAAGCAGACATTCATGAAGTCTTCTGTATCAGACGACAGAGGGGCACCCCCGCTCAAAATGCAACGCACACGCCCGCCAAGAATGGATGCGATCTTTGCAAAAAACAACCTAAGACAGAAAATGCATAACCTGTTCTGATGTTGTATTAATATGCGCAAATTTTGTTATCTGGCATGGTTACTATGGATATACCATTATGATCTGACCTTACTGGATCATCGAATATTGCACTCAAAAACAGCCCCCGAGAAAGAAAATGCTCTTTAAAGATGGAAAAAATATCTGTCACTGAAAAAAGGTTTTCATCTTTGGCAGTTCATAAGAATCTCAAGGAGATAATTCACCAGGCCCTTGAGTTACGACCTTATAAACTTAAATTCAGTTACAGAATAAATCTAGATCTAACTGCACTGTAAAAGAGTTTTCTCCGAAACGATGAATTGGATTCAAAATATGCAGAACCAACCTATTCAGAATTGGAGTGTCGTATCCATGCTTTAAATGCCACAATTTGTAGTTATATGCGAAGTGGAATACGAGTCTTAAGAACGATGGACCCTCTTTAACTTTGTCAAGAACACTCTTTCTTATTCTATCCATGATCATCTGTTGAAAAAATGAACATTGTTATACCGACTGCAATCAAAATATTCTTGTTCAAAAACTTCTAGTTAAATAAGAAGTATTGAGGCGAAAGTAGAGGTGCTCTGTCCTTCGAGGGACACAAGATCCATGCGAGAGAAATTTATTGAATAATTTGATATCTAAAAAACTGTGATGAAAACCTCAAATTGTGCAAAGCCATGATAAGACAGTCAAATGTTGGATAAAATTTAAAAAAAAGGGTTTAAAAAAAAGGGTTCCATGGCAGAGCTTGAGTTTTGACGGGAATGCGACTATAACTTGCTAGGCAAAGGGGGGTAGAACCACAAAAAAAGTGATATTTTAAACACCAATAAATAAGTCGCTGAATCAATCCATTCAGAAAGGTTACGTTAGCATATTTTTCGGAGGTAAATACATAAAAAAACATACATAAATGAAAACGAACAAAATTATCGAAATGAAGATTTTAAATTTACATCAAACTGAATTTTGAATTGGGTATAACAAGGCATATACATACTGGCACAGCTGCTAACAATGTTGGCTTCAAAACTGAGACATCACCTTTGGAGCCTTTCTTTATCTTTGAAGACTAAAACGATAAGTTATTAGTGTGCTAACACGAATGTACGTCGATATTTCCAAAATTAAGTCAACAAGTTTTAAGTCGGAAAATAAATATTTATTTTAAAAATGGGATAATATATGGACAAATAGCGCGTAGCATCTTTAAAAAAATTGAGCAGAAAAACGTTTAGTGTAAATTTTCACCTGAAAGAGTGATTTTGCAAAGTAAAGAGGGATGATTGAAAAAGGCACTTGAAATAAACATTAGCGTTCTAAAACGTTGTATGATAAACTAAAATTTATTCATAAAGATTTATTCATAAAGATTCTTTCATAAAAATTAAATGGTTACTGGTTCCTGGATATTCTTAGAGCTCTCAACAAATAAGTAGAAATCTAAAAAAAAATTACTTAATTGCCAACGGTGGTATTAAAGATGTTGGACAGAATTGCTTTATTACCTGGTCTGAGAGCGTTAAGGCTGACGAGTAGCCGACAGAGCAGCCTCTGGCAGTCACTGCACATTCTGTGGAAATGATTACAATTATTGGTGGATAACTTCAAAAAAGTAGATTGGGAAGATTTTACATAGATACGAGAGAAATTATGAAATGGTAAATCTCAATGAATATGCACAGTATCAGGATGATAACTCTCTTGTAATTTATTATTTTCCTTAACCAAATATCCCTAACTAGATACGAAAAAGGCAAAAATAAATAGGCTAAAGCGAGGAAACCGACATAAATCTCATCAACTAACTGGCAATAGTTATTCTGGTAAACAACCCCTAATTTCTTTGGCAGTTAGCCCTCAGAAGTACCAAAAAGCCTTGCAAAACTATTACGAAGTTTTCAAGGTTCAATAAAACACATAACTCATATTCCATTGGTAATCTCAAATTCAATCTTACATAGCATTGTCAAGACATAGAAAGAAAGAAAATAAATGAATTTGAATTGGTCCAAAATAACTGTATATAGTAACCCACCAGCACACAGCTCAAGAACATGAGCAAGAGGCAAATAGCCAATGTACACATCCTTATCACTAAAAATAAAGACATTTGATAATATCAAAGCAAATATCTGTGATCAAAGAAAGGTGGTATAAATGAAACATCATTGACCTTGAAACAAGTTTCAGACAGAACATGTTTGATAAAACAAACTTTTGCAGCATTATTAAACTTGGCAAGTCTAGGGATTTTGATAATTTAGAACAGTAAAATTAGCAGAAACACAGAACAAACTGCAAAAATCTCACAAACAAAGTTCAAGTGGGAGGAGCTGAGTCAAGTTTATGATAAATAAATGGAGATTCTGAAAAAACAGAAGAAGCTCTGGTGCTTTTGTATTTATATATAAACTCATAGAAACATTCTGTTTGAGTTGAAGCTACAGAGACCATCATCAATTCGTGTAAAAACTACTAGCAGTAAAAGTGCTATTTACTTCATTCCAGAGACTCTTTTGGTGACAGCTGCAATTGTACTGGTGATATTTGTGTGCGAAATCAAAACGCCTAAAGATGGAAAAATCTTCATTTGATATAAACATACCATTAAATATAATATTTACTGCCATTTCGTGAGATAGGAAAATTCCATTGAATCTTCCACAGAAAATCCTTGGATGTAAATCATATGAATATGACTTGCGATGACAATCTACAGAATACTAGGAAAAGAGTTCTATGAGGCATGCTGCCTCTTCTAACTTAAAGGTGAACTGACACGCAAAACTATTTTTTGATATAATGTAGAAAACGATGCATGGAATCTTAATTTCAAGTTTTCGGTTAATTATTATTGTCCGTTTTGACGCAATTCCGCTCTAAATGTCATGAAATTATCGTCGAGTGTTCGACCATTGTCGGCATTTCATGTGACCCAGTGCGTGTGACGTCACAAACACCATGTTTTTATTCCTTGAATGGAAATCACGCACGGACTGGACCGTTCAGTTCATCTTGTTCAGTTACTATTCGAGGAGATCTACGTAGCCTTTGATCCAAAATAATGAAAAATCGAGGCTAATGAAATATACGAAGGATATGTGCTGGCTGGTACTGCGTTATGTTAGGAGGGAATTTAAGTATGGAAGGAATAGGCACTTTTAGCTGCTCGAAGAAATTCTCAATTCTGAAGTCAATCATGCGGACGAATGTAAGAATCTTTTCATTTTATCATGAATCTAGCTTCTTTGTCGAATAAATTCAATATATTATTACTTCGATAGATTATTTCTACATCCATATAAATCATGAAAGTTATTTTATTTTGGGTTTGCAAACTCATCGGTTCACCCGAGTTACAGGAGTGCAGCGGCCTGGGAGTTGAAAATTTTACTAAGTTGTTTTCCTGCAAATAGCGATTCGATCGTACCAGGTTCTTAACCCCTGAAAATCTTTCATGTGATTGAATAAAAAATATGCCAAAAATGAGTGACTTAAACTCGAAATCTTTACTGCGAATATTGAAGTTAACCTGGATCAAAGACCGAAATTAACTTTGGGGGGGGGGTGATGGCTGATAAATTAGTCTAACAGCAGCCGTATTTAACAAAATAAAAGTATTTTACTTAGGTTTCCAGAAAATGAAAATCCTGTCGATATATTTATCGCTACCATTAAACGATATGTTGGCCCGCCACACACTGGGTCCTCCAAGACGGAGGTAGGGCCTCAAACGCGTTGGATAATACGATATTCTTGCAAATCTCATTATGAAAGGTTTGTAAAGGAGTCATAATCTGTTTTCCAATTAGGTTGTCGAAATGGAGCCAAAACCTACTCAATTAATGTATCGGTGCTCATCCGAAAAGTCATAAAAGTATGCCCTTTCAGACTGTCGTGTTGATCAAGTGATGTGAACATGGTGTTTGTGACGTCACGATTATGCGGAAGGCTCGGGCGAACTCGTCCGTGCTCGGAAAATGCTCGGTGGCTAACTTTGACGCTCAATGACTCGAAAACTGTGTTGAATATTAAAAAAATAATAATGTATCAGGTATTTATGCTCGATATGCCTTCATTTGAGGTCAAGTTATTTTTGCGTGTCAGTTCACCTTTAATTCAAAATTATACATGAAACTGCTTTTGTGAATATTGACAACTGGTCTTCTACCAAATAATGACTGACACTGTTTTCGCCAATATCAATCTATGCAATATCACTTTCAATATTGTTAAATTTTAAGACATATTGGAAGGGGAGCAGCAGTGATCTGATCAAGCAAACAAATTATCCACACTGATCAGGCTGCTACCCTCTGTTAAAATCTAGCTATGTTGTATCTCATTTTGTGGCAATATGAATTTTAAAACAATAAAACAAATTGGCAGTTTCATATAATCTGCATTCCAGAAGTTAAGCCAGCAATTATTACCTTTTGGCATTCCAGTGGAGCCACTAGTGTACATGATAACAGCAACATCACTAGGAAGTGGTGGATCCGGCTTCAGGGACACTGTAAACAAAGAATGAGGTACCTCATGATGTCAAGTTAGGAGTTGTCACAGCAAAGTCACCACATATTGCTTGGTAGTAATTACTTTGTTGTAGGCAATGGCTAAACTCTTGCAACACAGAACTTATAATAAAAAGTCTATACTGGAACACATACATAGAAATATAAGCTGAGTAGGAAAGGAAGTTGCATTTAAAAAAGATGGGTGACTGAAAAGACCTATGCTGCGTATTTCTACTGCTTTATTACAATCAACAAGTGATTAGAAAATTTAGACTGCTTTTGCTCATCATCCAATTATCAAGACTCACTATCCGATATATGTTCAAAAATACAAAGTAAGGAGACTAATGGCCCTCTCTTCTTAAGAACCTCTCTATCAATAGTAACAGCCCTGAAATTTGAGGAGGGCATTAATTGAAATATACAAAAGGCTAGAACAACTGTGATACACAGGAAGGATACACAGGAAGCAACAGGAAGATAAAGGCTAAAAAGACACGTACTGTTTTCTGCTTTTGCTCCCAATTCTTCAATTTCCCTCAAAGAATGAAACCTAACATCCACCGGAAATCCAATCAGTGAGGTCTTGTTTGCCTCACCGAAATATATTATTGTGTCTATAAAGTGAAGCTGGTCAAACAAATTCTTTAGTTTTGGTATTAGCTGAGAATCAGTCACAATAACATTTGATTCACTTTCATTTATTCCATATATCAAGGCATCATCACCCAATGTTGCATAGATTGTCACCACTAAAAGAATAACAAAAATTCATAAATCACATCTGAAGAATGAGGCTTTTAGAAACTTAAAACTTTCGACAGATTAGAATCAGATTGCACATTCAGGCAACATTTGATGCTTTCAGAAAGAAATAATTATAAGAAGCATGTTTGCTTCCAAGTGAGAAGGAATTTGAAGTACTAAGTGATGTCTGGACAATAATTTGATCTTAAAACAAAACTGGAATGAATTCAAGACAAAACTGGAAATTCCTATAAAGCCTTTAAAATATCTTTTAATAACCCTTAGAATTGAAAACCAAATGATACGCACATCCAGAAACACTTTCCTTTAATCAATACAAGCCTGTAATTTAGTGTAGTTCCATCCATCTTTGGCATCCATTTCACACAAATTGTTTAGGTTTATTGAAGTTATTTTAGTCATTCATTTTGTAAATTCTAACATTAATTTTAGTCAAGTAAAAGTTTGTCATCAGTAGGGCCAGCAACAAGACATGGATCAGAGTCAGAAACTTTGCAAATGACATAGAAGTGCTAATAAAAGCTGACTTCTCACAATTCATGCTACCAGAGAGGAGAAGGATAGGCTATCAAAAATAAGGTGAAAAGATAGTGTGAGGCTTAACACATGTAAGTTCTGGTGATGCTGAAACGGTGAATGACATTTCTTAGAAATAAATAATAACTTACCTGGGAAGTTATACAAAAAGCAAGCTTGTGCAGTTATGAACCAGTCAGCTTTAGTTTCTGCAAATATGATTATGTTTTGTCTTTGTTGTTGTCCTATAGCTTGTAACCCACTGCCCAATTTCTTGATTTTATCAGAAACCTGTGCATATGTCTGCCAAATGTACTTTCCAAGAATAACTTTCTTGAAAACCCTTCCATTTGGCTGCATTTCTTCTTCCTCTGCAAGAAGTTCTCGTGTGCCAAGACAGTTATTGTTTGAATATTTCTTGCATGCAGATCTAGGGTTAAAAAGAATTGCAGGTTGAGTTATTCTTCAAAAAGAAGAAAATAAAATCATGTGAAAAAAGGTTATGAAAATGATGATTATGTCAACTGATTGAAAAACTGATTATGTCAACTGCTGCAACATGTAATTGAACAAAATTCCCTGCTCAAATTGTGTGCATGATTTTTAAACTAAGGAAAAACATCATTGTTGAATAAAAATGAAATTTTAAAGGTGAAATCAGCAATTCCAGATTGTTGCTACACAAGCTGGGATGGCACTCCACATCAACAAAAGCCCTACAATAGATTCCTACTTCATGATACCACTGGAAAGATAACAAAGGAAACTAGAGATGAAAAGAACTTCCATTACTAGAGGGCCCTTAAAGGGGCTGTGTCATGGTTTTAGAAACATACCAAATACACGGGACATTGTGCGTTTTGGCACATTGGAATAATGGTAGATGTTGCTCCAGTGCTTCAATATGTTCAATAAATTGTATTTCATGAGTGTTTTTACGAAAATGGAAAGGACAATTACCATATTTCCACATTTGTACCGAGAATTGACATGAAATGTGTAAAGCAATTGGTCTAAGGCAAGGAAATGAAGATTAATTCAATCAATGGCAAAGATATTTCTTTCTCTTGGTGAAATTTGATGGCATTAGCAGGCCTGGCCCTGAACACTTTAGGAGGGGAGCAGTACATCGCTATCCTCTGCAAAGTCAGGTGGGCGATTTTTAGTCTCTTGAAAATCATCAGTGAAGGTATATGAATAAACAACAGTCTCTAACAGCTAAGTTTACAAAACAAGATGGCTATTCTCTGACAGAAATAAAATGATAGTTTCGTATTGTCGCAAATCAACAACACTAACAAGATTTGAATAGAACCAAAAGTAAATAATCACAGTGTGATTTTGTTATAACATTAGTACAAACTAGAATTCATCAGAAAACTGTCATTTTGATGTTCAAGTATTTAAAGGCTGGTTATTTCCGAGTTTGTTGTCACAGGAAGATACACGTATTTTATCAAATGAAACTAATAAATTCAGCTACTACTGGAAGTTTTAAGATTAAAAGATTTTGAGAGATGACAGTTTTGTACTGGTCCTTTAAAAATTATCAGTGGGGGATCTCCTGTACACTTTAATTAACATTATATAGCCAGTTATAAGAAACCACAGCTATTCATAAATTACTTAAAGTTATTTAGCACCAAGTTTGCACCAAACAAACATCACCATCTTCTTTCTATCTATCTCCTCAATTTTTCTTCCAAGAACAGCGTCTTTGTCCTATTTTTCGAAAGCTCTTGGCTCAACAGTTGATCCTTTTTGGTAACTCATCATCTTGAAACGATTTGGGTTTCATGTGTTAGGAATATTATGAATACCTTTAAGGCAACCCTGTCAAATGACATTTCAATTGGCCTTTGAAATAGCGTTCCGGTGAAAATGAAACCATTCAAAGGATTCTCTTCCCTATTGCATTTAAAAATGCTTCGTTTTTCGCGTTACTTGTTAAGTAGTTAACCAGTTTACAGGAGTAGATGACTTCCTGAGAGATTGAAAGGTAATTAATGTTATTTCAAAGTCAAAACACAGAGGATCAAGTTCCTATCAATTTATTAGTTTTACTTCAAGAGGTGTCGCATATGAGAGGAAGACCAAGGTGGGCAGTTAACGTGCAAACTGACATTAAGGTGAGTGGTGAATAGCTCGTCTCGCTAGCCTGAGGCGAGCGGGGAGACATGTGTGGAGACGTGCATGGAGACGTGTGTGGGGTGATCACCCGCTTAAAACAGCCAGGTCTGCATTAGACACTTTACAACAAAATGATCATTCCAAAAATGTTTTTGCTAAATAATTTGCACCAGGAAGGTAGGTTTTCTGGCATAATTAATTCTTATGTCTGCTGTTAGTTGGAGTTTGTCCAAAATATAAAAATCCCATCCCCTTCTGGAATTTTGCTGACATTTAACAAGTGACACAGAATGTTAAGAGGTGAAAGCAGAGATTGTCACATAAACAAAAGCATTGAAGAGACTTTATTGGCCACCCATAACAAGCAGAATATATTACAAAATATACACTCATGTTAACCCTTAAGATATAGCACTGAAGATATAGCGTTGAACTATCTTAAAGAATTATTGAAATTTCGTGTGACTATCTGCTGGTGAGGAACTACTATTAGAAGCGGAAACGACCAAATTAGTTATGACTGGTGATCATGCGTTTATAAATGTTTGTTTGTATTTAATAAATTGTTTTAACTTAGATCTTAATGAATTAAAACCTTGTAAACTTTCGTCCTTTTTATTTTAACAGATTTTTAAATGATAGTTTTTCAAATTGTAATGACCCTATGAGCTCTGAGGATATATTGTGCAATATAATTGATAGAAAGAAATGGTTGAACCATGTGGGACAACCAGAGTAATAAAAAGAAAGCTTTGCTCAGGGATCATGCTGATCGCTTAAAATTCAAAGAAAATAACATTGTGGTATAAGATGGTTGTACTTTAATACTAGATCATTGTAAATGATGGTTAACAAGATGTTCTGGTGATGATACAACTATCACCAGATATGATAGGGTTGTTTCACACAGCCCCTGGGGCCTATCAAACTTGAGGAAAACCTCAAGTTCGACAATCTAAATTGGAGTTGAATTCAAATTTGCAGTCAAATGCCATTTTAGATTCGAAAATAAAAACATCATTTTGTTGATTTATTTGAAATGCAAGAACCTGATTTAAGCTTGTTCACACAACAGAATCATCTGGCAAAAGACAAGGTTAGATACGCACGGTGAGATGTCCAAAAAGAAAATTTTGGATGATCCTAAATTAAGTTTTATTTCAAATTATTCGAACATAAAAAACTCACGCAAAAACATCACATATGGTTTTCAAGCCATCATAATCCTGAATGAGATTTTCAGCATTCCCAATACAACGCCAAGCACCACTGCTTGTCCTGATAGCTTGTTTCTGGCCAGGCTTCATTTTGCTGTGGTTGCCACTGAAATAGTACCAAGGAACAAAGCTCACTGCACTCCAGATCCATCCAGCAAGATTAATTGTGAACAAAAATGCCCTGCCAATGGGAGTGAAGTCCTGCCTTTTGGAATCCATTACTTGTAGGCGCTCCGCTGTTCTCTCGTTTAGCCAACTTTGCCACTGCTTTGGCCTACTGCTTTGCACAACCAGCACCCATTCAAGCTACACAACTAAACCAGGCTTGGCAGATGCTCCTACGCAGCAAAAGTAATAAAACAATAAAACAATAGTTGGGTTGGCCCATTTGTTCTGAAATCGGTTTCGTCATATTCCAAATTCTGAACAGTTTTTTTGGCGGTACAGAACTTGAAAATGACTTTGAAGAAAGCAAACATTTTGTAACATAATATATAAAATGTTTCCTTTTTTCAAAGCCATTT